CATACTCCTGTCGATGAAAAAATGAAGAAAGACGGCACCACAATAGACAGTGTTGTGAGGCTGGCTCGTTCCCGCGACCATAAATTTTAACTGTGTTGCGCCGTTATACCTCTGTGGTCCCGCGCCGACCACAGATAATTTCTAAAGGAGGATCACATATTTTTTTTTTTTTTTTCTTTTTCAGATTTTGATTGAATGTTCAGCCATCCGACGGCGCGGAGCATAAATTTCATCCAGTCGGAGGGGGTGTATGTTGTAGGGGTTCTTCGCTGAGGGTTGCGGTTGAAAAAAGACACTTCGTTAAAAGATTTTTTTTCTCTTACTAAGAGCGCAGGGATTTGCATACTTTTTTTTGAAAACTATATACTTTTTAAAAACAAATTGGAAGGGGGCCCCCCTCCCAAAGAGGGAAAAGAAGGAGCCCCCGCCAAAATATTCTTTTTTTTTTTTTTTTTTTTTAAATGGGCCCCAAAAAAAATTTGGAAGGTTAGGGTTTTTTTAATACAACACAGGGGGGGGGTGGGGGTACGAGGGACGATATTTGAAACTAGCTCGTAAGTTAACTTCATTATAAATAGGTACTCCATCCGTTTCAAATTGATAAATGGTTTATATTTAAAAATTATATTATCTCTATTTTAATGCATAATTAGCTGTTTATTCGAGGAAAAAAAATAAGCTGTATACTCATATATATTTCTTTTTTGTTTGTGTTGGAATTTTGTTTTATCTCTTTATAATGACAAAAAATAATTTATAAGTTTAGAATTTTCATTTATAAATATGTATGAGAAACTCAAAACATACAACAATTTAAAACCGAAAATATTAAATAGAAATAGCAACTATAGGTGAAATAGCGAGAAGAAAACTAAAAAGTAGCTGTTTGGTTATATTTGAATATATGTTTGGTTACTTGTGTAACGTGTTCTTAACCAAAATAAAAGATAAAGTTAATGAAGATCACGAAAAGAAAAAGGAAATGATGTTGGCAAATCATAAAATATCAAATTAAGGCCAAACCTCCAATATCATTGTCGAGGCCACTTTTTGTTTGTCATTGGTACACTATCACCGTATCCATGATTCAATGTAAACGCATCAGATTCTGCATATTAATATTGGTGCTCTAATTTAAATTTAAGAATTTTTTTGAGATGTTTGAACTATTACTAATAGAACGGTAATGGATTTAGCAGATGAGAGTTACTTGACAAAAGAGCACTTAGACACAAAGATAGATTGGATTCCATCGATGAAGAACCTAAGACTAAAAGACATCCCTAGCTTCATCCGTACGACCAATCCTAAGGACATAATGCTCAACTTCATTGTACGTGAGACCGACCGAGCCAAACGTGCTTCTGCTATCATTCTCAACACGTTCGATGATCTTGAGCATGACGTCATCCAATCCATGCAATCTATTTTACCTCCGGTTTACTCTATTGGACCGCTCCATCTGCTAGCCAAACAAGAGATCGTTGAAGATAGTGAAATCGGACGCCTGGGATCGAACTTGTGGAAAGAAGAGACGGCATGTATGGATTGGCTCAATACCAAAACTCCAAACAGCGTTGTTTACGTTAACTTCGGGAGCATAATTGTTATGACTGCCAAACAACTTGAAGAGTTTGCTTGGGGTTTGGCAGCGACGGGGAAAGAGTTTTTGTGGGTGATAAGGCCGGATTTAGTAGCCGGAGATGTGGCAAAGGTTTCGCCTGAGTTTCTAACGGAGACAGTGGATCGGAGGATGCTGGCTAGTTGGTGTCCTCAGGAGAAAGTTCTTTCTCATCCGGCGATTGGAGGGTTCTTGACACACAATGGATGGAACTCGACGTTGGAAAGTCTCTGTGGCGGAGTTCCAATGGTGTGTTGGCCGTTTTTTGCAGAACAGCAAACGAATTGTAAGTTTTGCTGTGACGAGTGGGAGGTTGGGATTGAGATCGGTGGAGATGTGAATAGAGAGGAGGTTGAGGCGGTGGTTAGAGAGTTGATGGATGGAGAGAAGGGAAAGAAAATGAGAGAGAAGGCGGAGGAGTGGCGGCGCTTGGCCGAGAAAGCGACGGAGCATGAATTTGGTTCCTCGGTTGTGAACTTTGAAAAGGTTGTGAGCAAGATTCTTTTAGGAGAGTAGAGACTACATGGAGTCTAAAAACTATTTTGAATATAAGATGTTTATCAAATTATTATTATTATTTTTTCCAATGGTTTGTGAATCCCGTGATGAATATCCTAAGTTACGAAAATAAAACGACAAATAAATGGTAAAGTCCACAATATGCACAGCTAGTCAGATACATCTCCAAATATATATAAATGATAAAAAAAATTTGGAAAAAATCAAGTGGACATCGTGGAATAAGAAGTTAATGCCAACATTGTAGTCGTAGAAATAGAATCTAGGGACAAAATTTCAGAAACAGAGTTAAACGCTGAAAATCATGGGCGAGAAAATTTTTAAAATTCGATCAAGACAACAAAAGTAAATTTAATATATAACAAAACAATAAATACAATTGATAAAGGACCACGCTAAAGGCTTCCACGTCACCTTTGTTAACACCGTCTAGACTGAGGACAAGGCCGATAAGTAGCGGCGGTTGGCCAAGGAAGCGACGGAGCATCCTTCTGGTTAGTCCATCGTGAATTATGAGACGCTTGTTAATCAAGTTATCCTAAGAAAAAGCTCCGATGTGGTCCATGCATGACCATGTCAGAAAATCTTAAAATGATATTGTCATTTGGGATCTTTCTTAATATTTTATCTACACATCAGTTCAACGTTTCTAATGCTTTTGACAAAATTTATAATGGAAAAAAATTTCAGATGGGTGTTAACTAGAAAAAATTTGCAAAATTGAGCTAGTTTGGTAGAAAAAAATAAATCTCAGCCAATTATACAACACTTGGATGACTAACTTTTTCAAACTTGACTTGATTTTATTTGTTTTTAACATGCTATCAGTTAGACATAAGTCTAAATAAAAAGTCAAGTACTAGTAATACTTTTCTTAAAATAGTCGATTTTATTCTCAAATAATAAGAATATCAAAGTAGACTTATTATGTATTGTTTCGTTAGAGAAAAGAACAAAACATGACAAGAGATAGAGCCATCTTTATTTGGCAGTCATATTAAGTCATGGAAGGATTTGGTTGGGGAAATAAACGAATTAGCTTTTTTTTTTTCTTTGTTGGATGAAGAGAAAGGGAGGGTAAAAAAATGTCAAAAGATTGTACAAGTTGGAGATGCAGTTGATTATGAAGATGATGTCAACTCTCTGCTGTTCGTGGTTGTACTTTCAGGTGCATCCGTTGCATCGAATTCTCCTCCTTCTGCTGAGAATTGATGTGGAACTTGTGATTCTGAAGAAAAAACAAATAACCACAAGATTAAACATTTTCTTTAAAACTATTTTTCAACAAATAGTCAATCTACAATTCCACATATAGAATTCATTTGTTTTGGTTGCCCCCCTGCGAATAAGTTTGGATAATTGCTTAAATAGAGAGTGGTCCCTTCTCCCTTGTGAGTTGTGACTAGATCTTGAGTATCAATAATATAAAAAAGGTGACAGAAACCCACATGCAAACACTATTGGTTTATGCATATTACATACACATATATAAACATGCATGACCCATGGTGGACGATAGACAGATGTGAGGGAACAAATAATTAGACAGCTCAGTTCACATGGACATGACGGAATTACATATATCCCATGTGCCCAATCATTCACTCACTTTTTGGTATTCCGTTTAATCTTCCGTACTCTTGTATATGCATGATTGTTTTTACAAAAATGTTTAGTACTTAGTGGACTTGGATCTTATATTATTATGATGATGAATGCATTATGCATATGCACATTGCCATTAGACATGAATGGTGACACATGATGTCCTTTGAAAAACCAAAACATTGTACTATTTATTGACGTACCGGTGGAAGAAGATATTGGCTCTTGGGAAGGAGGGGCATTGGAGGAATTAGTAGGAGCCTCGAAATTGGATTGGTGAATTGGGTAAGAAGAAGCAGAAGGTAAGCGTTGTTGCTGCTGCTGATGATGATGAATATGATGAGCATATTGATGATGATGTTGATGAGGATATGGTCTAGGACTTGGAGCTTGGAGGTAGTAGTAAGGAGAAGGCATGATGTTAGATGATGATGGTGATGTTGCTCCTCCGCCGTACATTTGCTGTTGATAGTATTGTGCTTGTTGGAGCTGTGTGTTGTATAACGCCTGCATGTAATCATTCAGTAAGCAAAATTATTATTTATTAATAACCAACTTAATCAGGTCAATGTTAATCTTGAGGTCATGATTTAATGATCTACGCAATACTATACGTTCAAAATATACAAAGTCACTACAGATTTAACCAGTATTTAAGCAAGCTAGTTACAACTCAGTTCTTGGGAAGAAAGACTAAGCTAATTCATGTACAGCCGCTAGAAGGATACGATCATACAACATTTTCCGGGTATATGTATCGATCATTGCATGTTCGTAATTGTATATGTATGTGACTATGTCATAAGACTCATAACTCATAAGTGGGGAGAGAGAGAGAGAGAGAGAGAGAGAGACTGACTTGGTGGTACCCATATTCAGAATTGTAGGTGTACCTGAAAACAAAAGAATTTAATGATGCTAAACCAATTAGTCAAAATATTCACCAAAATACCAACAAAAGTTTACTTAACTATTTTACCTCGACAAATTCAATGCATGCAAATTTCATGGAGACATATATATACACTCATTATATATAGACATGACATATTTCACTATTATTGTTCTATTGCGAAGTTGGTCCGGCTAATCTTCAATACATACTATACTTTTTATATGACAACTAGCTAGCTAGTCTAATATAAGTATTTATATTATGAATATCATATATTTACAGGCTGACTCCAACTTGCGCAAATTGAAGCATTAAATATCATCTTCTGTCTCTTACCATTTCTATCGCATTGGACCATTTCACCGTCTAAGCAAAATTATAAACATCTTTACACCCTTTTGGGTTTAGATAAAGAAACCAACCCTTTCTAAAAAATAATAATAATAAGAAAACCCATTAATTCCAATTTTTTGTCTTGAAACCCCATTAATTCTTCTCCCTTTTAAATAATCATAGAAACCTCACGTACCCGTACGATGGATACATGAGCTGGGCAGTCGCAGCCTGCTGCAGCGGGGCAGCCATTCCGGTATAGCTTGATTGTCCTCCACCATGATACTGACTAGGGCTTCCTCCTTGTCCTCTCCCTGTGCCATATCAAAGAGTAATTCATCAAACATTTTCATTCCAAATTGTTACATTATTGGACAATGTAGCTATATTTTTTTCCTACACAGATATTTCAGGTTTTGGAATCAATATGTAATGTAAAAATGCTGATTGATGTCTTCAACGATAAGAAATGATGATTGATTCTTTTTTCCCCAACAAATATGATGAAATTACGTATTGAAAACACGGAAATAGTCTATTATATATTCTTCAGTGTATGAGTTTTTTTTTTTGGTTAGTTTACAGAAACAAAATATAAAATAATCCAGCCAAATGGAAGAACATTATATATAAAAAAAACAGACCGATGAGAGATCATTGAAGTTCAAAATTAAGAACTAATATTTGAGTTAACGAACCTCGAGGCGTCGATGGTCGGGGCCGTCCAAAAGACGCAATATTGCAATTAGCCTTTCTACCATCGATCACAGGATTCGGATCGGCGACTGCTCTCGTTGCTGATTCCGGCTCTTGAAATGTGACCTAGACCACCGAGATGATCATGACTTTGCCGGCCTAGAGAAACAATTGATGAAAATGGTGGAGATACAAAAAAATGGATTAACTTACGAAACCATAGCCTTTAGATTTTCCGGTGGTCTTATCGGTGATGATGACGGCTTCAAGAATCTCTCCGAACTGATCGAAGTAACGACGCATTTCCTCGGTCGGAGTCTCCCATGCTAAGCCTCCGACGAACACTTTGGTGTAGGTCGTGTCTCCGAACGGCGATCGGTAATAGCTCGTATTAGAAGACATCTATTATACGATATATAACTGTTTTGATATTGTTGTTGATGATGATGGTTTGTTATGATATATACCGATAACAAAAAATGAATAAATAAATTTAATGAATGAATTTATGAAAATGGGGTCTGTCTAATTAAAACATCAGCCGAGAAAGAAAAGAAGAAAAGATTGTATATGAGGGAAAGTTGGCTTCTTTATATCGTCAAATGCCTCACAAACGACTTTTTCATTTTCTCTCTTTGTTTTTTAATTGCAAATTGCAACTCTTAAACGATGCCGTATTATGATTCCGACCCTACACTTGAGGGAGAGAGAGAGAGTAGAGAGAGAGAGTAGAGAGAGAGAAAGAGAAAATGGTGAGTTTATGTAAGAAGGAATGAGTTTTCTTTGGGGTTTTGTAAGAAGAGTGACAAGGCAAGCACTGAATATGTCTTCGCTGTCTATAATTTTTGCCAGGTTTTAACATTATACCTCTTCCACAACTTTAATTACCTCATCGATTAAAATATCCTCTATGATGTTTTTTTATATTATAAGGATCCGACTTGGTAGATAATCCGTATGATTTTTTTTTAACATTATACAGAGTTTTACCAATCACATAAGTTTTTAGAATATCAGGGTTTTTATGCAATGTTAAAGTCAACAATATAAATTACAGAGGTATTTAGCAGTATTTAAACTAAATTTTCTACAGATTCCGCCATATTATTTGGCAACATTTTCTGCAATATTACCGATCATAACCGATGTATCTACATGTTTGCAAAGTCAAAATCAATATATATATATATATTAAAACTAATATACATATACCTCTGTATATGTCTGTCTTATAAGCAAAATATATGTATATTAACTACTGCAAGTCTACAGGACTATATTTAATTTAATCAACCACTATAATACGATATCATCATTCGTATGCCCATGTTCTCTTTTGGGTTGGTTGATCTCTTGTTTCTCTTCCTTGTGTTCGCTGTATAGCTTTATTCTGGTACAATAAGGTTACTAATATATTTGTATTTTCGTAAAGAGTTCTTTATATGATCACTCTTAAAATTTTAAAGCAACTTACAACTTGCTTGTTGAATAATGAAAACTCATAATCCGTATTATCACATAATAGCATCTACCTGACATTCTCCTAATTAAAAACTGACTGAAATTATATATGTATGTACTGGATTAAAAATTTAAGCAATAGTTTGTGTTGGTACGGTGCTTCTTATATTATACGTACATAAAGCGTTCGTGTAAACATACAGTAAAAAGAATTAAATAAGGATTTATATGCATATATATATATATATATATCCGTAGTTGTAAAGGGAAATGAAAGTGGAGAGCAAAAGAATTGAGAAGATCACATGAGATGAACAGAGAAACAGCTTTTACATAGTCCCGCGCACGCATGCACGCACCCAATAACGACCATCCCTCTTTTTTATCCCTTTTTTCTCTTCTTTTCATTATGCAAAATATTATTAAACCCCACTATCTATAATCTATAACAACCCCGTATGTATTTTTAGCAAAATCCGATTATATAATTGTGTAGTTGACCCAACAAAAAAAAAGTATGTCATTTTTTCATTGGTCTAAAGTCTAAACTGGTTTTAATCAAATTAATTATTTCACTGAGTCATTGACATAGAAAATGGCGGATAATTGTAGAAATTACATGAAAATGTTGGTTGATGACAACATTTGTTCGGTCGGCCAATAGAGATATTTGTTTGGTAATAAAAATAGGAATAGAAGGAAAAAAAAGTGGGGCCAGTTTGCCAGCATGGCAAAAGAGGATATAGCTGGAGTTGAGTTTAAAGAAGAAACAGAAGAGAATCCGTGAACTGGCAGATCCATCCACGTGGATCTCCTCCTGTCATTCTTCTCTCTCCTTTATCCCTCAATCTACAATATATTTAGTTGTCCCTCTCTTACGCAAAATAAGATGAAATTAGACTCGTAAAGTGAGTGTTTTTTTTTTTAATTAAAAAGTGAGTGATTTATGCTAGGCTTCTCCTATATGTTGATAAAATATAAACTCGTTGTTGATAAAAAAGTGTATTAGCGTATTGAGAAACTTGTTTTCATTTTAGATGTCCTAGGAGACTTCAAAATACTAGTGTCTAGTGTCGGGCTACGACTTAGGGTTTAGGGGAATTTTTGAAGAAAGAAATAGTGACATCGTCGAAACAAAGATACAATCACGCGACATCAATTATAGCATAAAAAAAAATCTAGGCCCAAAATTATATACCAATCTAATCGAAAAAAAATAATCGCATCTACGAAAAACTTTTTCCTGAATATATTTAGAAAACGAAAAGAAAAAACAAAAGACAAAGACCACAAGAAATGTTTTCAATTCACTGGAGACTTCAGCAGACGTAATAAGTAACACAGAGGAGATGATATAACTCATAGCAAGTACTTGTACAATGATTGCGATTCAATTTAGATATTTAAACGAGTAAAGCAAAATGGGATGGTGGCGCAGTTGGCTAGCGCGTAGGTCTCATAGCTACTGAGTGATCCTGAGGTCGAGAGTTCGAGCCTCTCTCATCCCATATTTTTTTTTCTTTTCAAGACAGCCCATAATAGGCCCAATTTCAATATACTCCCCGGAATTACGTGGAACGGAAAAAATGAAAAATCATTGATGCGTCAGCGTCACAGATCAATAACCTGTGGGAGATTTTGTATATGCCATCACAAAGCGAGAGTAGTTACCCAGACCAAGTCCATATCGTTTGAAACTATATTAACATATGAACCAACGATATGGGCCTCTTCCTGGCCCGTTCACTATTTCTACAATCGGCGACACGGTTCCTATCTTGCGTTTGCAATGGTATAACCGGTTCACTAAACTTTATAAAAACCAAACCGAAATTCGAAGAGCGAGCCTGATAGAGAGACTCGAGAGCATTAAAAGGCAAAAAAAGTTATCGGAATTTGCATCTTTTTTGAAACCGTCTGTTGGTCCGGCGTTTGCGACGGACGTGTTCACGGCGGTGACTTCCATGGACGGCGAAAACCTCGGCAATCATCAGCCCAACTTTGAAGGTGGTTCTGGAGACCGTTTATCAGCCGAATCTTTGCCGTTAATCGATACGCGCCTCCTGTCCCAGTCAGAACTTCGCGCTCTCTCTCCGTCTTCTTCTTCTTCGGCGTCCCTCGCTGCTTCCGCCGGTGTAGACGACGATTTGACGCCAAAGATTGATCGCTCCGTCTTCAATGAGTCCGCTGGCAGTCGGAAACAGACGTTTCTCCGCGTCCGCCTTGCGCGCGATCCTCCACCACCGAGACCTCCGTCGCCGCAACGCCGAAGAGACGATTCCTCCCGTGAAGAGAAATCGCAAGTCGCATCGCTTCTCAGATCTCTGTTCTCTGTCGATTCGTTTCAGAGGAATGCGGAAGAAGACGAAGGAGAGGAAGAGGTCGAAGAAAAGGAAGGTCAGCCGCTGATTTCTTTACCGATCCATAATAATGGAAATGTGTACCGGAATCCGTATTTTGATTCGGTTAAGAACGTTCAGGGAATATCCGAGAATGAAACGAGGAGGAGGCCAGGGCGGCCGAGAAAGATTCGGAACCCTAGCGATGGGGTTTTGGATTCGTATGCGGATGAATCGGAGAGGGAAGGAACTCTGTCTGTAGATAAAACTCGTAGCAATTTAGGAACAGAGAGTGGATATGATGCTTCAGGAATCTCCATGGACTCAAATCCAGGCAAGAGAAAGAGAGGCCGTCCAAGAAAGAGTGGAGATGGCTGCAAAAGCGAAGATAAGGAAGAGATTGTGAGCTTGGAGAACAGAGAAGGTACAATGGTGGATCTCTCTGCCTTGGCTAATAATGAAGAGGATCCATATGGAGAGGAGCTGAGGAGGATCACGGTAGGGTTGGGGACAAAGGAAGAGTTGTTAGCTTTCTTGGAACAGGTGAATGGTGAATGGGTGAATGCTGGGAAGAAGAAGAAAGTTGTGAAAGCTTGTGATTACGGAGGATACTTGCCCAGAGGATGGAAACTTATGCTCTGCATCAAAAAGAAAGGGAGCATTCAGTGGCTGGCTTGTCGCAGATACATAAGGTATAATAAATGTTCATCCTAATCGTTTCTAGATTCTGATTTAGACCTGAGATTAGCTGTGAGATCTTCTTGGTTATAGCAAGGAATAGTAACTAAGCACTAGATTTCCTCTATGGATTCAGAAATCGTACATAGTATGGTGTTTTAGTTTCTGCTGCTAGACTTTTGATTGTCCCTCTTTTTTGTTTTCTATCTCCTTGAACATAAGCACTAGAACATGTCTTCTTAGCCGTTTTATGAATCTAGCTGTTGTTATCACTATTAGTTCATGATTTAAGAATTTTTCCTCTGTCGTTATGGTTATGTATTCACTGTCTATACAGTCCTGATGGGCAGGAGTTTGCAACCTGCAAGGAAGTCTCCACGTATCTGCAGTCTCTTGTTGAATCCCAAAGCAAGAACCGGCTCAATTCCTTTCAATCTGACAACCACACTCTAGGAGAACCAGTGATGGGTAACGAATCTTTAGTAGGTAACTCTGATTCCATGGACTTGCCTGTTTCGAACCCTGAAACGAACCAGAACCGTGGAAGTGAGAGAACCAGCAGCGAGGTGCTTGGTGAAGCAAAAGGCGGAGAAAATGGCGATATAATAGATCCTGTGAAAACCAGTTTGGTGGAGGAAGATGGTAAAATGATCCCTAGAGCAGAATTTCTTAATGGAGACAACGAAGACGATATGAAGAAAAGAGATGATAACATGGAGAATTTGGCGGCTTTATTGAACTAATTGTTTTCTCATTGCAGTTCAGATTTTGCGTTTCATGCAACCAAAGCATGTTTTAGCTGACACAGGAGTATAGAATTTGAAAGGTACATTTGTACAAAACAATTGACAGAAACCAAGTTGAAACAAATATTCAGCCTGATTTTTCATCATAAAAAAAAGAAGTAAAAATCGTCAGAAATTAGTTAAATTGAATTTGTTTTTTTTTTCAGTACCCTCTAAGAGTGAATTTAAATTCTGTTTCGTAATTTGTACTAAACAGAAAAGAACAAATTCTAATGGTCGACAAGAGGACGTGTCTTTCTCCGTTTGTCACGTTAGCGTTTTGCGTTGTTTTAGTTGCCAATCTTCGAACCATATGGGTTCAATTGAACAATATCTTTCTTTTAGGCTTTTTGTGCGTAAAAAATGATGAAAACGTGGAGGTTACTTTTATAATTTCACAACTTTAGTTTTCAGAGTTTGTTGACTAAAAAAAGGTAGATCCAACGGCCAGTATATTACCATCGTCAGAGCATCCTAGGGTTACTACTAATCTCGAAATCAAATCGAGCATCCATTGTTGTTTCAGAATTCACAGAGAGAAAGAGAACAGAGAAAAAAAAAAGGCATGGAGAGTGAGAGGGAAAAGCAGGTTTACTTGGCCAAGCTCTCTGAGCAAACCGAAAGATACGATGGTATTTTTTTCCACTCTCTATGAACGTTTTCGATCTCTGGATCTCTCTTTACTGTTTTGACGCGATAATGATTTGTCAATGCTTCTGAAACTCAGATCTTTTATTTCTCTGATGATATGATGAATGTTTTTGTTCGACTTGATTTGGTTTACATCTCCAAGATTTTGATTTCCACTTGTTTTCTGGGATGTTGATTGGTCTGGATTTAGAGATTTAGACGAGCCCTTGCTTATTGTGTTCGCTTTGACATAGTAATTCCTTGGTTATTGTTTACGCTTTGATCTTTAGTTGCTCTGATCAGTCTTGATCTTTAGTTGCTCTGATCAGTCTTGATCTTATGTACTTGATCGAATCTCATAGCATGTATCCATGCTATTACAAAGGTGGCTAGTATGAAATAGATCTATGTTTTCACTTGCTGTCAGTATAACAGTGATAAATTTTCTGGAATCAGTTTGCTTTGGTGCTGGATATTTGCTTTTAAAAAAAAAATTCTTAGCTACATATTCCATTTGGTTCGAGTCATTGGTTAAGTGAAGATCTGATTCTGCGTAGTAATCTAGATTGCAAACTAGAAAATATTGTAAGTGTATGGCAAACTAAGAAGCGAAACCACAGCTTAGGGTTTTTTTTTTACGTGATTTGAGCTGCTTAGTTATTTTGGTCCATGTTTTGGGTTTTCTTACTTGAATTTTTTTTGTTGCAGAAATGGTTGAGGCGATGAAGAAAGTTGCTCAGCTTGATGTGGAGCTCACGGTAGAGGAGAGGAATCTAGTATCTGTTGGGTACAAGAATGTGATTGGCGCAAGGAGAGCATCGTGGAGAATACTATCCTCCATTGAGCAAAAGGAAGAGTCCAAGGGAAATGAGGAAAATGTCAAGAGGCTTAAGAGTTACCGGAAGAGGGTTGAAGATGAGCTTGCCAAAGTTTGTAATGACATCTTGTCCGTCATCGATAAGCACCTCATTCCATCGTCTAAAGCTGTGGAGTCGACTGTCTTTTTCTACAAAATGTAAGTCATCATATGCCTCTTTATTCGGTGTTCATTTTTGCACCGAAATTTGGTATGACCTTGGGTAATTGTGGTGCTTGAAGGCGCAAAATGTGACTAAGAATATATATGTTTGAGTTCTTACATAGGCTCCACTCTTTCTTATGTTTTGTCCTGAAATGAAGTTGATCCACGGGTCTGAGATTTATGAACATAGTTTCCCTATTTGTTTCACCGTTTTGGCTTTACTTTTCTGTTCGTTCTATGTAGGAAAGGTGATTATTACCGCTATCTGGCAGAGTTCAGTTCTGGTACTGAACGCAAGGAAGCTGCAGATCACTCTCTTGAGGCATACAAGGTACTTCGATCATGTTTCTGTCTTTGTTTTTTGTTTTTATTGTGCCTTCCTTCTTATATGTGAGCTCGGAAAAAAAAACTGAACAATATGCTTATCTTTCGTACTGGCAATGTAGGCTGCTGTTGCTGCTGCAGAGACGGGTTTGGCACCAACACATCCAGTTAGACTTGGCTTAGCATTGAACTTTTCGGTTTTCTACTATGAGATCTTAAACTCTCCTGAAAGGTTTGTTTTGGTTCACTCATTTTTGGAAAGAACATAAAATGGAATCGGTGGTGTCACTCTCTAACACGCTGAAACTATGTGATGTACAGTGCATGCCAATTGGCTAAGCAAGCATTCGATGATGCGATTGCTGAACTTGACAGCCTCAACGAGGAATCATACAAAGACAGCACTCTTATTATGCAGCTACTTAGAGACAATCTCACCTTGTGGACTTCAGACCTCCCAGAGGATGGAGGTAAGACTTAATTTTTATTTCCCTATCTGCCTCTGATGATAGGTAGTTTCCTTAGAATCAAATGAGCCTTTTGAATCTTGTTCTTTCTTGAACTGCTAAGAGCCTCAACTTTGATTAGAAATATTGTTATGTTGATGCTTGGGAACTCAACCTTCTTTTTTTTGTTCTCTCAGAAGAGCGATCCAAAGGTGATGAGCCTCAAGAAGAGGTATAGAACGCTATTTTTCGGTTAAAGTTTAAGCTAGTAAAAAAAATATGTCTGCCTTTGCATTGACAATTAGACACTCATGGAAGTACTGGTTTCATTGCAGAACTAAATCCTGAATCCTCTGTGACAAGAGAAACGACTGTTGATGCATCCTGAGAAGACAGCAAGCGTCGTTGCTCGAAACACTGGAAAATGTGTAATTTTTATTCTATGTCTTTCTTGATCACGTTTTCGAATCTTGGCTTTTTACTAAACAACACTTCGTAGTCGTACCTTCAAAAACTCTCTTATGATGGTTGGATTGTGTAATTTGCTTCTTCGTTGTTGAGTTGAGACACCGCATTTTGGGTTTTGATCACTTTTGACGAATTAAGAACCTTGAGAGGTAAAATGAAATGGTTTCAGGTGAATAAATAGTTTGTTTATGTTGCAAAATTCATGAAAGTCTTGAGTTGTAGAGTATTATTAGCACCAGCACACAAAAAAAAAAAGCGTGTTGCATGTTGGAGATTTCGAATTAATTGCACTTGCACACATGGACATAAAAATTACATAATGTAGTCAAGTAAAGCTCATACACAACAAATATAACATATTCTTTTTCATTTATTAAAGAGGTTTAACAAATTCGAACCTAATCCAAAAGTACTTTCACATATATGAATAACCTAATATTTATATCACGGTAATCAAAATAACAAATCAACCAATAGTAATAACACAATCCCCATCATCACCCACCACAAGTCACCCACATTTCCCTCTCTCCTTTGTTTTTTTTTTTTCATTTTCTTGTCGTCCTTAAAACACACAATTTACAAAACAACGAACGCACATAAGCTATAGCAAGAAGCTGTCATGAATCGAAAATTCAGACCGGTCCAAACCGGACGAAAATCATCAGAGTCGAATCCAGTCAAGCAAGCTTGTGTCCCTGATGAATCTTGATTGAGAATGCGGGTTTATTATAATCTTTAAGAAACCATCTCTCCTGTAAAAATCCTTTCAGAGTTTGTCATCTGAATCGGACTACGACACAAGATATGTCGTCTTTACTCTCTCTTCTCAATGCTTCAGCTGTTAATTCCTTTGCCGCCTTCTGTGGATCTTTCACCCTTTTAGCTATCTCCATTGCCTCTTCATTTGACATCACCTGTTTACATCATTTCAAACAACAAGTTAACAAGAGATTACAAAAGAGTTTCACTCGAGAGCAGAGAGAATAAGATGTCATTTTTACCTTCCAAATGCCATCACTGGCCAGGACTAGAACATCTGTCTGGCTATCTACAGTAGCATCTCGAATGTCAGGTTCTGAACTCAAATGTGTCTTAAGGCCCTTGTCTCCAAAGGCACGAGACACGGCTAATTGACCATTCACCCGAGGAACATCACCTGTTACATCACAACCACGGAATCCTTGTCAGCAATCATTATCTAGATAATGATCAAGAACGATAAAAGCTACTGTATCAGATTAGCTATTTACCTGGTAGATTGGATACAAATCCACCTCTATCCTCAATGCTCGACCTTTCAGTACGGGGCTCATGATCTGTACTCATCTGCATCGTTGTGCCTCCTCGAGAAAGAACTGCTCGTGAATCGCCAACATTAGCTATCCACAGCTTTCTCCCATTGATCAATATAGCGGTCACAGCTGTAGACCCACCACGGCCCAAGTCAGAACTATTCGATAGAATGGCCTGGTCTGTCTTCTCATAAGCTTTTAAAATAGACCTTCGAGGATCCACCCAGAACTCTCCCTGAGATAAAAAAAACTTAAGCATAGGGTAAGCAGCTAAATGATAATCCTCGATTTGGCATACAAAAAATAAGTGAAGTAAAGCCTTTTACCTCCTTTAGGATATTGGAGAAGAGGTGCTTCTGCAAGTAGGCAGGGACAGTATCACCCATATGACCATCATAAATTGCAAATAGCCCCAATTCATGGTCTTGGATGTTGATGAAGTTAGCTACATGATAATCCTCCATGGGATGGTTAGCTTTCCCTTTAACTAGACTAAAGCCATACTTGATCAACCCTTCATCACTTCTTCCTTTACCCGACCGAGATGATGATTGTCCTCCCACAACCTAAACCAGACCCAAGAAAAAAATAATAAAAGAGATCAGATCTTCACTTCAAAAATCGCTCTTCTTTTATTGAAGGCACCTAAAAATATTAAGGTCTATTCTACAATCATAAAAATTTAGATAAAAGAAGATTTTTTCCATACAAACTACATAACACAATCTCTTTCAAGAAGATTCAGACAAGGATCAGAAACACTCTGAACACATCAGTAATAGCAAATGAAGCTTTTGCGAACTTTGTCTTAACAATCTGTTTCTGGAAGATCATTTCTTAACAAGCTATTACACTACAACCTCGGAAGACGCGGTTTCTTACTAATTTCCACTGCCTGATATGTTTCTCCACTCGTTCAGAGAAAAGTGGGGAAAAACAGAGATATGACCGATCCAGGACAAACAATTTTACAAATATAAAAAAATTATATCTGAGACAGCTCAAGGATGGGAAAAAAAAGCAAAGAATTTTAGTGAAAATATTTACCTCGGAAGCGGAAGTGAAGCAACAGAATTTTCCCATTTGAATCGAAGAAAGTCTTCGAGTTATCAACCTAATTCAACTTCGCGGATTTATTCTAATAAACAAACAATCTGCAAAAAAAAAAATCATGAACCAAAATCAAAAGGGGAAAATCATTATTCAGCAGCTCAGAAATGAAAAACGAAGAAGCAAATCGAAAAGGGGATTTTACCTGAAATAAACCCTAATCTGGTTCAATCGGAGGTAGCAACGATAAATCTACAAAAGTCTTCTGCGACGAAGTCTTCGCTCTCTTTCGTTAATGTCTTTTTCCTACGCGAAAATTTTATATATTCATTGAAGGAAACCAAAAAAAAAAAAGATATGTTGAGCTATCTGTATTTTTCTTGACATTGCATTGGCGTGCTTCATAAATCTTAAATCTCTGCTTTACGCCCCATATTATGGAATTGACCTAGACACTTAACACTTTTCTTCTTGGCGTCTAACATTTACAAAAGTTAAAATAAGTGGCTAGAAATACTTTCTTTACATTTAACTGTTTCTTTTTGGCGAGGTAATGAATTTCATAAATATATATATATATATATATGGATTGCCTTCCATTAAACTAAACTAAAATGAGGGTGTAGATATCTACAATAGGACTTCCTGGACAAAAGTAAGAAAAAACAGAAAATATGGGCGAAACTTAAGATAAATGTAAATGAAACTAGATGGGGAGAAAATGGGATATGGAGCAAAAGAGTAGTCTGGTCAAAGACAATTAAAAAGCTGCCATTTAAATCAGTAGCCTTGGCTATTTAGCATGTTGACTTCCTCTTCCTTTTCATTTATGTCATTTCCTTAACCATCTCAGTTCTTTTTTGTATGCGTTTTCACTTTTCACTCTTTGGACATCCAAAATGTTGGAAAAGAAGAAAAAAAACTTTTGTGAGTATAAAGACTAAAGTAAACGTATGTTTTCGTTTTCACTAGTCGTTTCGTAGAAAGACATATAAACATTAACTAGTTTATCCAATTTGGTTTTCATCGCTTAAACGATTGCGTTAAACTTACCTTTTGCTTTTACCGCGCTATGGACCGTAATGAAAATTTTAGAAGTTTATGATAATTATTTTAATTTTGGCCAAGTTTATGATATTTAAAAATCATAAAATATGAGGTCGCTTCTTATTACCAGAATCTCAACGTATCAAGGAATGCGACAAGATAGTTGAAAGGGTCAAAGGTAGGGCTTGTACGCGCTTACTAGCCATCTTTTGTTGGTTCATTTAATGTGATTCGCACACATTTCATGACTTTTGACACTTTAAATTAGGTTTTTTTTTTTTCTAATTAAACACATCACTAGCTAGCTAGTTCCCTGATTTATGCATACATAAATATTTGATTGCTAAACAAGAGATTTGTTGCCGGAAAAAAATATTTTTGGTCGTCTAATCCTCCGTGATGTGTTCCTCTAAACTAGGTGTAGGTATGATTTATTTTCCAATTATGAGCCCAGCCTATTATTTAAGAGAAGTTAGATCAAGCTAAACTAGTAAACTTATTATTTCATTTGGTATTACAAACACAAAATTCGAAATTCTAACTTTTACGTTTTCAGAACAACAACTATTTGTATTTTAAACTTATTATAAAGATGAACAATACAATTTTTTCTAATAATAAAGACATAAGATTAAATGTGTAATAAGTATAACAAAATATGAGTGTGACAAAAAAAAAGTATAACAAAATATGAGAAGAACATGGAATGAGTTGAACCCAATTTCGGACATGAAGAAAGGGTGTCATTGCGAATAGATGAGATTAATAATCTGATTTATCGTCTCTTGACTATGAATTTTGGTCGCTACTTTCGATTAAAGTTCCGTTCGTATATTCTTCGATTTACGGGCCAAATCAGAGCGCAACGGACTTTTGATGGACCGGTCTTTTCGCGGGTAAATTATGGGCCGAGTAAATAAAATCTAAAAAAAGCGTTAAGGGTATTTTCGACATTTCAGAAAACCCTCAGCCGCATAAGCAAGCATCTTCGTCTTCTTCGAGTCTTCCTCTTGCTTCTTTCGTTTCTAGGTTGGCCAGTGAGAGAAAAGAGAGAGAGAGAGAGAGATGAGGCTCATATCGCACAACCTGCTTTCCTGCAACATCAAAGGAGTCAAAAACGGCTTTCCTCTGAAGATCGAAGTCGGAGAAGTGATTCAAAAGGAAGTCGATTTCAACGCTGATTTTCTCAGGCACATGTTCGCGAAGATCGAGTGGAAGGCTCTCGTGGAAGGCGCTCGCTCAATGGGATACACCGAGTTACCGGAAGATTCGCCGGACGCGACGGTCCTTGATTCCGCCGACGATTCCTTCCTGAGGAAACTCCACCACGCGTTGCTCGAGCTTCATCTTGAGGAAGGCGCGCTTGTCTGCCCCGAGACTGGACGGAAGTTCCCGGTGAGCAAGGGAATCCCCAATATGCTTCTCCATGAGGATGAGGTTTAATTATATATTTTTTTTTGGTTCCTATCTGTAATTTACCGTCTATGATGAGTTTTTTTGGGGGTTTTTGTTAGAGTTTCTGGGTTTAATTGCTTAATGTATTTGTGATGTGAACCTTTTTAGTAAGATATAATCCATTCGCATCAGTTTCTGGATGTTGAAATTGCTTTGTCTGCTTGATGGCTTATAGAGAAGATTGTATTGGACAAATCGATGATTGATCCCCGTATTTACTTGTGCATCTAGATTGTGCTTAGGGGTGATCATCTTAAACCCTCTTTTTAACTCAAAATCTTTTGCCATGAAGCTCATAAAGCACCGGCTTTGGTTATCAACTTATTCACAGATCAATCTCACCTAGTTTGAAAAGATGTGGTTTGCTTCATTGCAAGGTCGACTCGATCATGGCTCTTTTACACTATGTCAATGGTCAGCCAGAAAAACAGCTTAAAGGGAACAGAAAGGGAGTCACATTGCTGGCAAAATATATCTAATCCAACGAAAATACAGCTGATTTGAAAACAGAATTTCCTAGTGTATACTAGTTACAAAACCAAGTTTTGGCGAGATAACAGTAACACAAAATCACACAATCAAACTAACACACACTAGAACTACAATTACCGAGTGTTGATATATTGGTTATAAAACCAAGTTTGGCGAGATAACACTATAACGCAAAATCACACAATCAAACTAACACACTCGAACTACAACTACACAATCAAACTACTCTACTACGGTAATGCTACTACTAGATCCCGCCAAGAGCTCCTTCCATGTACTTACAAGTTCCGGAAAAGTTGTGTCGTCCCCATCTTTGTCCTCTTCCAATTCACTGGGTATCCACTTTTGTTCTGTGAGTGAGGTAAGAACAGAGACAATGTGACTCATCTCTGGCCTCTGTTCAGGTTCCTTAGCGCAGCAATGACTGGCCAGTTCAGCCACTTCGTTGATGCTGCCTCGGGTCTCTTCCTTGACCTCGATGGTCATGTCAATGAGCTTTGAGGAAGAGTCTTTATCGACAAGCATTTTCCGGAACCAAATGGAAATGTGGAGATTATCTTCAGATCGCTTCTCGTCTAGAGCTTTCTGGCCCGTTATCAGCTCCATGAGGATGACTCCGAAACTGTAAACATCAGCCTTTCGGGTCACCCGTCCTGTCACTACAATGAGAAATGATTCAGCTGTCACTAATATATATATATATATATATTAGTGATCAGAAGTAAAAATCGATAGACAAAAGGAGAAGACCATACAGGCATATTCCGGTGAAATGTAACCATGCGTTCCGACTGATTTGGTCCTGAATGATTCTTTGCCTTCCTCTGTTAACCGGACCAAACCAAAATCGGATACCTTGGCTCGCATATTGTCTCCCAGCAGAATGTTTGTCGGTTTTAGGTCTCTGTGGATGTAGCTTTGATTTTGCCGAGCCAACGTATGCAGATACTCTAACCCTCTAGCAACATCCAATGCAATGGTAAGCCGTGTAGTCCAGTCGAGTTGTTTCAGACCTTCATCCTCCCAGTCAAAAAGATGTCTACTTAAGGTCCCCTGTCGCATGTAGTGGTATACCAAAAGCCTCTCATTTCCTTGAAGACAATACCCATGGAGACCCACAAGGTTACGATGATTAACCTTAGTTAGCACGCTAACCTCAGCTTCGAACTCATCGATACCTTTTCCGCCAATAGACGATTGATCCATCCTCTTCACCGCAATCTCTATGCCGTCCCGCATTTTACCCTTATAAACCGTTCTGAATCCACCTCTACCAATGATATTATGATCGCCAAAGTCATCCGTGGCATCCCTCAGAATCTGATACGAAATCACATTGTTCTCTGTTTCCATGATCTCAATATCGACACCAGATTGCTGAGTTTCAATCGGCTCTGTCAGCCTGTTAGATTGATTCTTTCTCACAGCCAAATACAGAGCAATACCGATTCCTCCAATGATAACCAAACAAACGACGACAGCCCCAATTAGAAGTCCCTCAACAACTGATATTTTCTTGTTCCTTGTGTTCCAAGAAACATCCATCTGTGGATTCCCTACCGTGTCTATAACGATATTCCAAATCTGTGGCACTTTTCCATGTAGCTGATTATAAGAAACATCAAGAATTTCCAAGTTCTTCAACGTAAACAGCTCCATAGGAATGGTCCCGGTGAGATGATTATGTGAAAGATCAAGCACCTTAAGAGAGGTGAGATCTGCAAACCTCCGAGAGATGTTACCGGTCAGATTCATGGAGATAAATGTGATGGACGTGATGTTACCTTCTAAACAGCTGATCCCATACCAGTTCTGACAAGGGTCATCCCCTTTCCAACTATGCGCAAATACTGGCGGGAAACCGTATTCTCTGGCAATTGATAGCAGAGTGACTCTCGGATCACAAGTACCTCTGGAGAATCTAATAAACCGTAACTGCTGCTCCCTGTACTTAAACGTGCCTCCACATAAACCACGAAACAGAGCAGATAAAACATGAAACCCAATCTTCTCATCCTCGACAAGTGAGAGCGTTGGGGACTTCAAAAGAAGAAGTGTTAGTTTTTCATCATACAAACCATGGCCATTAGGGCAACACAATCTGAAAATAATTTAGAATTGGTTCACTGAAATGAACGAGCCATAATCTAAGCAACTTTAGAGTATAAACAATGTCCCATTGGGATAATTCACACACTGATCATAATGCCTGAAAAATATGTGCATTGGTCGGATCTGAAACCCATTGATAACCAATTTACCATAGAGTCACCTGATCACTGTATTTCCAGTAGAGTTACCAGTTATATTGAACAAGTTACAAGGGAAATCAAAGAACAGAACACCATGAAACTCGAAAGAAAAGAAAAATACGGACCATTTAGAAAGCGACATTGATGAAGAGGAGAACCCGTGCACCGTCCCTTGATCAAGGCAAAGGTCGGCGTCTTTGCCGGAGATATACTAATTCCCGGAGAAAACTTTGCAAGAAACTCTGAAAAGTTTGTAAGGACCTTGAATCCGGAGGATATAAATATGTTTGTACCGATCTATAATGAACTCAGATTTTGTTGTCACTGATTGAAACGCAGGCGACAGTCCAAATTTACCAACGATCGCTTGCTGTGAGTTGGATCTATACTTTACTTTGGATTTTGCTGTTAGTTTAAAACGCAGGCGAAAGTCTAATTAGTTAAAACGAAGATTTTCCATTAACGTCCATTATTTTTTTTTTCGTTCCATAAAAGGTTAAAGCAGTATTTGATCCTTGAAATAGTAAGTTTGTAGGCCATGGCATTGCCAAACAAATTTTTCTAAACTCTCTTTTCAATATCGCGTCCTAAACCACTCTACCAGTCGCCGGCGTGGCGTTAGTCGGCCACCGGAGATATTTTGATAAAATCGGTTAAGGAGGTAAGAATCTCAGAGAAAGAGAGAGTTGCAGAGGTGAGAGTAGGAGAGTCGCTGGTCAAGAAGAAAAAGAGAAATAGGAGGGAAAAAACATATAATATATATATATAATATATATATATATATATATATAACTATTTAAAAAAATGGGAAGCGAACCCCCGCGCTAAATTTATCAAAAAACGGAAAATAACCACCAATCAAACCAGAGACTTCATCAAAATTCCGGTTCACTCTATAACACTTGGATTTTATCCTATATTATTTGATTATACATACTAGCAGTGATATAACAATTGGATTCTGGTTCACTCCATAATAATAGAGACTGTTTCTTTCCTAAAACGAATATTATGTTGCAGGAGCATTCAGTAATTACATTCCGAGACTTATTATTATAAGATTAAAACTAATGTCGGACCCACATCCTGAATATTATTGGCTTCACCAAAAATATTAAATATAACATACGGTATGTGTAAGAAACCATCTAGCTCAACTGGTTGGTGAAACTAAATTGTTCAAGCCCACTGAGTGTCCTACTTTTTGTTTTAATTTTTTTGTAACAAATTCTATTTCATCATCTTCTCACGTTTCCATAAATGTAAAAAAAAAATTCCTTTTTCATAAATAATTTTATTTCCTTACGCGCCAAAAAAAAAACAAGAAAACAATATGTTCCTATTTTTCTTTCAATATTTATATAAAATAGCAATTACAATTATAAGACTGAAATTGTTATGTGCAAATGCAATATACAATTTATGTTAATATCACTACAAATGGGTAAATCACTACAAGATTTATGAAAAAATAGAAGGTGACTAAAAAATAATAGAGAATTATCTTATAAAGTCATTGCGGAAAGAAATATAAAAAAACTTACAGACAAGAACAAAAATAAGAATCATAGACTGTGTCGAATCTCTGAATGTAAGAGAGGATCATTTGGGTTGGAAATAAAAGTTAAGGGAAACACATAAAAACGTTCCTTCTTACAATAGTCCATTTTGAACTCAAGTTATGCCCTAAGAAACCATTTCTACAATATATTTAGAAATTTGGGGTTCAAAAATTTATTTCTTAAATATTTGCGGCATGAGGCTAATTAATAACTCATCTGTAAGATGAAACCTGAATATAAACTTATAAAAGTTAAAAAGTAAGTTGATTTTTGTTGCAACTCTGAATCATAAATATTACTAGTATATATAACATTGATGAAGATGAAATATATTAGATAATTTCTCTAAATATTTTACATTCGTTGAAGCTTTTTTTATTTAGTGGTTGATTAAGAACTTATTAATGTTTTTTTTTCACAAAGTCTGAGGTTTTTTTTTGTTGTAGAAACAAAGTCTGAGGTTTGTTGCAAATTATGCATATATTAATGGAAACAAATTTATAGATAACTCTAGCATGGTGAAATTAAGAATGTAATTGTCTATCATGAGAATTAGGTATAACCGTTTATTGTGGAATTTTGTGATGCATATAGATTTGTCTGAAATTATATGTGGATAGAATATCGTCATATTTTCAAATATATCAAATATCGTCATATTTTCAAATATTACAGAAAGTTAAATTTGCTTGTCTGAGTTAATATCATAATTTATAATATGATTGTAAATTGAATTAGCATCCTGTAAATAATATTTCAGACGACAAATATATATATCTAAATAATATAAAGCACGTAAGGCAGGTTTTGTAGTTTTATCTCATAATTTCGTACATGCAAATCTTATCAATAAAATTTACTGAATATCCTTAGGAAGATATAAACAATTTCTCTCATTTTATTGATTTTCTTCTTCAATCATGTTTTAAATCTATAATCAACAAATTTAAGTGAACGCACTATTCGTCTATTAACACATTTTTTTAACGCTGCATTCATTAAATTTAAAATATCAAGAGTGAAAAGGAACACCAACAAGCATCCAACAAAAGAGATAGCTCCCACGAGTAGGGGAGACACAAATACCTCAGAATATATCAGAGGTTTAACTCCACATAATACGAATTAATGCAAATTAGTTGAAGAAAATTTATCGAAATTTTTTGTGTTGTGTTGTGGAAGTTATTTCTTGTAGTCTCGTATATCAAGGAAGTTATTTAGTCTACCGTAAATGTGGACCATGTGGTACATGTAAAATTATATATTATGGACTCTTATGATACAGAGAATTGTCTGATGTGGAATCATCCGTGGAGGAGCTATTCGTCATGTTTCTAAATGTTGCTAATACTTCGATTCGCGAATCTCGACTAAAATCATCAAAATTATATACCTGATGGCGCAAAAAAAAAAATTATTGAATGATTCAACATTACTATTTCTATTATTTATTGATAGATTTTTTTATCATTGATTACTCCATCTTTACTCATTTTCTTTAGTCAACAGTCGTTATGTGTTTAACAAAAAGAAAACAGTCATTATGTCATATTCTTCTTTGATCGGTTTTGGTAGTTTCATTTTATTTGGTACCAGAGCTACGCGCAAGTTTTCTTTAATGTGATACATTCAATAGTTTTATGTTTTTTTTTTTACCAATATTTGTTGAGTATCTTTGATTTTTTTTTTTGTAATGTGTTAAAGTGGACATTTAGATTTACTAATAAACGATTAACAATTCCCACTTTACTCAGCTTCCGGATGGTCCTCATGTCATCATCCTCCTTGTAATCCTTCTTCAGCTCTTCCTCTGTGTCCACCTGTTTCCACAACAGCCATTACAACTCCAAGCAGACCTCCAATGTTCTTATTTAATACTTCCTTTTGTCGCTCAAATACATCCTCCTAACAATGTGACCCATAATATTATGATTATCAACACCACTAAAAAAAGAAATTGAAGTTTGCAGCGAACATTAGCTGGGTGAGACTTTTAGCTTGTCAAACAATCGGTTTCTCAAAAAATCACTAAACAAGATCTACACAATTGACCACCAGAAAACGGACTTGTTTCTTTTGGATTAGCAAAATAAATCAATGGTAATGTAGTTTGAGAAGTAAGACCTTAACATCCAATACACTCATAGCTCTGCCATTAAATTCAAAAATAAGACCTACGCCCTGAGTCATGATCAAACATAGCTAAGCATTTGATATTACGTCAATATTCATCTATAGTGGATATATAAATAACCCAAAAATCTAATAGCCAAAAAAAATCCTATAGAGAAACATAAACTGATAAAAGTGATGTTATATGGTTGATCCATGTGACCCTGTTAAGAGCACCATCAACTTTTATAAAGACGTCTACATTTGTTACCAATAATATAATGGGTTTAGATATTCAAGAGACATGAAGTGAAGAAAACCTTCACTACGGTTAAAGTTTTCAAATATGATAAACTTACTTACCTTTGATGCTGAGATGTCCAAACGAATCCATTGATGCCTGATTACAAATTTGGTGAATCCTGATAAGAATGAGAATGCGAAACAATTTTTCCTAAAAAGGGAAAGAAAACAATTTTTTTTTATGAATCATACATGTACATATACCTGTGTTCTATCGCGTATGAGATATCGACAAAAACGATAGATGCAAAATCTTCGACATGGAAGAAGCTAGATCCAAAGACTCCATCCCCTTTGTAGAATCTTAATTGACCATTGAATGGTTTTTTGTAGAGAAATCGAAATTAGCTAGCACCTGAAATTTTTTTAAAAAAAATACTGTACACGAAAATATTGTATATAAGAGAAGATGAAGAGAGGGATACGCTCAGTACATTTAGGAGTCCACGTGGCACTCTCGCATATGATGAAGTATCGCAAGCTAGAAAGTGCTCTTCATCTTTTTTATAGTAGATTTTGACTTGATCTTTATCATAAAGGTCATGATAATGTAAAATGCCATTTTCATTTAATAGATTTGAGTGATTCAAACTGTTTTGATGAATTTTCTGATTTTAAAGATTCAAATTTTAAGATTTTGAATGACATTGCATAAAGAAATGATAAAGTTTCCTTAAATCAGCCAAAATCATTAAAATTTTATTAAAACTTAAATGGGGTCAACTATTTGGTTCAATACACCCTCTTTAATTCTTTCAAATTTGGATATTTGTTGCAGAGACTATGGACTATAATTAATGCAAAGGTTTTTTATTTTGCTAAAGATTAATGCAAGATTAACATGAGATATATTAGACACTTTTGCAATCTGAATTTTAAGGTAAGTAGATTCCTTTCTCTTTTCAAGAAATTAAAATAGGAATGGATGTACCGACCTAATCTCTTATATAAAGGGAGATGGTCATGCAATTTGATCTAAAACCAAGAAGGAAAACCAACAATAGAGCTATAGTGACAATGATGTCAGCACAAAAGTTTCAACTTGCATCTCTGCTCTTAGTTATTTCTCTTCTTTTTTCTCAATCAGCTGGTAAATATTTTCTTCCTTTCTTTTATCATTTGAAAACAAAGGGAATGCTACATAGAATGAGCATGTAAAAAGGGAATTCAAATTTCTTGATGTTATGTGTTTTAATTTATTATTATTTATTTTTTTTAAACAAGGGTAATTTTTTTTTTGTTTTTCAGCAAACAGATGTATCTATAAAGGTCCTTCTAAAACTGATGACGACTGCAAGAAGATATGCACTGGCCCTGGGGAAGATCCATCTTTTTTGTTATGCATTACTGGCCCCCCAATGAATGGCAAATGTTGTTGTAAACATCCAAATCAGAAAGATAGTCTTGTTCTACCATGATACATCCATACGTTTGTATCATCACCTATCATAAATTTAAAATCAATAAAAACTAATGTTTGGATCGAATTATTTTTTTCATGTCTAAGTATGCTATATGTCATCATATACAACAAAAATGAAGACAATTATCACACAACAATGCAAGATTATTATAGTTTATAACAAATATTAGATAAAACTTGTTGGTTCCCTCAGTTAAAACGTGTTTAACGACACTGAGATTGTAAACAGTTAATTTCTTGTAAAATTTTGATGAGGTGATTTCATCATGTGTCCGAAGAGGAAATCTGCTGGAGTGAGTGTGTTTTGATCAAGGTGGAGAATATTGTGATATGATCAAAATTATGAGATTCGGTTATTGAGTTTAGGGTTGGTTAAACCGGAAGGATCAATTCCGGTTATCGAGGGTTCGATTCAAATGAGGAGAAACACGCTTAATGAAGTGGATGGTTTGTTTGTGACAAGACTCTGGGCAACAGGAAGGGTTTTCTAGTTACGACTTTCTTGTCGTTATATTATTATATACTCTGCATCGTCTTCTGTTCTCATGTATTCCGATTCCATTTCTCTTGATCTTGAGCTCGATTCTTGTTGTATGAGCGTTGAGAGTAATTGAAGTAATTTTTAATATTTGTATTGTTACGGTCTACTAAGGAATTGATGATGTCTCGGTGATGTGTTTTTGTGATTCTAACTTGATCAGGTTGAAATTTTCACCAAAGACTTGTACACCAAGTATTATAGAGATATGCTCAGATTGCAAAGAAGAATCAAAGGGCCAAATGTTGACCATTCAAGAGTAGCAAACATCCTTCTTTGGTATTGCAAGAAGAATTATAGACCTTCAAAGGAAAAAAGTAAGTGGTTCATAAGATCCATCATAAGATGAATCTCTTAAGGGTTTACATAACGGGGTAACATTGCAAGAAGAGAGGCAAGGAGTTGAAGTGCAGTTACAGTGTAGGACTAGCCTCTTATAAAGGCAAAAGAAACACATGTGTCAAATGTTTTGATTTTTTTTTTTGTTGTTGTGATCTTTCAGTTGTAATAAAAGAGACACACATACTTATGTACATATATGCCCACCCGGTGTATGGCGATTGCCAATTATAATCAAAATCAAATTTCTCTAATTAATTTTGATTTGGCGATTAGCCCAAACCTCACACGTCTTTCTATTTTAGGAGTCGATTATACACAAACAGACTATCACTCTAAATTCTGAACAGCGTGCTGCTCCAGTAGAATTAAGTCAACACAAGGATAATCTGTAACTATATATTAGCAAAACATGATAACTTTCTGTCATTTTTCTTATATTTTACTCATATTTTGCATATGTTTTGCATATTTTTATCAATTTATTTTCTTTCTTCTTATTTCAATTTTTTTCTTTGGATAGTAACAATTGATAGAATTTTAAATAAAAAGTAAACTCATTAAATTCACTAAGAGTAATACCAATTTGATGTTTTGAAAATATTTGATATGTAATTATATTGATTACCTATGGAGACCCACAAGTTTACGATGATCTTAGTTAGCACGCTAACCTCACCTTCAAACTCATCAATACCTTTTCCACCAATAGACAGAGTGATCCATCCTCTTCACCGCAATATCTATGCCGTCCCGAATTTTACCCTTATAAACTGCTCTGAATCCACCTCTCCCAATGATATTATCATTGCCAAAGTCGTCTGTGGCATCCCTTAGAATCTGATATGGAATCATATTGTTCTCGGTTTCCATGATCTCATTGTCGACACCAAATTGCTGAGTATGCATCGTTTCAATCGGTTCTGTCGGCCTGTTAGATTGATTCTTTCTCACAACCAAATAGAGAGCAATACCAACTCCTCCAACGAGAAGCAAACAAACCACAGCCCCAATGAGAAGTCCCTCAACAACTGATATCTTCTTGTTCCTTGTGTGCGAAGAAACATCAATAAAGTTAGTCTCAATCTGCGGATTCCATTCAGTGTCTATAACCATATTCGTAATCTGTGGCACTTTTCCATGTAGCCGATTATAAGAAACATCGAGAATACCCAATTTCTTCAGCTTGATAAGCAGCTCCATAGGGATGGTCCTGGTGAGATGATTATGGGAAAGATCAATCACCGTAAGAGAGGTGATATCTGCAAACCTCCGAGAGATGACACCAGTCAGATTCATGGAGATAAATGTGATGGACGTGATGTTACCTTCTAAACAGCTGATCCCATACCAGTTCTGACAAGGGTTATCCCTTTTCCAACTATGCGCAAATACCGATGGGAAAACCGGTGGGAAACCGTATTCTCCAGCAATTGAAAGCAGAGTGACTCTCAGATCACAAGAAGTACCTCCTGGAGAATCTAAACAGTTGCTGCTGCTTACTGGACTTAAACTGCCTTCACACAAGCCACGAAACAGAGCAGAGAAACTATGAAACCCAAACTTCTCATCCTTGACCAATTGATACAGTAAGAACCTTGGGAACTTAAAAAGAAGAAGAAGGTGTTAGTTTTTCATCATACATACCATGACCATTAGCATTGGTAACAAGTGTCATTATTGAAAGAAACTAAAGTTCGCAATACTTTCTTCTTGTATGCATCGTTTTCAGGGGACATATAGCCTCCAAGAACATGAAACCTTTGAGTGTAATGCATCTCTCGCCAGCTCTAAACACGAAAAAAAAAAGACTCATCAGTTCAAAGGACATTCACAAGCATCAACATCAATAATCAAGAAGCCACTAAGTTTTGCTGTTCTTTCTGATGATATTCTGGTTTCGAAAAATACGATGCTCATAGTCATAGGGCAACACAATCAGATAATTTAGGATTGTTTCACTGAACAAGTAAATAACGGGCCATAATTTTTCCCAACTATATATTAGCAAAACATGATTACTTTCTGTCATTTTTATTTATTTTCTCATATTTTTCATATGTTTTGCATTTTTTTATCAATTTATTTTCTTTCTTCTTATTTCAATTTTTTTAGATAGTAACAATTTATTGATAGAGTCTAATATATAAAAGATGAAGGAGGAGCTCTTCAACAGCAACACCTCGTTATTTATGAGCCTATAAAAATCTAACTTAGAGAATGGAAATCGATGTTTATTGTGATGTTAGCAAAATCGTTATAGAATCGTTGTATCAAGTAAAATTTTTTCAGGTTAATTTGATTGTTAAAGTAATTTATTTTCTAATCAAATCCGAATTACAAGGTTATTATTATCTCTTATTTGTGATATTAGCTTATTTAGGATTTTTGAAATATATAAAAGATGAAGGAGGAGCTCTCAAACGGCGACATCTCACACCTCATCATTTATGAGCGAATAAAAATCTAACTTAGAGAATGAAAATCGATGTTTATTGTGGTGTTAGCAAAATCGTTATAGAATCGTTGCATCAAGTAAAAATTTCTCAGGTAATTTGATAGTTAAAGTAATTTATTTTCTAATTAAATCTGAATTACAATGTTATTATAATCTCTTGTTTGTGATATTAGCTTATTTAGGATTTACGAAAGATTAACGGATTTGTTTAATTGTCTGATGTTTTCCGAAACTTACAGTGAGAAAGTAAAACTGTGCAATTGAAAGTGACTTTCGAATATTACGAATGAGAAGAGGAGAGTTTCTGTCATGAAGAAATATATTTTCTTATATGACGAATGAAAGTGGTTATATATTTTGTTGATCCACCAAAAAATATTGATAGTTCTCCTCATATATGTATCTTGTGGTATCCAACGGTAAAATTCGTGGTTCAGTTACTCGTTCGAAAGATCAATGAGGCCTGAGAAGAAGCACCATGAAGAAAGTGGAAAGCAGACCAATATCATGCTAAAGCCAATTCAATGAAGCATAGAATAAAACTAATAATACCTTGTATATTAACATAACTCATACATATCTAATTTCACATTCTTGGACTCAATAACTCGAACCAACATGTCCTGAAATAAACAAAGCCTAGCATAAAAGCTTAAACAAGCTCAAAGGCTTGAACTGTTTTGTTGAGCTGTGATCATCAGGGTGCATGAACTTGCAGTTGGGACACACAAGAGTTGGTTTAGAGAGCATAACCAGCATGTGACACTTCATGCACACTGTTGTAACCATTTCTTGCTTCTTCTGAGAATCGTCATCATCACCTTCAAACGCTAGCCAAGACGGGGATCGACTTAACCCTATATCACCTGACTTTCCCTTCTTACTTGGGGTCATGATCAAACTTTCTTCTTTTGAACATTCGTCTTTCTTCAAGATTGTTTTTACAGTTGAACTTGATGAGGAAGAAAGGTTCAGCTCAAGGTCCAGGCATGTCCTATGATCTTGAAATGTGTCTGACTCTGCCTGGAAAACAGAATTGTAACATGTTTTAGGTCATGTTTCTATGAACACCCTTACATATATATTTCGATTTACGTATACATACCTTAGTGTCTAGGTGAAGCCGAAAATCAGGCTTTATCAACCTGGCGCTCTCCGACTTTGATATTTGGTAGAACAGAGTAGTGTTCTTCTCAAGTTTGATTTGTGTTTGTTCTCCTTGTTTGCTCCGTTTGAAAGTACCATGAAAAGAATCTTCATAGACTTTCGTCTGATCCCTCTTTTTAGAGCACAGGGTTCCATCATGTAGAGAAAACATTAGACTTTTCACTCTATTTATGCCTAAGAAGCTCACACTTTGTGTTGGTGTTAGAGAACGAATATGATCAGATAGACGAAGAGATTGTGAAAGTCGTATGTTTATAAAAGAAGCCACCCATGGGAGTTATTATCTCCACCGGCTCATGTAGAATAGTAGACAAGAGTAAATGAGTTAGATATACCTAAATAAATATCATAGATAATCGAATAAATTAGGAGGATTCAGTTTGGGATTATTTGACTATTTATTAATTAAGAAATCTTTACTTTATACAAATTAAACGACCCATAACATATTAGTATTGATATCTATTAAAAGATGGTAACTGAAGATTTTAACCCAATGTATTTATACTTTCTACAATATACCCTTAATTTTAAGGGTGTCAAGATTTATCAACTATACTTCTAAAATGTAGATGAAGTCCTACATTGTTTTATATGGATTAATTTGAGTTCCTTTTAAAAGAAAACCGATAAATTAAAATTTAAAAATAAACTAGTACAATATTTCAGAAGATGATATATATGTGAGTTCCAAGTTAGGTGTGTTCAATAAGTGAGGGTATTGCTCCAAGGAGCCTCATTGAAATTTGTAGATTTGTAGTTCTATTGAATTCCTCTTTTTTGGTTTTCTCTTCCACCAACATTATCATCATGACGATATCATCAAACATTATCTGGAGATATGATGATGCATATATGTGCCTACATACGAGTTGAGTGTATTCTTGTTGCTCATGAAGTTGTCTAGATGTATGTCTATGTGCGTATGATGTGGTAATAAGAGATATGCGATTCAAGAGGTCAATAAATAATAAATAGATGGAAACTAAATACAGTTGAAGGGGGAAGGTTCATGACTTCATGAATGCCGATGCAACTTTAATATCACAATAACTCTCACTCCCACTTTTCAATATATAACAGAATAAATACACGAACACACCCACACATATATATATATATTATCATCTTAATATTGAAAATTTTCTATAGTCAGTTCCAAAATTTCAAATAGATTGAAACCTTCTTCAACGGCCTACCATGCCACGACCTTCGCTTGCTCATTAATTTTTATGACTCTTTTGGTCAGCTTCCTCATAAATCGCTTTTCTATATTTCCCATTTATTTAAATTCAACGGCTGCATTTATGCATGGATATCTAATATATTTATTGTATCATATTATATTTTTATATCCATATTGTATATTATAAATGTTTATGTGTAATATGTATTCGTAGATATCATCGAATTTGGGTCCCAAAAATAACTGAGAAACTTTTAAATATTCACTAGATCTTTATTAAAAAAAACTAAAAATGTTTCTAACCAAGTAAAAACTAAAAAACAAAAAAGTTTTGAAACGTAAAATATGGAAATAAAACATAATAACAATATAAAACCCCGCTAGCTAAGAAAATCTAATCACTTTATTTCAATAACCGTTTGTGTTGCTTAGTACTTACTCTCTGATCTTGGGGCCGTTCACCATTATTTTATTGTTTGAAACGTACCACTCCATATATAAGTCGTGTTCGTGTGTAATTGTGTATTTAGAGTCCAGAAAGTAGGCATAAACACAATATAATTCAAATGAATGGGCCACACCATGCCGTATTTGACCTCTAAATAAACGGAGCTTTAGTTATCATTACGAAGATGAAAGAAAACAATTATTCATCCAAAAAAAAAGAAAGAAATCAATTATCTCAAATAGTAACAAATTGAAAAGATCATAAATTGGCAGTATATGGCTGGGAAAAGGTTTTAATAGCCCATAACAGCAGTTACAGTTAAGACTTAAGATTCATGTCTCATCATTCTATTTAAAGCTAACACCATAAACTTATAATTTCGTAAATTAATCAAATATACAAGAAATAGGGAATATATTATCAAAGCTCCAAGTAATTTTTTTGGTCGCGCGTAAAATAGTTGATACGTATCTTGAATTACTTGGTTAAATGGAGAATCATAATTGTGACCCTCAGCTAAAATTATTTTCTGAAATACTAAAATCGTTATAATTTCCTGGTGGAAGAATTAAAGATTCTGTACTTGTCTACCCGTTTCCATTAAATAATTTTGAACAAGTATAAATGCGTAGTAACAGTTAATACACACATTGTGTTTTTGGTTCAACAATAATTTTGTAAAACGAAGATGCAAAGATATGTGTTAACAGAAGACGACTGCATGTTACCATGCATAATATGGATTTCTACAGGATGGTGAAATAAATCAATAATCATGATATCGGTGGACTTTATTTAAGTTTTAAAACGTTTACAAATATCTACATTCACATTTTATAATTGCCATCAATGGAGTACAAGTTTTGATCTAGATAAAAAGTTGAAATAAATTCAAACAATTGTGAACTTGGCAACTAAAGAAAAAAAATAATATATGGACAAATAACATATGATCCTAATATTATGTAAGATTTTCAATAATATATATTCCGTCACCATTTTATTGGACTGTCCTCTCCTCGAGTTAGCTAAACCTACTAACGAATTCATTTAAAATAAGCTCTAACGAGTCTTCACAAGGTGCTGACTAATGTAACCATAATTTTCAACTCAAGAATACAATTTGATATTGCTGCTACGGCTACACAAGAAACAACTAATGTCTTATCATTTAATCACTATTTTGTGTTTATAATTTTCGCTTTATATAACGATTAGTCAATTCTGATCTATTACGTTTTTCTGTGTCATGTGATTTTAGGTTGATATTGTGAATTCCAATATAGTTTTAATTTGGTATATATTTCGCAACATGTTGTTTTATAAACCCTTTAGCAAAAAAATTTCATGTAGTTTCTGTTGGTATATATCAAAACACACAAGTGGAGAATCCAAAAAAATATACAAAATGGAGTTGCTTAACTGTACCTATTTATGGATTTCCAAGGAAAATTGTATAGCTACTGAATTTGTTTTTTTAGACTTTGTATGCAAAAAGAATGAAAACATTGTATAAAGTTTTCTTCCAGTATCCTTCTCTCGAATAGTAGTTGGGCCAAAACCAAGTCTACAAAATCATAAAGACTCTTGTGTAGAACTCACCACAACAGCCAACTGATAATAGTGAGGGTGTCCTTATTCGCTTTCCTATCTAATGTGCAGTAAAATAAATTTTTTAAAATATTCACATTTTGATGCCCTCTCTTATGATCCAATGTGAGATATTTTGCATATACACACATTCTTATCACTCTCTTTGCTTCAGCATGATCACATTTTCAGTGTACGGATGCATGCTTCTGTATGACCCAATTTGAATCTCAAATTGTAACGTACATATAAACCATAATCTTTATATCTTACTATGATTTAAATAATTAATTCGTGTGTTTTCCATTTGTTATTATTTTGTCAATATATTCTTTAATTTCGTCACATATTTATTTTTCTAATTTCTATAACCAAATTAAATATAGTGAGGCAAAGAGACATAATCAATTCATAAGAAGATTCCGGTTTAGAAAAACATGATCGTACCAAACAACATAGAATTTCGTTCCAAGAAACAATCTGATGCGACAAAAACAACAACAACAACAACAAGGGAGCATTGTCTGGAAGTAGTAGACATTGCGTTACAGAGATTAAGTAAGTATGTTTGTGTTTATTCGTAGAAGAAACTTGTGGAAGAAGAAACAACAACAGATTTTGAAGTTACAGACTCACCCACCAGCGACTAGAGCCTCTTGACTTTCAATTCTTCAAGAGGTTTCTCGAGAAAATCCTTTTGCAATAAGGATTGTTACGTAGAATCGAGTGAGGCCTTATGACTTCAACGAGTGCGGCATGAAGTGAACCCTGTTTCATTCCACAAGATCTTGATCACTTCTCCAATATCTAAAATCAAAAGTTAGGGCTAATTAATTGAATTTGCTCTGTACCTTGGTGACAGAAAGAGCAGCTTGGATGACAAAATTGGCATAAGGATCTTGAATTAGGAGATCGAAATGAGGAACAGAGATGAGTTCACGCACGATCTGAAGACGGCTCTCTGGACAATGTGTTAAGCATCGTTCCACCAAATGGCTACTGAATTTCTGCATCGAAAGCTCGACATAATGCCCTTTTAGCTGCGCGAGCACCATGGCAGTCGCAGAAAAATCCCTCAGTTCTATAACGAATTGGACTGCATAGTTCCTGCATTTGATCAAGAAAGAAAGCTGTTAATACTCTCTCAGAGGGTAAATTCTTGTTTCTTGAGATTGTTAAAATTACCCGTAAGGGTCTTGAGCAAGGAAGAGACTGCTTCTAGAGATCCCTGCTATGAGCTTCTCTCGTTGTTGTCCAGTGGAATAAGCAATGCATTTTTGTAACACACAACATCCATGTCTATGTGTCGCGATATCAATGCAGAACCTTGTAGCATCTTCAAAGATGAACTATAAAGAGTGATAAAAATTTGGTTCAGAGTTTCTGATATAAGTTCTCAGCTTAAGAGTGAAAGAAGAACAGGTCTTATGTTTTTTTTACCTCGTTAGCTTCTGTACTAAAGCATTGCAAGCAACGTTGAATCACATGATTCCCATTGAGATCCCTAATAAGATTGAGAAATCCAGGTCTCAAAGCTGACTTCACCAGATATATTTGCTTCTTGGTTTTGATTGACTCCACTAATCTCTGGACAACTCGAGTACTTAAACACACAAACACAAAAGAAACAATCTTAGCTTGACATCAAGTTTGATAATATTGGTGAACATCATTTACACAGAACTCTCTTACCCGTAAGCGTTGAGTGAAATCCGGATAAGCAGTCCAGGTTCTGCAGTGACCATGAGTATGATCTGTGTTCTCTGTTCTTCATTGCAAAACTCCAATAGTTTCTGCATCAAGTAATTCCCAAAAGGATCCATCATAAGCTCGACGACATGAGGAATCACCTCATTGAAAACTATCATAGCATCTAGAGCAGTTCCATCTTCAAAGATCCTCTGCAAGAATCTGCATCCATGCTGATCTTTAGCCATCAAGTAAACATATCCCTGGATCTCAGATATCTTAGGAAGACTCGGATGATTAGTGTTGCCACTGCTACTTCCTTGATGATCAAACAACGTCCCAACACCGCTTCTCCGATGAGAGTTTGATGAAGCATTGTTGAATCTTTTAGCTTCCATTATGAAGCTGTTGTCGAAGATGAATGGCCCGTTCGTAGATGAAGAAACCATGGATCGAGCAGTACTCAAAGGAGACGACATTTCTGCAGATTTGTAACCAAAATTGAAAGGAATCTCTGGATTGAGAGTCTCTCCATAGCTCTGAAAACTAGGGATTTGATTATTCGCTCTAAATCCATTATCATTAGGTTCGTAATTCCCCAAATTTTTCAGTTGATTTCCAGTGAAATGTTGGAGATGTGTCTTATCTTCATCTTCTTCGTCATCTTCTCTGATGTTCAAACGATGGATGCGTTCGCAAATTCCCAAATCATCAGAAACAACACTAGTGTTGTAATGCTTCGTCGTCATCATCCCATCGAACGGAGGAGAAGCGAATTGAGAGGAACCATCCTCAGAAGAACACAATCCGTTCGAGAAGTAGCTCGAAATCGAGTAATCAGACGGCGATCGGAGACAGAACCTGCTCGAGCTAGAAGACGAGTGATCACCTGGAAAGAGATTTTGATTCCGGTAGAGATTCCGAGAGTGATTCCATGGTGTTTGCAGAGGAGAAGAAGGAGAACGTGAGAGAGTCGACGACGACGACGACGACGACGAAGCTTCTCCGAATTCACCACCTCTCATCATAATCTCGAATAGTTTCTTCGTTTGTCTCTGCGAAAATCCAGGAGAAACAGTTTCGGAAATCGGAATTAATTTCAACGGAATCGAAAAGATCCACTAAATTTTTACAGAAGAAAGAAATTGTTTGGTAAAGGCGAAAATGTCTGATCAATCTTCATCAATAAGAATCAGTCGTTCTCTGAGTGGTTTTCATGGAGTCTGATGCACAATGAGCTCAGTGACGAGAGAAATGGAGAAAACGGAGAAGGAAGGGAGTGTAAAGGGTTCTTTTTCAAAAGTTTTTGGCATCAAAATATTTATGATTTATTTAATATAATTTTGTTTTTGTTTTCGAAATCTATTTTTATTTATTTATGCTGTTTTTTTTACTAGTAAGTGATGAAGAAAAGTGTTTTTGTAATTATTTTTTTAAGTAAAACGTAAATTTAAATTCAACAGATAATGCGATTAAATATGCTGGATTTTCTTGTTCTGTTACGATTCTTTTGACCTATATCTGATCCGAATTAGATGGATAAAAATAGGATTCCACAAATCAAAATATTGGCAATCTGCAAAGTTGAATTGACAATTAAACCTCAAAAATCTATGCACAATTTATTTAGGCACAATTTAACTTTATTTAGGAAAATAAACCTCAAAAATCTTAAAATATGGTCTAATAATATTAACAAGGTTTAAGCAAACAAAAAAAAAAGGAGATTAAGCACAAAACAAATCTTTTTACGATCAAAATTTGTTCCCTCATGCAAATTTGAATGAGTTTACGCTCCCAATATAATTTCTTTTTTTTCTCTTGGGAACTCTTTTATTTTTGGAGATAACTTATGTTCTTGAGGTATGAGGTATCACATCTATGTAATATTTGTTATACGCTTTAGTGTTTTGTAATGTGTGGAGAGATGAAGAGTTTAGGAAGATTGTCTATTATGATGTGTGTGCGCCTTTATGGATTTTTTTGTTTTGTACTATTCTTTTGACATATATTTGATCCGAATTAGATAGAAAAAAATAGGATTCCACAAATCAGAATATTGGCAATCTGCAATGTCGGATTGGAAACTAAACCTCTAAAATATATGTACAAGTTTATTTAGGCACAATTTAACCCTATTGAGAAAAATAAACTTCAAAAATCTTAGAATATGGTCTAAAGATATTAAAAATGTTTTTTGGATAAAAAATGAACAAAACAAACCTCTTTACAATCAAAATTTCTCCCCTCATGCAAATGTGAATGAGTTTATCCTCCCAGTATATTTCTTTGTTGCTAAAAAATAAGAACACTACCAACCTTTTCTCTTGTGAACTCCTTACTTTCGGAAATAACTTACGTTCATGAGGAGGTATTACAGTTGTTCTCTATGCAATATTTGTTATGTGATTTAGCGTTTTTTAGTGTGTGGAGAGATGAAGAATGTAGGATGATTGTCTATTTATAGATTCTAAGAATTGGCATCCATGTAAATGGGTTTTATTACATAAATATGATGTGTGCGTGTGCCTTATGGCGTTCTCTTTATCTTTCTTTCTTTAACTTTCTATTTAATTAACCAATTCGACTATAACCATAGATTTACCAAAATTTATGAAAAAATACAATTCATAGGATAAAGCTCAGCCGCTTGAAGTGTATGAAGGTTGGTGAGAAACTAATTATAATTTATCTTTGTAGTGCAGTGATTATTTTTTTTTTAGCTTACATACAGCATAGTTTATAGAAACAAAAACGTAGAAGTAATTAAATTCCATGGGACAAATTATATACGTTCATAATTTGTCCTCATCTTACTGACGCGTTTAATTGATTATTAGTCTCTTGACATTGGTCAATTAGTTTCTATATTCTGTTAGTAAAATCTGAGTCAAGGAATAAGCCTGACTTGGAATATCATTGATTTAGTTTCCAAATTAGGAAAGTCTCCTAAACAATAGCTTCTGACACAAGCTAGTCACTTTTTGACTACCACCAAATCATCTCGCTGATTATGGCTTCCGCGTAGTTTCCTCCCTTCACGTCACCATCCCAAGTATCTTTTCTTTTGCATCCTGCTCAAAGTAAAGCTTGTGTTTGTGTCAATTTGTAGTGTCTCGTTCTTTCGACCAAAAATGTGGATCCTTAGTCGTTCTCACGTAATCAGATTTGGGCTTGAAGCATACGATGAGCCTATCTTTTCCACTAATTGTTTTTTTTTCAGTGGCCCATTAACCAATCGTAGTATATCAGTTAACAACTATCTATGTACCATCAAACTTCTAAAGATTGGATTAAAATTGAATTGTTTGGTTTGTGTTTCAAATTATGTCCTCTGAATTGGGTATTAACGAGGTTCATTATATTAAATCGTTATTAGCACTGCATACTACTATCCATTTAGTTCTATCTCGAGTTTCATTTACAAGAAACTAAAACATTAATATATTCGTCGGAATATCATGAAACCAAATCTCAAATTTATTCACCGGAAGTTTATATATTGTTATGATAAAAACTTACTTTAGATTCACAAGATATAAAAAAAGTATTAATTTTACAAAGGAACTAATGATCAAGAGAGCAGAGATCATTTCTTCCAGCTTCGGCTTCGAAACAGAGGATCTTGAATTCCACTTACAACCCAAGTTTCCTTGGCGATATCTGCAGAGAGTCCGTAACAGTTTGTGTCGTAACTCATCACCACCAAATCCATCTTCTTCTCTTCCTCCATCAATGATCTCAAATCGTTCTTCTTTCTCACTGTCACCTTCTCTTCTTCTCCGCTCTGTTTTTCAGTGTTGTCACATCCTCTGTTACCTTCCTCTGTTTCAATTTCCTTCTCAACCCAATTCTTAACCGGCGCAGACCTGCACCGCATCAGCAACAACGCGTTTGGCGGCGGAACCGCAGTTTCCGCGTCCGAAAACGCTTTCTTCTTATCGTCGACACACTCCTCATTGTTTTGCTTTTCGTGTAGAACCATGAACCATTTCGAGAAGACTGTCCCCGAACTCTCATCATCTTCCTCTTCTTCTTCTTCTTCGTCGGAGATTGCATCGACCGGAGGAAACGCACCAAAACACCGAAAATCAAACTGGAGATTGCGTAGACAAGTCAAGAACCCCGTGACATCCTTCTTGAACCCTAAGAACGTACTCTCCGACTTGCTTCTACGGATCTTCTCAATCTCCGCCATTAACGACTGCCAGCTGTTGCTTTCACCAACATCTCCTCCGCGTTTGCTTGGCCGGACTTTGATCTGACCGGCACACGTGACTTTCGGCGACGTGGGTTCTTCTACCATCTCCCCTCTGCCACCACCACCGCGTTTCTGGTGGACGCCGCCGCTTCCGGAGAGCTTACTGAGGCTGCGGCGATGTTTAGGAGCGTTTTGACGGCGGTTAAGGGAATGAGAAGGGCTACAAATGGATTTAGGAGGTAAACACAAATGGGCTCTTGAAGGAAAACAAACCATCAAATCTGAAGAGTAACCAGAAGAGTTTCCTCCTCCTCCTCCTTTGATCATCTCTTCTTCTTCTTCTTTTTTCCAATATGATTCACTCTTCGTCTTCGCTTGTTTCTTATATGTAGGATCGATTTTTGAAGAGGTTGGTTTAGCTTTTGATGAGTGTTCTTTTTTTCTTTCTTTTGGTTTAAATTTTGCTTTTCTCTTAAATTTAATTTGTTTATTTAGCCTTTTAGCATCTTTGTGTGACAGCTTCGCAAACTTTAGCTTTTGTGGGAAAATACTACTTTCTGCATTTCGCAAATTGTTTTTGGCTTCCTTTATTTATCTTATCAAAACTATTAAAATAAATTGATAATCATTTTTTTGGTTTTGGTTGGTACCATCAACCATGAATAAACTATGAGGGTTGAATGACTATCTCACATGCTTTTACTAACCAAAATGTTTACGTACTCATAATTTTTTAAAAATGGAAGGAATCTTGGGTTGAATCCAAACTAATCCCTAGAGCCTATAAAAGCCAAATTTGTTGGTTATTCAAGGTGTTTAAATTGACCAACCATTGTCGAAATCGTAGGGAAAAGACTCAAAGCTTAATTCGTAAACTAACATGTGAATCAGCCAACTACTAAACCACTATGAGTTAGTTTTTTTTTGGGATGAACCATTATGAGTTACTTATACTCAAATTATATTTAGTACGTTTAGTGTCATATGTTTCTGTTTTTTTTTTATGATTTCTTATTTGCATTCAATATATATATATAAATTACTTCGTTATCATGCAATGTAAACGTTTCAAAAATCAAAATCAATATATTTTTTAGAAAGAGAAAAAGGATATAATGTGACAAATGTGATGGGTTGATGATCAAGTAGCCATGAAATTGGACATTTTAAAGGTTTCACTTTTCCAATTTTGCTATACACATTAAATGAATGATAAAAAGGATGGCAAAGGGATGTCTTTTCTGATTCCAAGTGTGCTGAATTGATGTATAAGCTTCGTATTCAATTCGACTTGAATCTCTCGTTGCAAACTAAACTAAGTTCAGATTTGTATGGATACAAAACAAACTTAAGTTCAACTAAACTCTAACTAAGACGAATACGAGATTGAATAATATCTTCTTACCAAATAGCACAAAAATAACTGACCTTAAATTATTTAACTCAACATGCATAAAAAAAAGAAAATAATTGATCAAAGACAGATATCCGATCCGCTCCGTTATAAATATATATGTATATATAGATAGATAATAATTCATATAAAGTGTATAATTATTATATATAAATGTAATTTTTATGAGTTTTTGTTTATAAATTTGATTATTATAAATATTAAAATTTAATAAGTTAAGAAAAAAATATTTTTTAAAGAAAATATTGTAATTTTTAGCTAAATTTTGAATTTTTAAACTTTTATTTTAAATATATTATTATTTAAATATTTTTATAGGGCGGATCGGATATCCGGCAAATATTTAGATTTTTGGCGGATATCCGGATAATTACGGAGCGGATACAGATCGGAAAAATGATTATCCGGACGGAACGGAGCGGATCACGGATATCCCCAAAAATCCAGGATATCCGCTCCGCGCCCACCCTAACATATATACCAAGAAAATGTTCTGCCTAACACTTCTAATTTAATGTTTTGAATTTAGTCATCATTCGTACCTATGGGCTTTAGTTGAACAGCTTGAGCTAAACTCCGCACTAACAAAGCTTAATTATTAGAGATGTTTTGTTAAATTATATTCGTTTCAAAGAACAAAATCTTATTGGTAATAATGTAACACATTTTTGGGGGGGGTGGGGGAAGAGGAGGGGGGGGGGGTGATTATATTATTGAGTCAGTCGCTAATCACCAACGTCCTTTTGGCCATGATGCCACTTAGTGGCTACAACAATGATTACTAGATTAGATTAGGCGTTTCTAATGATATCAGAATCAATTATAGTTCGTTCTTTATGCCTTAAATAAAAGTAATCTAAGACAAATATTCAGACTCATTCCGGTGGATAAGTTAGAAAAAGCATGTTTTAGAGGTTGAAAAGAACAATAGTTTTTTTCTACTAAAAACGTCATTTATTGATTTCAAATCGAAAATACAAAATATGCGTAACTGGATTGAACAACTCAGTTAAAATGTATTATTGTTCTGTTGGTTGAAAATAGAAATACTTATCTATATAATAAAATGTTTCAACACTTCTCTCTTTGTTAAATAATGGTTGAAAACTCTACTATCTAATGTATAAGTATACGTCATCCTTATTAGAATATATATATACGTAGCAAAATCGTATATAACTGGACATCAGTAACAACATGTCATCAAAAGAAATTAAGGTGATATCCTGTAAAATAGCACATAACACATAATCGGATAAAGTAACATGTTATTTCTTTGAACATGTACAAAATAAAGACCCAACATGCTCACGGTTTTTCCACTAAATCATTTTTCAAATAAATATCCAAGTTTTGTATCTACCAATAATGAAATAATTATAAACACCAGATTCATCATTCTACAGTAAGTGACAAAAATATAGGAAATATAACACATTATGGCACATGTCTCGTATCTCGTTTCAGAGAAGAATAAAAGAAATTGTTGTTAAAGGTTAGAAACGCCGCTACGCCAATGGATTGCAATTTTCAATATTATCAATGACTTTCTTTAAAAGATATATATATCAATTATCAAACAATCAGTAAGGAAAACGTCATTGTACGAATTTCTAAAACTTAATGAAGAAATTGATTGGTTGATGTTTTTTCCTTCTTAGTAAATCTCTTACGTAATTCGGCACCATCCATGCCATATTATTCTTTCATTTTGTCACGATGATCAAAATCCGTATATGCTTCGAAGAAAGTGTGTTAAAGCCAACTTTGTACAGTATATAATATACAAAAAATGCGCACACGGCACACGTGCATGAAAAAAAAAATTTTACAAATGGAAAAACGCAGAAAGGCCCATTACAAGGCCCAATAAAAAGCTTAAAACGAGTTCATCTCTAGAGGGTTCTTTTTCCGCTTCAACAAAGCGACGACCGCTTCACCGTACATACAATCTCCGGCGAAAGCCTCCGTCGCCAGCTCATCATCTCCGACGTCGGAATAATCCTCGTTCGGCCTAACGACCACGAGCGTCGCGGATTCTAAACAGATACCACTCTTAAGCTTAAGCGACGGCGCGTGTCTCATACTCATCCTCACGCTCGGGACCACACTCCTCCGATTTTTAACCACGCGCTTCTCCTCCTCGTCCTCCCCACGCGCCTCCTCCTCCGTCTTTCGAAACTCTCTCAGCCCTTTAGATTCCATCACCACCGTCCCTTCTCCTCCTCCGTCGCGCACCACCAAACTCTCCATCTCCTCGTGCTCCTTGACGACCTCGCTCATGAGGTAATGACGTGTCGACGCGGCCATCAACGCGCTTATCGTCCACACGACGCGTGTCTTCAGTCCAGCCACGAACTCGGCGTCGGACTCGTCGCCGGAGGAAGAAGAAGAAACAGTGGCGGCGGATTGAAACGCGACGACGACGCAGCTCTTGAGAGTTTTTCCGAACTCTGCTTTCCACTTAACGGCGGCGCCTTTCTCGAGTTTGACGTCGCCGGCGGGAAGCTCGACTTCGAGATTCTTGATCCGGTCGAACCGGGAGAGAATCTTGGAAGGGATGTTGGGAGAAAGATTAGTGGTTTGGATCGGTTTAGCCGGTTTAGAGAATAGAGAGATGAGACCGTGAAAGGATTTGAACAAGGATTGGAAAATATTGCCGACGACGACGGGAGAATCGGAGTGTGACTCGGAGGTTTGGTGGTGGAGGCGGAGGAAGAGTGACTCGGACTGAGGAATGAGCGAGTTGAATCGTTTGGAGAGGGAACTGCAACGAAGTAAGGTTCTGACGTCACCGACTTTGTTCAAGATGTCGACGACGATCGGATCAGGGAGTCCATCGAAAACGTCCATCTTTTTATTTTTCTTTCTAAAACCTTCGAAACGAAAGAGAGAGTTTCTTTTCTTCGTCTTCTTTTTTTTTTTTTTTTTTTCTCTCTCTGTGTTTTCTTCTCTTCACTTTGTTTGTATTATTATGCTTAAGAGTTTGGAGGAGAGTGTAAAGCTTAAATAATGAAAAGGACGACGAAGCCAAAAAACAAAGGAACGGTCGTTTTCCGGCATGTAGGACCCATCTGCCGTCTTGTAATGATATTTTAATCTGATAACATAAGAAAAAGATGATGGTGTTTTTGTTTTCCGGTGTTTTGATGTTTTCAAAAGGATAGATCGAACGGTCTATAAGCGTTCTTGATCGACGCTCCACGCTGTTATAAACATTTGTTTACCATTATCTCTCGATTCATTGTCATACTGGAAAAATCCATGAAGAATCCTAAAATAGAATCTTTATATACAGAAGTGGATTCATATCTTTTATGTCTTTTACCATTTATTAACACATAAAATTGACTAAAAGTTTTAAATTTTGGAAGATTCTGAAGGGAAGATAGATGATAAAACTTATTTTCCGTTCTAGAATTGTCAGTTTTGCAAATAAATGACCAATGCATATACTCCTTAGTATTAGTTGATTACCTCTTATTGCATTTTATAAATTCGTTAGCTCTTTTTTTAGAGTATTGGTTACAAATAAGTGATATATATTCTCATTACCCTCTCTTTTTTTGTAACAAAAAAAACTATTTCTTAATTTTCTTAAGTTAGTTATTACAAGCTTTCTTCAATGATCGGTTAAATTTTCTATTAATTTTACTAAAATCTACATCCACTAGATTCCATCATCATCATCATTTACAAATTAAAAAGGTTGCCTTTTTTTTTTGTTCAAAATTAGAAATAAGGTTCCAAAGACTTCTTAACATACTTTTATGTACGATGATGCAAAATTTCAACTTTTTGGCATTCGGAAGGGTCACACACTATATATATAACTAATACTCTAGAATCAATGAGACAATGAGGACATTTCGTTTTTTAATGAGGGAAATTATCAGCATTATAAAAAATGCAATGTTCCGGAGTCATGCTGATAATTTTAAACGACATCTTAAAAAAATGGAATTGTAAGTTAGTATATATCAGTGTGATTTAATTTTGAATTGTAATTTTATGATCACTACTGATGATTAACAATGTCCAAAATTATTACATAACTTTAAAGTTGCAATGTTAAAATAAGCAATGTGACGGTGGTGGTCTAATGACAATATGACACATATTGTAATAAAAAAAAATACAAAATATGTTGACAGTATTTCTTTTTTTACAGGAGAGAATTTAAAAACGAATGATCCGAAATGGTAGTTAAATAAAAAGATTCTTTCGTCGGGAATAATATTCCGCTGGAATATTAAAACCAAAGGGGTTCGTTGAATTCAAGTTTTCTAATTGGTTTTAAACTTTAAACAATGGAATATGCTTTACTAGAAAAGGACTACATTCTTTCGATACTATTTTAATTTTTTATTGAGTTTTATATTCCCTTTGCTATCAGAAAATTAAAAGAAAAACATTTCTTGTAGTTACTTTAGTATAAAACTACAAATTATATTACTAAATAATAACAACCCTAACATTTTAAAACGCCATATCAGTAGTTTATAGAAAGTGGATAGGAAGTATACTAATTTATTTCCGGTACAACTCACGCTTGACAACGACTAAACTATAGATTAAGACGATTTTAATGATTAGCTTATTGAGTATAAATTTATAGAGATTCAATGATTCGCAGTTTGTTTGAAACGCACAGCAAATGTACCTTTTTGAAATAAAAAATTTACCAGGAGACGTTATTCATTTGTGAGTTCAAACTTTTGTAATCATATGGTCTAGAGCTCAAATTTTTTTTACAAGTAATGGGCGGGGCCAAGTAACCCGCAAATCAGTACTCCGGAGTAATATACAAGCGAGTTTTGAAATATCAAATATATTAATTTACCGGATCAAGTATGAAACTATGAAAATATTACATAGATTTTTCTTGTATTCCGTTTCTGTTAATGTAAGTATACTCTATTGATTGCTAGAGGAACCAAAATGTGCAATTGTTATCTTATACAACTATAACTGTTTATCAATATTAACATTTCCATATACTAATGTACAGTTTCATAGTAGACAGTCATTCTTGAAAAAGACTATGGAATACATACGCGAGAGAAAACAAAATTATATATAGGGTAAAAAAAATTCAATTACATTTACAAGTAACATATACTAACGTACTACTAGTTAAAAAGAATGCATAGTAGTCAGTCATTCTTGTAGGACATTAACCATGCAACTCAAACATATAATTCATAGATCATATTATTGTTTAATTTGATAGAAATAGCACAATGAGACTAAAACAGCTAAAACCACGCGTATGCGCGGTTATTCATATAATTAGTAAAGCTAAAGATTGAGATCATCATTTATATTTCACTTGAAAATCTCATATATATCAGAATGACAATGAAAACACGTGCGTAACTCCATCTATCTTATGAATTGATTCTTTTTGCTTTGTCCAAGTGTGTGTTGCTTCCACTTTACCAAACGCTTCAGAAATTCTTGAACCTACATTGCATATTATATCGTTGCAGTTAAATCGTTGTCATCTTTGTACGTAATATCGTCGATTTATAAAAATGAGAATATTTACCAAAAATATGATATTGTTGCAGACTTGCAGTTAGTATAACAAACTAGGGTATAATTAATGCATTTCGTTTTAATGTTTAAATTAACTTTTTTTTACCTCAGATGGGTCTTGAAGCGAGTAAGAGGCGTTGGTTTCCTTCGAGGTTTTCGAGACAACAATCCCTAAACCTTGTCCTCTTTCACGTAAAACCTATAAAGATGATCACGGCGTCAAAAATTATTCATTTCGAGAGAAACTTAGGTGATGGTAAAAACGTTTAATGGCTATAAGCCGGATCGATTTGCTGCAAACCGAACTAGGAAACTGAATTGGGTCTTAATATCGATTGAAATACTTTTATTGTTTCTACAGCCATAAACCAAACCCGATTTCAAATCTAACCAAAAAGAACAAACTAAATTGATATTTAAATTAGTAAAACATAATATTACTGATTTTTTTTCTGGTTCTAACATAATATTATTAATTATAAACTAAATCAAACCCTTAATTCGGCACGGTGTTTATTTGGTTCAACGTACCTTGAATGCATCTTCATCGGTACGGTCGTCCCCAATGTAAACCGGTAAAACATCTTTAGATTCTGCTATTCCTATATTAGTATATAAGACCAAACATATTGTCAAACTAACGAATCTAAATTACATTACCAAAAGTATGAATTACGAAACTCAAATCTTAAGGACAAAAAGAAAAGAAAGAGAATCCATACCTAATGAGTTTAGCAAAAATTCGAGAGCCTTTCCCTTGTCCCATTTGATGGAAGGTCGAAGTTCTAGCACCTGGTTTACCGAATGAATAATCAGTTGAATACAGTAAAAATAATCAATAAAACACCATATTTAAATTTGATTAACAGCTTAACAAGAAGTCAATTTGTTACCTTTCTGCCTTGGGTCAGTCTCAGTTTCGGATAATTAATGAGTACCATTTCCACTAGCTCGGCTAATGCAGCCCATCCCTGACGAGCATAAGCACATTTAAATCAATTTTTCTAAATTGGCAGTATTATTGGATGCCAACAGATTTTTTTTGGACAAAATTATTGAAAACTAGCTAAACAGCTTTAACAAAAAAAAATGTTATGGAAATCAGGAATCCTTGTTTTATAGTATATGATAAATGATCAATATGTCATCATCTATTTGTAAAAATGACGCGATAACAAAATCTTAAATAACTAGAGTGTTATATCTCAAGTGATTTAAATAAATTAATAACATAAAATTAAAGCATATTTTAAACAAAAACTAATAATTATTCGCTATTCTATGTTATATCATACACCATTATGCTTTTTTTTGAAATTACGTGTGAAAATATATTTGATTTATTTTTGATTTTATCACCGTGCCATTTTGTAAATAAATAACCAGCAAATAGTCACTTAGCAAATTCACCATATTTTAAAAGTGAGATTCTTAAGAAGTGCCTTTTTAAAACGGAAATATAAAATAGTAAAATATTTTCTTGCACCATATAATTTCTTTTCTAAAAATGTTCTGTAATATATAAATCTCTTTATTTATGAAGGAAAATAAAAACAATTGAACCTTCTCATCTACTCGGCGGAAATGTACGGTGAGACAAAACTTGTTGTGCTCCACCGCAGCTCCGGGGATCGACTTTGTCTTTTCCTTTAAGATATTAACCACCTGAAATTGTATAGTGAACAAAAAAATTTCTTGTGTATAGTTCATCACAATTTGATATTTCAAGTAAATGAAAAGCTAAAAAGATGACGAAATTACAAAATGCACCTCGTCGATCATCGGCAAATATTCACTTGCAGGTTGGAACATCACTTCTTGGTTAGTCTACAAAGATTTCATTAATCAGAAACTTCCTCTTTTTTGGGAACAAAATCAGAAAATTCCTTAAAAACACAAATCTCTCAGTTTTCTGAGAAAGTACGATAAAACCTTATCGGTATTGGTCGGACCCTTGATGTCCATTCCGTGGCTCCCGGCGTAGTGAATTCCAGTGAGTTTCACAAAACTCTGCACCTGAAAAAAAAAAAAACATATCTCATGAATAATATTGTACACGTTATTAACTTACTATGAGACACATAGCAAATTCAAATACTGCTGAATATAGTAGCTGATGGAATTTACTTTGTCTGTGCTTCTTCCGCTGATGATCGCTGTCTTGAAATATATAGCTACTTCCTTTACAGCTTCTCGCATCTGTATTATATATATAGCTCAAGAACTCAACTCAAACTATTTTCAATTTTTCGCCCACAATATGTAATAAAAAAAAAGAGGATGAAACATAATCAACGTGAAGCAAGATCAAGAAAAACCTCGTCGGTTAGGTAAGCTTTGTCGTGATCTTCAGTGATTAGTGATAGAGTTCCGTCGTAATCAAGAAACATAATAATTTCTTTGCCTTCTGCATCACTCATGATTTTGTCGAACAAATCCAAAGCCGAGGGATGAAGAGCCTAAAACCCAACACATATAACAAAATAGCTATTTTACTAATAATTTTTGAAGCAGCTCCTAATGCTAATAATGTAGAGCTATAAGTTTAACGAAGTTATCTTTGAAAAAATTCGTAGAAAAAGAATAATATATACTCAAACTTTGATAATGAAATTTTGAAAAGCAAGCTAAGCTAGCTACAAAGGGGCATGTTAATAACGTACAATCCAGGAGCTTCTCTCGCCGTCTTTCTCATATACATATTCATCAGCAGAGGAGGATCTGACGCGTGTCGGAGACAAATCCCTCAATGAATCGATCAAAGTCTCGATCTTTCCGGCAACCATAACTTGGCGGTGACAAAAAGAGCTTTCTCGTATACACAGACGCTAAAATGTATTTTCTCTGTGGCTGCACAATTTTTTTGGGGCTCATATATATATGAATATAACTAAAAGCTACCGCAAGCCTAGTTATTTATAGATGGTGGCATGCGTATGGGATCATAATTGTTTTCTGTTAATACAGAAAACCGAATCCAAATTAATTAAGTAAAGAATATCAATTTATATTGTGCTATTTAAAGATCGAGAATAAATTCATATCTTGGAAATATTGATATTGACATCAACTTTATAAACGAGAGTAGGTTTCAAAACCTCTCATATCTTTGAATACAAATAGGATTTTCCCTATGAAAATGGAGTTTCTAAATGTGTTACTTTTAAAATATTCCCAATGAATCCTTCCCTCTTTTTGGTATTATTACGCTTCATTGGGAATAAATCAACGCATTTTACTTATTTACACATATATACATGTTAATTATATTAAATTAACAAAAACTAATCGAGTTCCTAAAAGTACACATTCTTCTAGTATAAACCTTTAAGGAACATGATCAAATGATATATGTCACAAAATCGGCATTTTAGATCGTAGATCCTGAAGGAGAAGCCTGCCTAAACTCACATTCAAAGAAAAAAATAGGATAATCATTATATTTTCCAAGAGTAGTATATTTTTTCTTTTTAGAGAGATTAAATAAAGAAAAAAAGGATTGATATAATGTTAAAACTAATGTGAACAATTTGATTCAACATCAACGTATTGGACAAATTTTGGTGTTTACATGGGCCATAAATGATAATTACGAACGTCAAAAAGGGCTCACAATGTAATCATCAAAAATACAAATACGTACATACCGTAAGTAAAAGCGTAGACGTAGAGTCGGCGTCATCAACAGATACTCTTCCTTAATTTGGAAGTAGAAAAAGAAAAAGAAAAAAAAGTTTGGGGGAAAACCAGAAGAAAAGTCCGAGAAAATAGATACAGGGAGAGATCCTCGTTGACACGCATCTAAAGGTCAGAAGAAGTCACAGGTGATTTTCCCCGTTGAATCATCTCCTTCTCCCGTTGAATCGGTCAAATATTCAACTCAAAAAAAGCGAAACCCTAGTAGCGAGCGCGAGGAGAGAGGAGGAGGGGAATGGTCGGCGTGATGAACAGATTGAGGAATCTGGACGCTTACCCTAAAATCAATGAGGATTTTTATAGGCGTACACTCTCTGGTGGTGTCATCACCCTCGTTTCTTCAATCGTCATGCTAATTCTCTTCTTCTCTGAGCTCCGTAAGTGCATTTGATACCCTGTTCTGTTCTTTGGGGTAGCTTTAAAGGTCGATGATTGTAGGATTGTAGCTCGAAAGTTTTGTTATTTCTTCGTGGGTTTCAATTAATGGTGGAATTAAACATTGTTCGTGATTTGTAGTGAGGAAACAATGCTTCAATTTCGATAATATTTTGAATTTGTTTTCTTCTTTGTGGGCTTTCTGATTTTAGAGCTTTATCTGCACCCGGTTACCGAGACTCAGCTCCGTGTTGATACATCAAGAGGAGAGAAGCTACGCATCAATGTAAAGTTGCTTTTTTTTGGACTACCATTGACTTTGAGCTGCAAAGATTATTACTTTCTGTCAAGATAGGGCTTTTATTTACTATTTACAATTTGCAGTTTGATGTTACATTCCCTGCGCTTCAATGCTCGATTATTAGTATTGATACCATGGATATCAGCGGAGAGCGGCACCTCGATGTGGTATGTGCTGTTGGATTGTCGATCTTTTTTGTCTAGTCGACATCTTTATGCTCTGTCTGATTTTTCGATTCTGCCCGTTCATATTTGTAGCGACATGATATCATTAAACGAAGATTAGACTCTCATGGCAATGTCATCGAGGCAAAACAAGACGGAATTGGTCACACTAAGGTTAGCTTTTTTGCAAAACAAGGCCTTTCATTTTCAGCTGCCATCCTTGATCTCATTGCTAGAATTCTTGAAAAAAAATTAATAAGAGCTGAAATCCTTTTATGTTATCGTTTCTCTCCAGATTGAAAAACCTTTACAAAAACATGGTGGAAGGTTGGAGCACAATGAAACATATTGTGGTTCCTGTTTTGGAGCTGAAATGGTAAGCTTTCCTTAATCAATCGAATAATATGCTCCTACATGCGAGATTGGACTTTCAGTTGCAGTAGAAAGTCGGAATCTTTAGTGTTGATTCAAATTATAAAAATTTTAGTTTCTTCTATGTTGGTGAATCCTCTTTGCATGCTGTGGTTGTCAATTTATAAAATTTACAGACGGATGAAGCTTGTTGTAATTCATGTGAGGAAGTTCGTGAAGCTTACCGAAAGAAAGGTTGGGCCCTCTCAGACCCTGAATCAATCGACCAGGTATACTGACATATCTTTAATAACAACAAAACTTGGTTGATCTTGTGACTTAGCCATCTAGTTGACTTAGTTGTATGATATTCTTACTTATTCCATCTCAGTGTAAAAGAGAAGGCTTTGTGCAAAAGGTCAAAGACGAAGAAGGAGAAGGTTGTAATGTTCACGGTTTCTTGGAAGTAAATAAAGTTGCTGGGAATTTTCATTTTGTTCCCGGGCAGAGCTTTCATCATTCCGGTTTCCAGTTTCATGATTTGATAATGTTCCATCAAGGCAACTACAATGTAAGAGAAAGTTTCATTATTGTTTCAATCTTTCTTTATAAGCTCATATTTCAAATGGGTCTGACTCCATTATATCTCTACACAGATTAGCCACAAGGTCAACAGGTTGGCCTTTGGGGACTTTTTCCCCGGTGTAGTGAACCCTCTAGATGGGTAAACACTTCCTTTTCTCTCTCCCAAGCCATTACTCGCAGCTGTTATCGCTTTTCCAATCATCTTATCTTCTGAAAATGTTCTCTTTGGTTCTCTCAGTGTGCAGTGGAATCAGGAAAAACAGAATGGCGTGTATCAATATTTCATCAAGGTTTGCCCCATATATACATTTTTTCACATAGATGATATTCTCACATGGAACAATATTATGGCATGTTTTAGATAACAGTTTCGAACGGTATCTCAGTTCACTGATAAATAAATCATGAGGGAATTTTGCTTGTCGATATTACAAGTTTTTTGCTCTATTGAGTATAGTGATAATGAAATTGTGGTGTGGAATTTGCAGGTGGTACCAAGTGTATACACTGATGCTCACGAGAATACAATTCAGTCAAACCAGGTGAAACTACATCTCCAAAATCTCTGTTCAAAAACATGTTTTTTTGACCAATTTTTTATTGTAAAATGTAACGATTTCTTTTTATGGTTTTGGAAAGTTCTCTGTGACGGAACATTTCCAGAACGCGGAAGCAGGTCGCATGCAATCCCCGCCTGGTGTTTTCTTCTACTATGATCTGTCGCCAATCAAGGTTTGTTTTGGTTTTGGTATATGTGTTTATCCTAATCGATCTATGTCTCTAAAGAAAAAAAAAAACATTTTAATTTGATTTACGTAAAGGTTATATTTGAGGAGCAGCATGTGGAGTTCTTGCACTTCTTAACAAATGTTTGTGCCATAGTAGGAGGTGATCAATCAAATATATCTATCTTCTTCCTTCAATTTCTCCTTATTTTCTTCATCAACATCCCAAAATCTGATTACGATTCTTATATATATATTGTGCGCAAAAACCTTGTTTTGATTCACAGGTGTCTTCACGGTATCGGGAATAGTAGATTCATTCATATATCATGGACAACGAGCAATTAAGAAGAAAATGGAGATTGGTAAATTCAACTGAGCTGTTTTATAGTCTTCTTGAGCAGTGACTTAGGTTTGAATTAAGGAATTTTCAATACTGTACAATATTTTCCCCAATATTTAAGGATCTGGCAAGATAAAAAAAAGTTAAAAATGATGTTTTGATCTCTGATTCAAACGAAATGTTTTTCCCCATTTATTTTAAAAGCTTGTTTTTATTAAAAGCACATAAATATGATACGACTCTGTTTCAAACACCAAATGAACAAAAGATTTGAGTTCTGTGTGAATGATTTGGGCCCATTTGGTCTCTGTATCAAACTATTTTTTGGTACTATGATGAGAGAATTATTTGATGAATACAGTTACATCCATTTCATAGTTGAAATTAAGACGAAGGAAGCGTATCTTTACAAACTCTGTTTTTCTTCCATAAATTGTGAAATTCTTTATCAGCCAAAAAATAGTGATGTTTATAAAGAAATTATACCAAAATTGTGTTAGTTACTTCCGCATTCACATTGGAGAGCACCTCATTTAAAACAATCGCCAGTAAATCAGATGGAATTAATAACTGAATAATATAACACAATAAGCTAAGTTAACAAAAAAACAAAAAAACTTCGAATTAAGACACAAAGGAAAAAACTACAAAGTACAGTACAAAATACATGAAAAAAATAATCTCGCACGGTCGAGCATGACAAAAAACCCAGCTTGGACCGACGCAGAGACTAATAATTTACATTAAGGTACATCTACTTATTCATATCAACATAAAAGACCCTTAAAGACGTAAACTAACTGTGGGCTCCCTGCAATGACCAAAAACTCCATTGCAGAAACCTCTAGTTTTCCTAAAATACCCCTAAGGCATCCACTAAATTACACAACTAACTTGTAGACAGAATCGACTCCCAATCGATCTCGTACGACGGATACTTCTCCAACGCAAAGTTCTCGTTCCACGGCGGCTGCTCCTCCTCCGTGTCGGCGAACGTCAGATCCGACAACGGCGAAGAATCTCCGGATCCGTAGCTCTCCGTCGACGGCGAAGACCCGGAGCTAGAGTAGTCCTCTGATTTGACTTCCTCCGCCAGCTCTGGACACGAATTCACCTCCGGTTGCTTCGCGGCGGCGGTTGATGAACGTTTCCGGGAAGAAGCCTTCTTCGCCGATTTCCCCTGTTTCTGCGTCTCGGCTAAGTCTTGACAGATCGCTTCGAGCTTAGCGTCGACCGAGGACTGAAGAGGTTGATATTCGCCGCCGATGTTGGATCCGTTGTGACGGAGGTTAGGGAAATTAAGCCGGGCGAAATCGCCGCGCAGCTTATACGCCGCCTTATCATAGGCTAACGCCGCTTCCTCCGCCGTGTCGAATGTGCCGAGCCAGAGACGAGTTCGATTCCTGGGCAAACGGATCTCAGCGACCCATTTTCCCCAGTGACGCTGCCTCACTCCTCTGTACAGCTTCGTCGGTTTCGTCGCGGCACCGGTTTGCTTCATCGGAACCGGTTTAGGGCTAAGGAGGTTGGAGAAAGAGTTGATCTGGGACCCGAGTTGCTGAAGATCCGACCCGTATGAAATCGGTTGGGTCATGCAGACGTCAGGGTAAGATCCGGAGTAGGAAGAGTAAGGAGGAGGAAGAGAGAACGCGGACGCAAACGCAGACGCGGTTGAATCGCAGGAAGGGCTTTTGATAAAAGGTAGAAGCGCTTCCATTAATTCACCACCGAAAGGATCACACTGTTGAAGCGTTTTGCTACTGTAGAAATCCATAGCAGTTGTCATTTTAATTTTTTCTTTTTGTTTCTGAAATAAATAAAAATGAATTTCGAGAATTTTTCCAAGTTCTTATCAAAAGTAAGGAACAGGATTTTTTTTTTCCAAGAAATTCGAGAGGATCAACCAACAAAAAAAAAAGATCGAAGAGGTTTAAAATAAACAACCTCTTTGCGATTCTGAAAGGAGGGAAACAAAAATACCCTCACAAATGATTAAAATCGACAATAGAACAAAAAGATAACAAGAAGATCAATATACAAAAATAAGATTGATCTCTGTTCTGAAAATACTTGGTTTTCAATTAAATCAGCAGATAAAGAAAAAAAATCAAAACCATTCAAACACAAACCTAGAAATCGGTTTTCTTATTTTCTTATTTGGAAAAACAGATTATTTCACAGATAGGAATCGAAGAAGCGGGGGATTAACAGATTAGGGGAAAGGGGGATTTGCACAAAATTAAAATTCAAGAAAACAAACAATAAAAAAATTCTTATCTATCAAACTTTTTGGAGATGGCACTCAAGATTTTATTTAAATTTTTTGTAAGTGAACAACTCTCAGCCTCACCGATACACTTATCTCTCCAGCTTGGCTCGCATTATATAGGAGGCGTGGCGTGTTATCGTACAGTTTTCCAGTGATTTATTACCAGTATTATTATTTTTCTCTTTTCTACTCCTCGTAATTCTCCAATTTATTAATCTGAAATACGTCTGATACATTTTTGTTTTTTTATTTTCATACATCGAATACTTCTTGTTAAAGATATCGATTGAAAAAAAAAAAAGATATCGATTGACAATTTTTTTTTTCCTCGTAACGAAAACTACTTTTTACCGCGTCTTATCTAAAATTATGAAAAAGGTGTATTCAATCATGAATTTAGAATAAATTTTCTATGTTTTATAATCTTCAAGATTTAAAAGTTAATATCAAATGAATCTAATATACACTATATTTTGATTCTAATAATTTATTCATAAAACTCTATTAGAATTGATTTGAAATAACTTAATGTACAAAGATTTTAAAAATTATTTAGTTTTGAATAACATTAGATTTTAATAAAAGATTTGAAATCTTTATTGAATAACACCAAATTTTAAAACCTGTTAAATATGATTTACAATCAAAAGAACTAATAACACTTTATTTTAAAACATTATTTAAAATCATTAGTTGAATAATAAAGAATTGTGGTTGGATTTAAATTCTATTAAAAACCATAATTGACTAACACTTTCGGAGTTAGGTTCACACAGAATTTGTTAATTATCAGAATAGGAAAATTTTACTTAATTCGTTCTAATAATTTACCATAATATTTTGAAATCTTGTGTAATAAAATTAATATTTTAGATAATACTAACTAAAATTAATATTTTAGATAATAATGAATTGTGAACATATTTAAAGGTAACAAAACAATAACACTTCATTTTACAATAATGTAAAAAAATTGTATAAAAGAAAGTAACAGTTAAAATCCCTCTCCCAGTAAATTGACACATTATAGTGATAAAGTACGTGGGATCAATGGGAATATTAGAAAGAATAAAGGGAACAATGCACATCTTCATGCTTCATATATATTAGACTATAGTTATATACTATTTGAGAATGTTATCTAAATAGTAACTAATAGGCAGTAGACAATTGTTGAAAGACGGTGAGGTGGAGACTGGAGACCCATATGTCCAACTGCCGCCACGCAGCATCGTGCCTAGAACCATAGGTTAAAGGCAAAATGTAAGTGCAAATTTTCAATTAAATTAATTTTGATAATAATTATAAAGAAACATGATGAACAAAAACGCAAAATGAAAAATATAGAATGAAGTAATATGATATTTAACAGTTTATAGTACCTCAAATTACATATAATTTGGCTCGATTTGTTGTAAATGAAATAAATTATAATAGAGTTTTTCTTATGTGATAAATATAATATAGTAGAGTGTAAACTAGTACCATTAATTTCCTGAAAATATTTTCGAATTTCATAGTATGAGTATTCGTATTATCTTCATAAAAAAGACAAATTAAAAGTTTGATTAAATTTCATGCGTTATATTAGCTATATATAATGATCGACAGACAAACAGTATTAGCTATAATGATAAAATGTAATTATAATTGCTAATTAAATATTTTGATGACATGTCAGCAAATTTTGTTGTTTTGTTTTGATATGTTAAACTTCAAATATTCATGCAACTATTATAATAGGGATGGGATAACTCCAACTAATAGTATGAATGAGACGCACGTAGACTTGCATGACGATTATTAAGCAATAATTTTGGCTACCATGTAATGATGATCATTTGTAATGGGTCGTTTAGACTTTTGTTTAAATAAATAATACAAAATTCGAAAAGAAGGCTCTAGAAAGTTAGAATGAATGGATGAGGACTACTCAAATGTCATTACCGTATTATATCATCCATTTAATTAGTATTAAACATTTCATCATCTTACGATATTATAGAGTCACGTAACTCGATTCTTGTTTCGAGCACAATGAATACGGTGTCGTGTCAATATGACGCAGATTGCATGATTGAAACTACGTTGCCGTAATTTCGTAAGGAATTTCGAAAAAATGTTATGTATTGACTTAGCCATTCAGAAAACATTATTTGATGGTGTGTTGATTATTCGTCTTAGTATTTACAAGGAATAATAATTCACATTAGAAGGTTTTTTTTTTTAAAAAAAATTGTCAAAAAAGGTTATCATATATAAGACTTAAACTAGTTAACTTATTCTAAATTAGCAAAACAATTTAAGTTTTTCAAAAAAAAAATTTAGAAAGATCAACTATATAAGTACAATCTTATATAGTAGAACAGTTATGAAAATATATTAACTGTTTTATGGTTTGTTGTTTTTTTCATATTTGTGATGGTGATCAAAATATTGAAATAGTATGTCAATCGACCGGAGATACTCAGCCACACCGGAAAAATGTGAGAGATACTCATATTACTGTATGTGTTGAATTGATGGCATATTTCAATAGTTTGTATGAACAACGCAAATAATTCTAACTTCTTCGAAGTATATAGACTATATAATACAGTATATAATGCGATTAAGGAGAAAAATGGTAACAATGAAAATATGATCTGTGATACTGATACCTACTTACCTAGTGATACCCTCTCTTGAACTAAATATGCCCCCTTTTTGTTTCTAAACACTAAAAAATGAATTTATCGTCTGTATGGGTTCGGATTTTCGGAAAGGAAAAAACCGACAACCCCATAGATCTGATTCATATTTTGTCAAGGTATTGAAAATCAACATAGCACAATGAGTTTAACTTAAAAGTAAAAAAAAAAACAATTTATTGTAATTATATACGCATAAAAAAGAAGAAGGAAAAGCAACAAAATCTCCTACGCATAATAAAAAAAAAAAAGAAAAAAAAAACGGGCGTGTCCTGCGGAAAAATGAAATAGTCAACTACGAAATCATTACTCAAGTTTTTAGCGGTCTTTATAACTGGACAGCCTTTTGCCACCTATTTTTCTATTTGTCTCATTTTTGGGTATTTCTTTCTTTTTTTTCTCTTTTGTTCAGATATTTGAAATAAATGTAACTGTACTCTTAAGATCTCTGACATTTTAAAGCCTTTTTTCAGGGGGGTAAATGACTGACATTTTAAATTATTCCTTAACTTGTCTATAAGTAGTCCGTTTGATACTCAGATACATTGCATCTAAATCAAGTAATACATGTCATTGTTTAAGGGATTGAGAAATATTATATTATATTATATATAATATAATATATTAAGTAAAAAAAAAAGAGAGGTAGATCCGATTTGGGAATAATGGGTCGAAAAAGCAAAGCAGGTGGATCCGATTGGATCTTCGCTTTGCAGCATGAACTGCGCGTGTCTCTTCTCTCTCTATCATCTTAACACTTTTTCATTTTAATGCTCTTCACGCGGTTTCCGTCAAAAGGCGTCCGTTTCGTCTGTTGAAGTCAAACGACTGTTAATAATTTGCCAGCTGTTCATGATCAAAGGTCCGTTTCGTGTTGAAGTCAAACGACGGTTGATAGTCTGTCACGTGTCAATGATCGAAGGTCCATGACCATTTTACATGTCTTGGCCTCTTTAAGTTTTTGAAGAGATCTTCATCTTATTGTTATGGGTTTATTAGTTTCTCACCTAACTTAACCTAGAGTACATATTATAAATATTTTTTAACCAAAAAAATAACATTAATAGAGAAATAAGAGTAGACAAGTGGGTAAAATACAAATGCATGTGAAAATGTATGTGGTGAAGTGAAATATGACAACTTAGATTTATGAGGGAAGGTCTTTACTTTACTCTTTATTTTATTTTATTTTAAATCTTTTTGTTCGTATCGAAAAGAAGGTGTCGTCGTTTTTGAGAGCAGTTGCACGTTGTTTATGAGGGAAAGAGGAATTGCATGTGGATTTTAGGTGAATTGTCTCCGTTGATTTTCGCGTATAATATGGTCCACTTGATATTATTTTCTAAGTTTATGGAAATTATTATTCTGGATGATATTAACGTTGAGGTCGTTTTTGTCCCCCCCCCCCCCTCTCTTTCTGGCGAGATGGTTGCAAAAGTTCTCAAGAATTTCTTTCATTCTTGATCAATGAACGTTTTCGCTATTTGCAGATATTTTTTTTGTCCAAATATCGTTTGCTAGCAAATCATGTTGCCAAACAAGTGGTGATTCATCGAATTAAATGTCATCATAAGGGTCGAAATACAAGGACGTGATTTACACATGAAAAAATTGTTCATCTACTTGGTAATTTAGATTTTTATAGTAAGCGTACAGGTAAAATAGATATATTAGATACCCTGATTTTATGAGCTTTGGCATCAAAAGAAGATCAACACTTGTACTTTGTTGCTAACAAAACATTCTTTTATGTTTATATCTTCTATCATTCGCGGTGTTATAAACGGTGAAAGTTACATGGATCTTATATGTATCCAGTATCCCTAAAATATAACTATGTAATGTAACAGAAAATTACGTGAGAGACAAATATAAAGCGGCTAACAAAGAGAGAAAGAAAGCAATAAAAGAAAAATTTGGGATTAGTGGGCTACAAGACTAGACCCATTAATCCCTCCAGGCTCCAACATAAGCTTGTTAATGAACCTAAACGTTAGAGTTAGAGATACAATAGAGAACTCAACAATTAAGTTGACTCTTTTTTATTAGTCGCTAAATACTTTGGAGGCTAAAATGATCAAGAGTCTAGTGCTTTTACACCGTGTTTAGTTTTATATTTGTCGTGATTTATAGAATGATAGAATACAAACTCTTACGATATTGTAAAATCAACAAATTTTTATGCTTAATTAATTCAAAGTTGGTAATTAAAAAAAATACTTAAATAATCCATATGACTTTTTCTACTTAGGGTATAGTGGAGTTGGTGGTATGAATTTTGAGATTATATGGTTGGTCAAATCGGCTGAAAAACGTTCAAGACGGTTGGACCGTCAAATTCACAATTAGCAACCAAGAATTCAAATCAAGAAGTCAAACCGGGTTTCATTCCCTCACTAAGTCAATTTTTTTTTTTTGTTAAATAAAAAAACAGAATCTTCTTTGAACAAAAACAAACAAAAAGAAAGGTGTCTGGTGGTGTCTTCCCTCAATCGCGCGTCACGTGTCTTTGAGCTCTCATCACACTGTCCGTAACGTAGCCAGCCGCCTGAAGAAATCCATCTTCTACTACTTTTCTTATAACTGATGAGTCTTTGATTCTTTTAGACCGAAGCTTAAAAGACTTCTCGGTCTCAATATTACGCTCTTTCATTTCAAGGTTTGAGTTTGACTTGTCGACCTGATCGCTCCAATTCATTTTTCTTTTGTAATTTTTTCCCAAGGTGAGTTTATGTTCTTTAAGATTAAGATCAAGGTCAGATTTGTTAATTACTTGTCTTGATTCTTTTCAAGACCTGCAAATTAAAACATGTTCTTGTGTTTATAATTTGTTAAAGCCAGATTTGTATCTACTTAACATCGTAGTAGCTTAAAAGTCTTTCGTAAGTATGTCTAATAATATCAACTTCCATTTTTATTATTAGGCCTTGATTCTTGTATGCTCCTTTTCCTGGATAAGGAATATCAAATTGCAATATGAATCTCTGTTGTTTTGACTATTTTCCTTATCTCTAAGCAATTTGATTCTGAATTTCAGTAAGATATGAGCTCTGATACCAACAATTCATCTTCAAGTGGATTTGAGAAAAATTTGCCACCAGAGGAGTATTTAAACAAGGTATGGTGATGATAATGATGATGATGATGATAGGAGGAATCATTAGCTGCTTTGTGATGATGATAATAATTTGATGTGAGTCAAATATTGTATGGCCTGTATGATAGAAACATTGCCTCTTTTAACAATTTATAGCCATATAATATATATATATAGATCAATGAAGTGAGGACATTACTAGGGCCATTGGGTGCGAAATCATCTAAGTATTGTTCAGATGCTGCCATTACCCGGTATTTAGCTGCCCGTAACGGTCATGTCAAGAAAGCATCTAAAATGCTTAAAGAAACCTTGAAATGGAGGATTCAGTACAAACCCGACGAGATTCGATGGGTATGTATGTATTCTTGAATCTTTAAATATCATATGAAAACATAAAACGGCTCTAATTTTATTGATTATGTGAAACGGTTATAGGAGGAGATTGCACGAGAAGCTGAGACCGGTAAGATATACCGAGTCAATTGTACCGACAAGTATGGAAGACCAGTTTTGGTTATGAGACCAAGTTGCCAGGTTTTGGCTTCTTATCCCATTTCCTTCAAAAGCTCTGTTTCTCTATACTTTTTCTCTATAGGATTTATATCCGTTTTCGATTTATTTCAGAATACAAAATCTACAAAAGGGCAGATTAGATTCTTGGTGTACTGCATGGAGAACGCAATCTTGAATCTACCGGATAACCAGGAACAAATGGTTTGGCTAATCGATTTTCAAGGTTTCAACATGTCACATATATCCGTGAAAGTGTCTCGAGAAACCGCTCATGTGTTACAAGAACATTACCCTGAACGTTTAGGCTTGGCCATACTATACAATCCGCCTAAGATTTTCGAACCGTTTTGGAAGGTAAATTTCATAAATTCTCTGCCTCTCTCTACCCACATTGCAAATCCTTGTTGGCTTATTGTATCATGAAACTTGTTTGCATAAGAGGAAATTGTAATCCTGCAGATGGTGAAACCTTTTCTTGAGGCAAAGACATGTAACAAGGTGAGATTCGTCTACTCAGATGATAACCTAAGCAAGAAGATTCTCGAGGATCTTTTCGATATGGAGCAACTCGAGGTTGCCTTTGGTGGGAGAAAAAGTGATTCGAGTTTCAATTACGAGAAATATGCTGAGAGAATGAGAGAGGATGATTTGAAATTCTTTGGAAACACAACAACAGTGTCATCAACCTCAGCTCAGTTGACCAACTCGGATTCTGAAGTTTCAGACTCTGAAAACAAGAACTTGGAGGACAATGAAGATGTGAAGATCAAGAACGGAACCCCTTTAGATACAACAAAAACATAAACCTGAGCTTCTGGTTTTAACAAAAAAAGATCCGACTTTTTCTTAACCAGTTTTACTAATAAGCTGGAGCTGCAGTCCTTTTTGTTGTTATGCAACTAAGACCAGTAAAACTTCATATTCTTAAATATTTCACAGCATATATATTACCTATTTGATTAACGAGTTTGGCAACAACAACAAAACAAAATCAACGTGTGAGCTTTTGAACATTGCTCCCTTCAGGTTTCGGTGGATATGGCACATATGAATTGAAAAAACTAGAAAAAAAGAACAAAATCATAACTTATATAAGCGTCTCTACGGTCCTAATGCTTGCAATGTAAATCCAAGAACCAATCTTTCTTGTTTAGTTCAGGAACAAATCACTTCACTGTTCTCATCCAGCTTCTGTCTGTACTGAGCCAATCTCTACAAGCACAAAGAAACATTCAGAACCAATGAGACAGAAATGACAAATCTAAGAAGATGAAGAAGAGAGAAATGATGCCTAACCTTGGTATAAGCATAGACACCTGCTTCTGTTGGACCAACCGGGCTTCCCCGTTTCATGAATTTGCCTTCTTTAAAGATGTACAGAAGAGGTATACCGGTTGATAGTTCTAGACTTATCACCTAAGAACCAAAACCACAGAGAGAACTTCACTTATTTGCCAAAAACCGAATCAAGAATGGAGATTTAATCAGTTTTTCTTTTGTCACACCTCCTGGCAAGTCAATTTGTCAAGATACATTATGATAGACCGCAGCGAGTTCCCGTGAGCAGCTATCATTACGTTCTTTCCAGCTGCAAGCTTTGGTTCTATCTGCAATTTTGGTTATCTTGACATTTAGTAGAGAAACTTATGAAGAAGTTGGTATGAGGCTGAAAAAATAGAATCCTCATTACATTTTCTTCAAAATAAGCCACTGCTCTCTCAGCACACATCTCCAAGCTCTCGCCTTTTGGAGGAGGAATGTCATAACTCCTACGCCATTCGTGAACTTGCTGTTTCCCGTATCTTTCCGCTGTTTCTTGCTTGTTGAGACCTTGCAATTCTCCATACCTATTATCCAAAAAACACCGGAAAAAGCAGATAAGCTTTCTATCGGATTCAAAGCTCGATATGTTGAAAGACAAGGGAAAGCCAAATCTTTTTTACATTCTTTCATTGAGCTGCCACGCGGGTATGACAGGAATGGACTGGCTTTTAGTTTCTTCACTGAAAACTTGACTCCAAGTTTTCGCCTGTTCGCTTTCATTGTGTAAAATGATCGGAACCTAACAGTAGTTTGGTTTTTAATCCAGTTATCAAAAAAAATGTGACAATTTGATTGAGAAAGTGAAGTCAGAAGCTGAGATTGGTTTCTACATGTACCTTCTTACGACGGTGTTGAATCATGGCAAGCATTGCAGTCATCTGAGCACGGATTAGAGACGAAGTGAAGATAACATCGACAGGTATGTTGCTAATCCTCTTCCCTGCTTCAATTGCCTCTTCAACACCTTTCTCTGTCAATGGCACATCAACACAACCCGTGAAAAGATTCTTCGCGTTCCACAACGACTCTCCATGCCTAATCAATATCAGAGCTGCTTCCTCTACAACATCAGAACAAAAAGAGTGAAAAAGGACCAAACTTGTTCAGATAAAAATGATCATTAACCAATGTTTTGTTATGAGAATATTCAAAAGAGCTTATTACTTGGTTTTTTCGGTGAATTGTGAGTGATGTTCTTGGAAGGAGACAATGGAGTGTTGTAAGAAACTGATGGTGTCTTAGACGCAATTGCTTCAATCTTGGAGAAGTTTCTCTTTCTTCTTGAGGTATAACTCAGTGACGAATCGATCTTGAATCCTTTCGTTGCTACTTTCAAAGGCTCTCTTAGAGATTCAGAGATTGTGGAAGACGAAGAAGACCGGTGAGAGACAAGGGAACCGATTGATTGGTGAGACATAGCCGTAGCCATTCTGGAGGAAAACAAAAAATCGAATTTGAGGCTAATTTTAGTTTAACATATTAATCTTCATGATTAAAGACTTATAAACTTGCTAATGAATCAGAGAAATCGGTTCGACCAAAAAAAAAAAAGAATCAGAGAAATCGGTAATGAAAGAACGAAAACCCCTGAGAGAGAGGGAAAGTAACTGATCAAAGCTAACACATTTAGCATTTAAGTAATTTGATTACATTCAGATCCAATTCCGAAAAGACAAAACACGATTAAGTCGATGAAACCTAAAACCTTAAACCTCAAAAACAGAGACCAGTAATTACAAGAAGACGAAAGACCCAGAAACAAATGCAAACAGCTATGCTCATAAAGAGACAAACATGCTCATAAAGAGACAAACCTGGTCTAATCAATGACGATGAGCTCAATGAAACCAAAGATGAATACAAGTTTCACCAAACTAAAATGTTTGTTGCTTCTTCTTTTTTTTTCACGACGACACGCCAAATTCGACGATGACAGAAAACTGAGTTATTAAAAGTTCGATTACAGTAAATACCCAGCCAAAAAAATGACGCTTTGATAAGTATTTTAGAGGCTTTGAAAGGTAAAAATGTTTCCTTTTTTCTTGATTTGGCTTTTAATAAACTCAAAGACCAATTGTAAAATGTGTTTTTTTTTGTTTTAAAAAAAAGTTTAATGTTTAAACGTAAACAAGAAGAGATGAGAAATAAAGTGAAGGGTTCATTGAGTTTCTTATAGAGTTGGCATTTTCAAAAGATCGGCTTCCTCATGTAGTGACAATATTGCCAGGTGAAGACAACAAAGGGAGGAAATTATTTCCGCAATTATACGCAACAAAATACGTTTATTATTTAATTTTATCATACGTATATAAGGGGGAACAATGGTGATGAATAGGTTAAATGGTTAATTAATGGGTAATCGAAAAATTGAATAAATTTGTGGCAAAACAACCTCTCGTGGGGTTGAAGAGACCCATTACTCTCGGTTTATATACCTATCAAGTTTAATTAAATACTCCATGAATGAAGTTACTAAAAATAGACCACGAAAGACAGCAAGTCAAGCAGCTCTTCAAAGCCTTCAATAAGCACCCCAAATCGTTGCATGCCTTTTTCTTGGTCTTAGAGGGTTCCGTTCCTAATGCAGACCCAAAAATAATACACTTCTTTTTATACAATAGTGTATGATATCAGTAATAGTATATTCTAGTTTAAGGGAAGAATCGACAATCCATCGACCATTTTTTAATGGAATGGAATGGAATAAAACTAAATGTTGTTTTGACTTCTTCATTTTTCGCTAATTGGCATATTTTAATTTATTAAATCCACCAAGTTCATTTTCTTTTATCTCATTCACCCCCAAATAAAAAATACTCAACATTCAAGTTTCATTTCCATGTTATTGTTTTTGTTCATATCATTTCTATCTTAAGTTTAATAAACAGAATAACACCCATTGAAAAATTTATATCAGTTTGTGGAATTCGTGAATTTGTATCTTTTAAAAGCTATTTTGAAGCTGTTAGACTTATTTTAATGTATTACTAGAAATAATGTAAGGAAATATAATTTGATCTACAAATCTCGCTTTACGTTTTCTCTTTTATCTGTCAAACGATTACTGACTCAATTTGGCAATTGGCAAAAAAGATGACATATGTCTAATGAACAGATCTGCTAATGAATCAGAGCTACTATAGAAATATAGAATATGCGAGCTGAATATGCTTGCCCAAACACACAAACAACTATATATCACTACTGGAAAACAGCTGACGCATCATTAGTTGGCCACAACGAATATGCCAAACTCCTATGTGATTAACTACGCAACACACAAAAAATGTTCGATATTGTCGATGATCGAGATCCATTATCTTGTGGTTTTATAACAGTAGATAGGCTTTATAGGCCCGTTTGCGCCTATTTACAAACTTAAGAGGATATAGATCCATGGGCATACTCGCCAAGAATCAAACTCAACAACTTTACATTATTGTTCACTAATCAAGTAATTAATTATTTAGTCACACATATGATGTCTTACAAGTTACAACTAATAGAGGAAAACTGAGAAAGAAATAGAGTTTTCTATCGTGATCTGATCATGCAAAAAAAAGTCTTGTAAATATCAAACTCAGACTTTATATGAATTGTTACAAAAATTTCTATGATTCCCCAACACTCGTCACATGAGCTGTTCCCACCATTGTCGTTGCTTTATTTGCATGGGACACAACTCAAACCACACTAAAAAAAGATGGATCAATAACACAAATCAAACTAGAAAATAAATTAAATTAAGTATTGAAGAAGTACAAAAGTTGGGCTGGTATAAAGGGTAAAAATGACCCAAATAATTTGTATGAGACTTCTGATTTCTTTCTTGGCATCTCAATTATTTGATACTTCTGATTATAATATATTACATGATTAGTTTTATTGTTTTGATATAAAGTATAAATATATAAATATGAGCATGACAAAAATAAAGTGTAAAGGCTCATACACAAGATAATCCGAGACTAAGAAAGAAGTATCAAAATTGACCACCATAATTAGAGAGACGAGAGGCATAAAGAAAGAAGTATCTAAACTGATCACCATAATTAAAAATTACCTTATGTAAAAATTAAGTATGTCAAATTAACCATGTGCAAGTGACATCTCTCGTCTCTCCTGATCCATTGGTCCTCTCTGGATATCTATGAAGATTATTAAACGGTGCACGTGTAAAACTCTCTTACCTTTTGTGATTCACACACTTAATAGAGACAAATTAGTTTCCATAAATGGAATGGAACCAAAAAGCGTACGTGCATCTTCTATCAACTCTTGTCTCCTCTCAGAAACCATCATATACATACTTGTACTATCATACTTATCAATTAATTATCCAAATTGGCGTTTACAATTACAGAGGGAGCTAGATTTCGAAAGTATATCATAAGTCAACCATCATATCCTTAACAAAAAAAAAAAAGACAACCATCATATACTTCTGGTACATGTAATCCTTTTTTTTTTGTTTTTTGTGTTCTTTTACTAAAAAGAAGGTTCTTTAGACCATAGTTATGAGTAGCCAGTTGTTTTTTCAAAGAATATTACGCTTAGAACAATACTTAGGGGAATTTAGCCATTTGGGAATCTAGACATGAAAAAGAGGGCAAATGAATCTCTGTAAATGTTACAACGATGACGGAATAGAGGGACCCCGTCAATGCTAGCTGAATAAGTAGATTACTTAGTTGACCAACAAATCATATTTTAAGTAATCATGTTTTTTTCCTATTTGCTTGAATAAGAAAAATGACAAAATTCAAGTGGATATTCATCGATCCTAATGTTGGAATGCAGTAAAAACAGTACGGTTAGTGTTTTTGTTTGGCTGTATTTTGTACATGAAAGTCTACTGTACATACCATAAGGTACAATCATCGTCACCTGTAAGTTGTAATTTAACCTAAGTTGGTAAAAACGCAAAATACGAATTTCTTCTTCTCTATACATTTGACCTATTTGTCCGTTACATACTTTTTTTTTTTTTTGGTCGAACGTCCGTTACATACTAATTGTAGATAGTGTTATATAAAGATAAACTTCCATGTTGTGTGATTATTTCAAATGTCCACACAATATCTCAACATGTAAAGGTAGCTAGTCAGTCAGATAATTAGAAGCTGATTAATCGGTAGAACACAAACCTTATATGCAAAACACCATAGTCTTATAAGTTTAAAAAGCATAGTTTACAAAATGATTAACAAGGTTAATCACAGTCAATGCTCAATGCTTTTAATACATACCCATAACTAATGCAATCATACCGAGATATAAATAAAAGAGACCTACACGGCGGCGGAAACTCTCTTTCCTTTGGCGGGTCCGGCGGCGACTACGACGGTGGACCCAACCGAAGCCTTCTCTTTCCTCTCGTCCACAGTAATCTGCTGTTGCCTGCACTCTAAACTACAAAACGCCCTATCTCCTCTGCTCAACAAAATTACAACCAATTAATAAAATCGTTAAATTCCATATAACTAATAAAACCAAAAAAAAAACCATCAGATTAAAAACATAATTTTTTAAAGAAATACCTATACATATAGATGTCGCGGCCGGGAACAAGATGGCGTTTACAGAGGGAGCAAGATCTCAGAAACTCTCCGGCGTGAGTGGAGTTATCTGCTGAGTGTCTCCTCTGTGCACCTCTCGGTGAGACCATCGCTAAGAGCCGTTGATCTAACGTTACATGATGATGAACATCACCGTGTTCATCAACGGTCATCAACTGTTTCCGGGACGGAGGGTTCTGAATCTGATGATCGGACGGCTCTTGTTCGCTAGGTAAGTTCAAATCGAACTTTATCTCCGACAGACTCGTTGTTCTCTTTATCGGTGGTCTCTGTCTCTTCCCCAACAACATCTTGTTCGTGTTTAGTTTTTTTTTTTTTTTTTTTTTGAGTGAACAGAGCAAAGCGAAAGAGAGAAAGAGGGAAGTGAGAAAAAGAAAAGAGACAGAGAAGATAAAAAGGAAAGCCATAAACTGAGGAGTGAATCTCGACCGTTGGATTTTCTATCTCGGTCTGATTCTATTCCCATTATTATAACGACACGTCATGATTCGGATTCTCAGTGTTTACTCGTTATTATTGCATTTTGTCGTCTATCATCAAATTATTTTGTCTTTCTTTTTTGGGATTTTTTTTTTGGTCAATTATTTTTTCTAATTCGAAGGAAAAAAAAAAAGAAAAGAAAAAAAAATGCAAAAATGTTGTTTTCTAGCTCCTAACGTCTGGGCTACAAGGCCCCACTTTTCGTGACCGATATGTCTCTTTGCAATAGTAAAAGGGCTTAAAACGTTTCACCACTTCCCAAGCCAATTACAATATCAACTGACCTATTTGTATTAACATTTCAAGTTTTGTTTTTTTTCTTCGATGGAATGATTGATGGATTGAAAGTCCTTAGCAAATTAGCATCTCTTGCCCTTTTTTTATTTTTAAGTTTTTGGTTCAAATTTTTGAAAATTATGCACAAAGAACAAGATCTAACAAGCTTGTCTGATTGGTGCATTGGGGACTTGTTTACTGTACAAACAGAGTGGCACATTGTACCAAAATGGTCGGTCTCAACATCCACTTTTCTACTTTATCAATTAATATTTTTTAGAAGACCTTTTGATTTTTTTTTGTTTAATATATTCCTAGAATTATATTGTACGGTGGTTAAATATTTTTAGTTTTTTTTTAAAACACTAGCTAGAGCATGAATTCATCGAATCAAAGGTCTTGAAATTGAGAGGTATAATCATAACAGTTAAAGTTGAGTTTTTACTTGTTTAATACTTAACAGTTATCTGATTTTAAACTGCTAGATGCTAAGTAATACAGTGGATCAATGTTTACTTTGTGTCTAGTTGATGTATGGACGATTTTTAGACGTCAACAAAACAATAAGTAAATGTCGAATAGAACTTGTAAATAATAAACGACCAAATCAAAATTTTAACCAAAATCACATAAAATTGACTACATCTTTTTATCGTTACACGTTTAAATACCAAATTATCAACAAGTTATTTTGTTTAATTCTCGAAAAAATACATTGGTTTGAGAGTTCATAGTTTTTTTTTGCTAAAAATTTATTTGATGTAACTGGATAGATTAAAAACGATTGTCAAGCCTATCTAATTGGTACCTAAACCACCAAATTAGTTCCATCATCTAGGTACATAATACATAAAACAAAATTGATATCATTATTAGTTCCACTAGGTACATAATACATAAAAAAATGATAGATAACGATCGTCTAACTAACGCCTAGATACGTAAACAATTACAAAAAAATCGAGGTCCTAATCCCATATACCAGAAGAAGAGTGTAATGTGGACCCTCTTTTCCTTCACAAGCGGGTATCACTTCTGGTTTTGGTTCACACATATATAATTTTGTAGCAAGTTTTTTTTTATAAAAGATATAACTATTGTTTTGTCAATGTTCGACTCTTGAAAGCAAAAGGGTTTTGTCAATGTTTTCCTACCAATAATCATAGAAATGCAGTCCAGAGTCGTCTCCCATTGCATTACGTTGATTCGATCGATGTTAATGTTTGGGTTCCGATTTCATGTGACTAGATCAACAATATATATATATATATATATATATATTTATCTTATATATGCATGTTCAGATGAGAGTTATTGAAAGTAAATAAACACTGACACGTTATCAAAACATTTATTGATAAAGATCGAAGTTGCAAAAAACGTGGCTACGATTTTTTTTTTAAAAAATTTCTATGTCACAACACTTAGGGGGATAAAAGATAAATCGAAGGCAAAATCCCTGACTACTCACATCAGTCAGTCTGTACAAAATACAACACTTTGTCATTTTTTTTTTGCTTCATCATCAAGATTCTTCGTCGTCTTCTCTGTTTCAGACCTCGTCGGAGAGTTTTGGACAACAACAATCCACGGCTTCAGCCACCGTCAGAAAGATTTTGTCGTGTCCCAACATGTCTGCGAAGTTAGAGACGTATAGCTTGTCTATAACCACCGGTCCTGGATTCGCTAGAACCAGCTGTATTTGCAAAAGACCAAAAAAAGGGTCAATTTTATAACTTTTCCAATATCTTTCCGATATAACTTTTGGTTATGATGTGTATACCTGAATGTCTCTCTTCTGGAGAGACTTGTATAAGTCTTCTAAGGCGTGAATACCGCTAGTATCGATGTCCGTAACAGCTGAAAAAAACGTATAATAAAACATTATTAGCTGTGAATCAATGCTCATCACACGCATCTATATGTAACAAAAAAAAATACATTTTTATAAACAAAAAAGAAGTTCACTACGTGACATTTCGATGATAAGAAACTGGATCCTAGGCAAGCGTGTAGCTTTCACCATCTCTTCTTCATCTGTCAACCATCTTTGAATCCTATAGAGATTTCAAGAATAAAACAATAAGGTTTCTGAAATTGATTTCTTGCAAAACAAGTAACCTTACAAACTTGGTTTCATGATTCGATCTCTCACCGTTCTCTGACGTAATTGGAATTGGAGAAGTAAATCGCAGAGTCAACACGAATTGCCAAAACTCCGGGAACCCTAGTAGCTTCAGGATACTGATCGATATTCCGGTAAACCGAAGTCCTAGGAATCTTTCCAAGAATCGCAGTTCTAGGTCTCGTAACTTGCAGGAGTATCTTAGCAAAAGATATGCCCACCTAAAACATCCACAAACTCAATAATATCAGCCAACAAAACTGCAACTAATTAGATGTCACAATCCACACATGTATTATTTCGGCTTGAGACGTACGGCAATGAGAAGGCCAATCTCAACAGATACAAAGATGACACCAAAGAAAGCTCCCATACAAGCAACGAAATCAAGCTTATCGATCTTGAAGATCAAAACTGCGGCGTTAACGTCAATCAAAGGAATCACGGCGTTGATGATGATAGCCGCAAGAATCGCGTTAGGTGTGTATTTGAAAAGAGGAGTGAGGAAGAGAAGCGTTAAGAGGACAACAATGCATGATGTTGGAGACTGCTGTTTGACATCCGGCCATGAAGTTGACTGCGGATCTTGAGAACGACCCGGTGGATACATAGCAAGAAGTCATCGAACCGATCACGTTCATTGCTCCTAATGCTACCATCTCTTTGTTTCCATCAATTTGGTAGTCTTTCATTGCTGCAAATGTTCTTCCTATGGCTACAGCTTCCTATTTTTTTGTTAAAAAAAAGTAAGTTTTTTCTTTTCTTTTTTCAGTTCGATTGAGGATCAATCATATGAAGAATCTTTGTTCTTCCTTTACAAGTTTCATGTTTTAATTTTTTGTTCTTCTACAAAAAAACACAAATGCTTTTATGTTTTTTTCCAAAGTTTTTTTTTTTTAAATTGCAAATGCAAAACGTAAACGAAAAAGAAAACCCTTGTAACTACTGTACAATTTATAAATGATGGTTGACAAGAAAATATAAAAAAATGAAAACTAGTAAGTAAAATATAGTATTAACTAGTAATTAAACTTAAATGTTAGGGTTAATGTAGGTACATACCGTTAAGGCGACCATGCCTGAGACGACGCCAATGCGGAATCCCTTGAGAAGGTAATCGCCGGAGAAGTGTATAAGACGCAAAGAAGAAGGGTTTAGGCCTTTGTCGATATGTTTCACCTACGCAAGGAGAACCTAATTAATAAGACAACACAAAGAAGAATAACTTGCCTCGCAAGTAACTATTTAGCTTACTATTTGAACTCCTTTTCTGTCGGCTCTGGTAATGTAGACAAAGAAGGTCGAAATGACAACAGATAATAAAGGCGCTATCGCTGGAATCCAAAACAGTTTCTTGTTCTTCTTCCCCTGTTTGTTTGTATTTTGAGATCAAATCAGAACAGTAAAAAAAGAAACTGACGAGAGATTGCAATCAACGGTTTGATGAATTACGATGAATTTGGAGGCGAGAAGGAAGATCAAGAAAGATGCGCTGATGAGTATTGTTTGCCAATTCCACTGGAAGCATATATATGATACCAAACCAGTAAGGATACAGAGAGGGCGAGAGAAACTGAAAAAAAAAAGTGATTGACATGATTCTTTACTCCGTGATGAGCTGAGCTGAAAACGGAATGAAGAACCGCGATGATATCGGTTTTCTTGGTGAATTTCTTGATTCCGAGGAACCCTTTAAGCTGTTGGAGCGCGATGGTGATGGCTGCTCCGCCCATGAACCCTACGACCGCCGCGTGTGATAAGAAATCGATCAAGAAACCTAGTCAGAAACAAAAGTTGAGAAGCTCTAGATCATGAAAGAATCGAGCTAACTTAGGAGGTGCAGCAATATCGCTGATCTTATGTGAGATTAGTAAGTTACCTGAAGAATCCGAGCGTTGCTTGAGTGACACCGGCAAAGAACGTTGCGGTGAAGGCTAGGCGGAGATATTCGTTAGGGTTTGTGTTCGGGTCGATCTCGGCTCTAAGAAGAGTGCCTAAAAGGAGAGAAATCACTGCGACGGGTCCGATCGCTATATCTCTTGAGCTTCCCATACATGCGTACACCATTGGAGGCACAAGACTTGAATCTTTTCAAGAATTGAATAGAAAAAAACCATAGTTATTAAAAATTATTTCAAATTTCTAGGCCTCCATTATTTCAATCATCAAATATTTGTTTACTATATGTTAAAAATATTGCTTTTACAATTTTGTTCATTTTTTTCTTCTTAGTTATAGCAAAAAATTGCCGTTTAAAAAAAAGTTATAAGAACAATCTTGAAGAACAAAACATAACCAAAACTTACATAGGCCGTACTTAGGGTCGAGATTCGCGAGCTTCGCATATCCAATATCCTAAAATAAACCATTCGATAACAAATCTATAGATGATTCTTATGGAAGTGACTTGTGAGACAAGTAATTTAATATTTATTTACCTGAGGAATGCAGAGACTGGCTATGGTTAAACCAGCAATAAGATCACCACGAAACATCTGGAGATTGTAGTTTCTTCCCCATTCGAATACCGGAAATACCGACTGGAGACCGAGCATGAGTTTCATGGACATTGACTGGTCCTTGAAATGCCTTAGAGGATCATCGTGGAAGAAGGTTTCTTTGAAAGCGTACATGAACTCATTGAACAGGTTTTGCTTCGGAGGAACTTCGACTTTGTGAACAAATGGTGTGTTTGTTTGCCGCCGGGAAGATATATTCGCCGGTGAAAGCTCTCCTTCTCCGTCCATAGGGTGATCTCTTGCCGACATTGTTATGTGTGTTTTGTAGCAAACGCTGAAAGAAACTTATTTATAGGTCTGTCAAGACCTTTTTTTTACACAAAAGAGTAATGTAAAACATAGAAATCTCACTATTGAAAATCTGCGTCCCTAGTTGCCAATAGTATCCCAAAGAATAAGAAATTAACTTCCATTAATTTCGTACAAGCAAAATATTGCTTTGCTGCCTCAAGGCTTTTACGTTGCAACTTTCGCTAAACTTCCTAGACCCGACGTATTAATCAAAAAGAAAAAGCTTATTCTATATACATCTTTCTTATAATCACTTTAGAGTTTAGATAGACTAGCACTTATTTGGTTGCTATATACTATTATCAATACAAACATACGGTGATTGGAAAATTAAATTATTTTTTTATATAATAGCCAATATCCATGTATTTGATAAAAGCTTTTTACATTAGAAATGAAAAAGGGGAAACACAACCACGAATCTATATATAAAAGTAAAAGAAATAGCAAAACCATTGATAGTGGAAGCATTATGTTTTGTACCTGCGAAATAAATACAGTGACGAATTCGATCTTTGGTTTTAGCCTCTTTTATTCCTCCAAAGTTGTTCCATGTGGAAACTTTCTTTTAACTCGTTTCGAAATGGGGAAGACAATGTGGAAACGCCAGATTGTAGAAAACGTCTGTTAGATTGTAACAATAAATACAGAGGAACCTAGATCTTGACCAGGTTCAGTGAACAAAGCTGATCACCTGTCTAGAGGAACCCTAATTTTAAGAAAAGAGAGAAATTATGATGTTTCCCATTTATCAATGAGAAATTCTTCAAGTCAGTTCCTGGTTGTGGATAGAAAAGAGAAAGTTCTTTTTGCAGCGTATGGTTAAAAAGAAGAGGAGAAAATTATCCTTACAAATACACTTAGAGTGAGGATTAAAACAGATCTGAGTTCTACTTAAGGAAAATATTGAGATACCAAAAAGAAATGAACAAAAAACATTTTCTTTTCACCTATCCAAAATGAATAAGAGTACAAATCTTGAATGTTTCCTTTTTTTTGTTTTTTTGTTTCTTAAGATGAAATAAAAAAAATTTGTAACGACACAAGATACAGTCTAAAGAACAACAAAACACATTCGACGCTGTTAGATCCGAAATTTACGAAGAAGACATGACACTATAGTCATTGTTGGTGATACAATTTAAAAAAAAAGGACAAAAAGATGAGCGAGAGCCGAGAAGGTTGGAGTGAATGAAAAAATCCTACAAAGTGGCTTAACAACGTAACACACATATAGAAACCGTATATGATTAGAATATTAGATCATTTCAGGATCTTGAAGTTTTAATAAACTATAGTGGACCAATCAGTCAATCACGCACAAAGATCAAACCTCCTCCATTAAATTTCGTATTCGTCCATAAAATATTAAATATCAAAGGAAGAGGAAACAAAATTGACGATCATAGGATCTCGAATTTTTATAAAGTTGTGCAATATTTTACTTTCTATAAGAATGGTTTTTAACTGAAGTAAAAAAACAAAGAATGGTATTTAACTGAAGTAACAAAAAAAAGGGAATGGTTTTTAACCATACGACGACGTAGCGAGGAAAAGGAAAGGAGATGTTTATGGGGCAGGGTCAAATACGCTGTCGTTTGAAGAACATTATTTTCGCGCAATCTATGAAGCAAAATCGATCAAAAGAGACAATTATGTTTTGTGTATTGGGAAGATAGAGAAAGTTGAGCGATGGGAGCAGAAGAAGGAGAAACGCGTCAAGCCAGCGACAAACCTACGCAAGTCGCAATTTCGAAAGATCAATTCATAGCGTGGAAGCGCCAAAAGGTGTTCTTTTTCTCTCTGTATCTCTCACTTACACTTCGAATCCCATTGAAATATATCGAAACGAAGAACCCTAGATTTCAATTTCCAGCAGAACGCATAATATTTGAGCATTTACTCTCGAGGACTAGAAATTTTGTAGCTTTAGATGTTTATTCTCTTGTATTAGCTCTGTTACTTGAGACATGTGAGATATTGAATTAGGCAATTATTATTTAAGCTCAAGCTATTGGAAAATTGATTCTGAATCATCATTGATTGCCTCTGATATGTGATTCTCGTAGATCATTGGATTGTTTTCTCTTTTCCCAATTGATCATTAGAGTTATGTTACTAGCATCTGTCTTGTTCGTTCTTTAAGCATCTGAACATTAACCTCTGAGTTTGTTTGCTTTCTTGTAAGGACGCTGAATTGTCGGCTAAACAAGCTGAAGCAGCGAGGAAGCGTGAAGAGGACATAGCCTCAGGCCGTATCCAAATGAATGGCCGAGAGCTTTTCTTGCACGAGCCATGGGTTTTTGACGACACTCACCACTGATTCTTTCTACTCAAAACTTCTTCTTCATAGGTACAGATTCATTCGATCATAAAAGAGACACTCTCTCATTGCTATTACTAGCTGCTGAGTTTATCCTCTTAAGAGTTGGGATTAAGGAACTCTTTTTTTTGTTAGCTCATTGTGTTTTTATCACTAATCTCTCTGCTCTGAAGAAATTATTTTAAGATTTGTTACTCCTTTATCTCTGATTTGACGATTTTTATATTTTCAGGTGTTTAAGACAAAATCAAAGACACTTAATGGGTGATCTCTAATCTGTGATCCAACTCTGTTTCTCTTTTGTTGTGTACTTATGTTTCCATTTATTTGTTAATCAGGAAATTAAATGGATGATGACTGTATATTGGATTTTAATCATATTTTCATATATGGTTCCTAACAATGTCCTAACGATCGTTGACGAGGTTAGATGTATACATTATATTTGACTCAAATTTGAACATATATCAAACCTGAATTGGTACATTGAAACTACATATTGTGAGAAAGCATGATAAACACTAATCAAAGCGACGGCTCTCCAAATATTTTCGAGGAAAAAAATGAAAGAAGTAAGCTTAAGAAAATTTTAAATGATAATGCGAAAGGCTTAAGGATTTACAGCGAAACATGGCAAGAGAGGGGATCTTAGTCAAACATTCTATTTTTAGTTCCTCCGAAATAGCCTAAGTGTACGCATTTTCTTCCACCTTCCCGTATATTAACAATATCGTCATTCAACAAGTTTTTTTTTTTTGGAAGTTTTGGAGATTACTCATCAGCATTACATCAAATTCGATTTGGATGAAGAGAAAAAATCTCTTCTTGCATTGTCAATATGGGTCGGGTGAAATTGGAAATCAAGAGAATAGAGAACACAACGAATCGACAAGTTACGTTCTCAAAACGTAGAAATGGTTTGATTAAGAAAGCTTATGAATTGTCGATTCTCTGTGACATCGACATTGCTCTTATCATGTTCTCTCCCTCCGATCGTCTTAGCCTCTTTTCCGGCAAAACTCGGTATTATCATCATCTACACCTTTTGGTATTTAATATTTTCAATTGCTAGATTTCTTGGGTTTGGAATTTGGATGCATACTAACATTTTCAGTCTATTATCATTTTTTGAGAAATTTCAATACATGAAAGATGAACATTTCTTATCTCTTCAGGATCGAAGACGTATTCACAAGATTCATCAATCTTCCTAATCAAGAACGCGAGAAGTAAGCTAATACTAATTTCTTTTCTTTTTTTTCTTTCTTGACTTCTTAAATTTATTTTTGTTGTGAAAACTTGGAAATTTTATTAATCACTGGAATGTATATATAGAGTACATAGGGAATCTAGGTTAAGTACAATGCCCTGATGGGCCTAATGGGCCGGTATAAGAGTCCATATATGATATGTGTTATAACACTCCCCTTGGACGAGTGAACCGGGTCAGCTACTCAATCGGGATCTCGATAATGCGCTGGGGAATGTTGCCTCATTAAAACCTTACCAGGAAAAACCCAGTGGGACAAAACCATGATGAAGGAAAAAGAGTACAACACGCATTACTCCCCCTGATTGTAGCATCACTGCAGATCTCTAAGTCTATACATTCCTATCTGTTTGACGAGCTTCCGGTGTGTTGAAGTAGGCAATGATTTGGTGAAGAGGTCAGCTGAATTCTCACTGGATCGGACCTGCTGAACGCTGAGAGTGCCGTCCTTCTGCCAGTCTGAGGTTGAGAAGAACTTCGGTAGAATGTGCTTCGTCCGATCTCCTTTGATATATCCTTCCTTGAGCTGAGCTATGCATGCCGCGTTGTCTTCATACATCACCGTGGGCTGTGTGTCTTCGTCCATACCACAATCTCTGCGGATGTGCTGAGTCATGGAGCGCAGCCAGACGCATTCCCTACTAGCCTCATGAATGGCTAGGATTTCAGCATGGTTTGATGAAGTGGCAGTGAGTGTCTGCTTCATTGATCTCCAAGAGATGGCTGTTCCTCCATGCGTAAAAACGTAGCCAGTTTGAGACTTGGCAGTGTGCGGATCTGATAGATATCCTGCATCGGCGAAGCCGACTAACCCATCTTTATTTTGGTTAGTATAGAAGAGTCCTAAGTCTTGAGTACCTCGAAGGTATCTTAGGAGATGTTTTATACCGTTCCAGTGCCTCTGAGTTGGAGATGAACTATATCGAGCGAGGAGGTTCACGGCGAAACATATGTCTGGTCTAGTGTGACTAGCCAGGTACATTAACGCTCCTACAGCACTGATGTATGGCTTTTCAGGACCAAGGATTTCTTCATCATCCTTTTTGGGACCAAGAGGGTCATCACTTAAGCTTCTAACTACCATTGGGCTGGTCAATGGGTGAGCTTGGTCCATATTAAATCGCTTAAGTACCTTTTCGATATAAGCCGATTGATGCACAAGGATTCCTCCTTTGATGTACTCAAGTTGTAATCCCAAACAATACTTTGTTTTGCCTAGGTCTTTCATTTTGAATTCTGCTTTTAAGCAGTCGACTGTTTGGGAGATCTCACCAGATGTTCCGAGGATGTTTAGATCATCCACGTATACTGCTATGATTACAAATCCTTTGTTTGAGTACTTCTTGATGAAGATGCATGGACTGATGGGGTCATTTTTGTAGCCTTCTTTGATGAGGTAATCGCTGAGGCGGTTGTACCACATACGCCCACTTTGTTTCAGTCCATACAAGGATTTGTTCAGCCTGATGCAGTATTGATCTCGAGATGCATTTTTGTCTTTTAGTTCAATGCCATCTGGGAGTCTTATATATATTTCGTTGTCCAGGGGCCCATAGAGATATGCGGTTACAACATCCATTAACCGCAGATCAAGATTTTCTCTTATGGCCAGACTTATGAGGAATCGGAATGTTGTTGCATCCACCACTGGAGAATAAGTCTCCTCATAATCGATTCCGGGTCTCTGTGAGAATCCTTATGCTACAAGCCGTGCTTTGTATCGAACGACTTCACCGAGTTCGTTCCTTTTGCGCACAAAGACCCATTTGTGGCCCACTGGCTTGATGTGTGATGGGGTCCGGATGATCGGACCGAACACGTTTCTGAGTTTGAGACTCTTTAACTCCACGTTTATGGCTTCTTTCCATTTTAGCCAATCTGTTCGATGTGTACACTGTGTTATTGACGTGGGTTCTAGATCCTCTTGCGTGAGCGCAACATCAAGTGCTACTTTGTATGCAAAGAGTGCATTTAAGTCGACTTTTTTTCGATTCCATTGTATTCCGGACATATTGTAATTGATGGAGATCTCATTGTTATCTTCTGAACCTGGAGATTCGGCGTCCCGAACTTTCATTGAGGGTTCATTAGATTGAGTCTCAGCCGCGGCTATGTCTGATATTGCAGGAATCCCGGTTTCGGTTATTGCACCTTTCTTTGATTTCCGGGGATTCTTATCTTTGGAACCGAGAGGTCTGCCCCGTTTGAGACGTGGTGCAGACTCTGTAGCAACTTGGGTCTGTCCCGTTGGGACAGCTATTCGTACTGGTGCATTACAAGCTGGGATGTACGATTTGGTTACTTTGGTCGGGTCAGCAAAGGAATCTGGCAATTGATTAGCTAGCTTTTGATAATGAATAATCTTTTGGATCTCTGAATCACATTCTAGAGTCCGAGGATCTTGCCAATTTAATGATGTTTGATTCCATGAAAGATCTTTGACCAGCTTGTTTGTCTCACCACCTAAAGAGGGATATACCGATTCATCGAATTGGCAATCCGCATATCTGGCCTTGAAGAGATCTCCAGTGGTTGGCTCGAGATATCTTATGATGGTGGGAGAGTCAAAACCAACATATATTCACATCCTTCTTTGAGGTCCCATTTTGGTTCGATGTGATGGAGCAATGGGTACATATACAGAACACCCAAATGTTTTGAGATGGGAGATGTCTGGCTCATGACCCGAGAGTAGTTGGGATGGGGAATATTTGTGTTCACTAGATGGCCGGATGCGTATGAGTTCAGCAGCATGTAATACTGCATGTCCCCATGCTGAGGCCGGGAGCTTTGATCTCATGAGTAATGGTCGGGCTATCCATTGAATGCGTTTAATGAATGATTCAGCCAATCCATTTTGAGTATGGACATGTGCTACAGGATGTTCCACGGTTACCCCCATGGCCATACAGTAGTCATTAAACGCTTGTGAGGTAAATTCACCAGCATTGTCAAGGCGGATAGTCTTTAGTGGGAAGTCAGAGAAATGGGCCCGCAATTTTATGATTTGGGCCAAGAACCTAGCGAAGGCTTGGTTCCGAGAGGACAAGAGACAAACATATGACCAACGGGTTGATGCGTCTATAAGGACCATGAAGTACCGGAATGGTCCGAAAGATGGATGTATAGGTCCACAGATATCGCCTTGGATTCTTTCTAGGAAATGAAGTGTTTGTTTAGAGATTTTAACTGGTGAAGGCCGAGTGATCAATTTGCCTTGAGAACAAGCTGTGCACATGAGGTGTTGAGGATAAGCTCGGTTTTCTTTGAGGGTATGCCCTTGAGAGTTTTGAATTAGTTTACGCATCATATTTGCACCGGGATGACCGAGCCGGTCGTGCCAAATAGTATAATCAGTAAACCGGGCTTTGAGAGTGGTATTAGCTTCAATCATACTGACTTTAGCATGGTAAAGTCCAGTAGAGAGCGCGGGTATGGTTTCGAGGATTTGTTTATGGCCGTCTACGGTTTTAGTGACTAGGAGGGATTCTTTGTTCCCTTGACCTTGGGTTTCTATGTGGAAACCATTCTGTCTTATATCCTTGAAGCTCAGAAGATTTCTCTTCGAACTAGGAGAATATAGAGCATCTGGTATTTCAAGTTGTGTGCCATTTGATAGCAACACATAGGCATGGCCATATCCTTCGATAAGGTTTGAGGGACCCGCGATGGTGCTAATATTTGCGGTTTGATAGGTTAGGTTTATGAAGTAACTTTTGTTTCTTAAGATAGTGTGGCTGGATCCACTATCTACGACTATGGTTTCCATTTGCTGGTGTGCTTCATTATGAATAGAAGATAGAATCCAGTATTGAGGAATTCAGAAAATGTGATAAATCATAAAGTAAAGCAGTGTCTGAGAATAAAGGCAAATGGAAAAAAAAAATGAAACAAATCCCAAAATGAAAAAAAAATAAAGAACAAAATCAAATTGTATCAGAGTTTCAGATGATTGAATTAATCGAGGAGATCAGCTGTTTCATAGTCCATGGGGTCGGTCTGCTCGTTTGTGGTGTTCTCATCATCAAGGAGGTCGTCACCTTCCAGGTTAGCAGCATCGACTGGCTGAGTCATGTTGGCTTCAGCAGGAGCTTTTCCGTACTTCTGGTATAGATCGCAGTGGATCTTGGGGGTGCGACATTGCTTTGTTGGGTGGTTGAACATCCCACATCTGGTACAAGCAGAGTGATCGGGGTTGGTGTGGCAGGTCGGCTTGGTGATGCCTCGACCACGACCAGGACCATAACTGAGGTTAGGTCGGTTGCCACGACCATGTCCGCGTCCACGTCTTCCACGTCCATGTCCTCGGCCATTACCACGTCCATTACCACGTCCACGGCGGTGATCTGAGGATCTATCGGGTTGAACATGGTAGGACTCTTGACGAGAAGCTGGGACAGGAGCCGATCCCGGGGGCCTCATAGCGCTGTTCCTCATAAGCAGCTGATTATTCTTCTCAGCGAGGAGAAGACAGGACAACAAGTCTTCGTACAATGTGTGTTTCATTGCACGGTATTGTTGTTGGAGCACAACATTCTCTGTGCTGAATGTGGATAATGTTTTCTCGAGGAGATCATTATCTGTCACATCCTCGCCACAGAGTTTCCGGATGGCAACAATACGAAAGAGTTCGTTGTTGTAATCATCTACGGATTTGTAGTCCTGGAACCGAAGGTTCTTCCAGTCGAAATCTGCCTGAGGCAACTGGACCATTTTCTGATGGTCATATCGCTTTTTCAGCGCTTGCCACAATTCAAGTGGATTCTCAAGAGTGAGATATTGCTGCTTAAGGCTCGGGGCCAGATGATGGCGTATGTGACATATCGCCTGAGACTGTCCCTTACGGGATGCGGTGTTACCGTCGGTAATACATGCATCGAGTTCTTTCGATGCAAGGAACAAGCGCATGTCTAGGGCCCACTCGAGGTAGTTATCCCCGGAGACGTGAAGGGCCTCGAATTCACATTTCTGAATGTTTGACATCTGAAACATGAGATTGATTTTGTTAGGGATTGTTTTGAGAAAATTTTGAATGCTGATGATGAAACTTTCTATTTTGAGAATATTTCTATTTTAGGAAAGTTTCTAAATTTGGAAAGTTTCTAATTTGGGTAATTTTCTAAATGAGGAAAGTTTCTATGTCGGGAAAATTTCTATATGAGGAAAGTTTTTATATGAGGAAACTTTCTATTAGAGGGAACTTTCTCGGAAATAGTAAATTTTAAAGGGTATGGTTTTAGTTACTCCGAACATGATGTCGGTTTAATAGCTGTGATTTAATCGGTTAAAGCCGAATATAATTTCGGTTAATGAGAACCAGGTTTAGCCGGTTTTAGGCGGTTTAGGAGGAACCCTAGGGGAGCCGAATATGATTAGGGTTTTATCTAGGGTTTTAACGGTTTGGAAAACATATTTTGGATGTGATTTCGAGATCTATAGGATCTGTGGTCGATGGTTTTAATAATTTCACAAGGACAACAAAGAAATCACGTGAAAAGGACTAGGGTTTAAGCATTATGACTTACGATTTTGAAGATTACAAAATCGTGAATCAAGCTTAGGATTTAGGATTAATTTTCTTAGTTTATTCAATCAAGTGTTTCAAGCAAGAGAATCAACAATCAAATAAGCTGCAACAAGCTTATTAAACATGAAGAAAATCGAATAGGTTTATGCCATAAACATGGCCAAAAACGGTTGTTAGGTTTTTGTAGATTAGGGTTTTATAAAACGAGTTTAAAACCTTTGAACATGCATAAACTTGTAATTTAAACAATCAATCAACAAGTTATCAATCAATCATCAGAGTATCAAACACTTTCAATCAATTAGAGATCGATTTTTTTTTTTTTTTTTTTAGGGTTTTGAAGTGTTTAAACAACAGGTTCTATGGCTCTCAGTTTTAGAAGATACCTTTTCCACCTTTGGATTTCTGACAGGCTAATGAAACTGGGAGCTAATAGACCTTAGTTAGCCGTTACAAATTCCAAGGATTGATCACCAAAACTGGAGAAGCTGCTGGTTGAAGAAGGAAAAACTCGGATCTGGTTTTTTTTTTTTCTCGGTTGATCGTCGTGTACTGTAAGTGTGCGTGAGGGCGCGTCCGACGTTGGATCGACAAACGGTTTTCACCAGTAGATTCGTCTCGTCGAGGGCTTCGATTTGATATGTAGATCGTCTTCTGGTTCCTCACGGTTTGGAAGATATGCGTCTTTTAAGTTTCGACTTGCTTTTAGGGTTTTGGTGGTGGCCGGATTTATTAGGGTTTTTCGCTCAGAGAGTCTTATCGTGCTGATAACGTGTTGTGAAAACTTGGAAACTTTATTAATCACTGGAATGTATATATAGAGTACATAGGGAATCTAGGTTAAGTACAATATCCTGATGGGCCTAATGGGCCGGTATAAAAGTCCATATATGATATGTGTTATAACAATTTTCACTTTTTTAGTTAATTATTTGTTTTTTTTGTTGTTCAGTGCTCTAAGCTCTTCCGACCACGGTAGACGGTATGTATCGTATTTTTTTGGGTTACATTAATTCATTCATAATCATTTCGTAATGAGAATTATATATAAAAAAATTTACATTTTGACCTCTTCCTTTTTTTTCGCAGGGATATTCAAAGCAAAGAGGTTCGACTTATCATAAAGTGATTAGTTCTTTTCTTACAATGTGATTTTTATATTTAGTGATCTATTAATCTAGAATAATGTTATTACGTGACAGTATCTCCTAAGGGTCTTGCAGCAACTCAAAAATGAAAATGACATCGCTCTCCAACTCACGAAGTCCGAAACTCCTTCTGTTTTGTCTTTATTCGTTTACATAATTTCATATATTCACCAAACACTCTTCAATACAAATCTAACCATACACTAAACTTTTTTTTTTTCATATGATTATCTTTAAAAAGCCCTGCAGCTATCAACTCCGACGTCGAGGTGCTTTAAACTCTCCATCGATTTATTACAACACATATATAAATATGTTGATATGTTTAGTTTAACCAATTAATTTGTCTCTCTTGTAATCGGAAAATCTAGGAACTTGAGCAAGAAGTTTGTAGGTTACAACAACAACTCCAAATGGCACAGGAAGAACTAAGGTTCTTTTGAAATTAAACATGATCTATGCTATAGTTTATAAATCATGATATCTTTTTGTATAACCTTAATATATATGAACAGGAGATACGAACCAGATCCAGTAAGATTCACGAGCATGGAGGATTATGAAGTTTGTGAGAAGCAACTTCTCGACACGTTAACACATGTTGTCCAACGAAGAGAGCATCTCTTGAGCAGCCAGTTATCTTCATTCGAAGCATCTACCTTGCAACAAAGCATTGCAGGTCCTTTTGTGAACGACGCCGTTGGAGGTTGGTTGCCTGAAAACGGGCCTAATCAAGCGCAGCTATTTGATGCGTCGGCCCATTCCAATCAACTCAGGTATTCTCTCCTTCTTTCTAAGCTTTCTCATGTAATTTCTTTTAATGTTCTTTCGACTCAAAGCACATACTTATTTTCTTAATTAAAAAAATGTTTTTGTTATGAATATTAAGAGTTTATGTTTTTTTTTTTGTTTAAAATAATCTAAAATTGGCAGAGAATTATCATCGGCAATGTACGAACCCATGTTGCAAGGGAGTAGCTCAAGTTCGAACCAGAACAATATGACCGAATGCCACGTGGCAAATCATAACGCTGAACTGTTCCCTGAGTGGGCCCAGGCGTATTCATCTTCGGCCTTGTTCGCTTCTATGAACCAGGTCTTTTGTTTATTTTAATTTTGATGAATTACACTTTAAATAATACTTCGAAAATATTGACGTTTTGATAAATGCCAGCATGGAGGAGTGGGTCCCAGCATAGAGGAAATGATGCCAGGTCAGCAATGTGAGATCCCGGCAGTGACGACGGAGGCACAACAAGACAAGCTTGAAGTCGTCGCCGACTATGAAACAAGAATTCCCCAGCTCAGTAGCCAATAACTGTCAAAACACGCACGATTCAATGTATTAATATTATTTTATGTGTTACCATTTTAATTTTTTTTTTTTACTTTTTTCATCTATCCATTTTTTTGGGGGACACTAAACGATGATGATAAAAAAAAACATCACATTTGTATAAACAAGTTTTAGTTCTATTTCTTAAAGCTTAGTAAAATCGAAAAATCCATAAAATCCATAAAATCTGAATGGATGATTTTGTCTCAATCATTATTAAGAAAATAAAAGGAAAAGTATCAGAAAACTAATTTCTAAAGATAAAGATATTAAAATAAATGGAAAAGTATAAATTTAGTGTATCTTAATTAAATCTAGATTTTGCACCAATAACTGTAAAACAAATAATTTTCTCTGTTGAGCTAATTTTAGCTCTTTGTAATCAGATTTTTCTTGTTTCAAAATGCATTATTTGTGTTACTATAATGTTTAAATAAATGAGAAAAATAGTTAAATTGGGTAGTTTCGTTATAAAATCTCAATTTTCCATCTGCAAATTTAAAATTTAAAATTTCCTAAGTTGAGCCATTTTTGCTGTTCTTATTAAAGGTCTGAGTCGTCTGACTATTTAAAGCGCGCGCATCGTTTGTTTCTAGATACAAAAATACACAGTGTTTTAGTTATTTTGTAAAACGATCACTTGTAGATTTTACATGCACACGAAGTTGAATATGTAAAAAAAGAAAGTCTGACATATTTTCATGTTTTTGTTTTTAAATTTTACTGAATTTAAAAAATATTATAGATATATATATATATATAAATTATAATCATATTTACGTGTCTGTGTATATACCGAATATCTAGTTTTATGGATATTTTTATTACTATACACTGACACGTGTGAAATTTTTATAAAACGACGATCACAAGTTTAATTTTTTTTGTGTGTGTTAACAGCATGTATTAGGTGAGTTTTAAAGTTTAAACCCCTGTCACAAATTTAATCACTTAAACAAATACTTTTTGCCAATGTAAGATAATCTTATATAAAACAAATTTCAATACACAAACGCAGTATTTTAATTGAAAAAAAAAACTAAACAATCAACAATAAATTAATATTATATAAAGGCATGCTTGTCACTATATATATCCATGGCCTCCTCCATTTCTGATATATCTTTGCTCTCACAGTCTCTTGCTTCCATTTGAACATATCAGACAGCTTCACAATCTTTTGCTCTCACAATCTCTTGCTTCCATATGTTTTTGAAGATAAGGTAGATTGTGTTTGTCTCATATCAGTTTTATAGACTATATTTCTCAAAGTTTTATTTACATCTTCTATTTTAAAAATTAATCATCATTCTTATGAAATCGAAGCTTCACTAAATCAGATTCTTAAAATGTTAATGCAAAGATTTTCATTATTTTTGTGATGCACCATAAAATTGGGAAAATTGTTGATAAATTAATCATATAAAAATACATTCCCTCTCCCATTTTATTTTCAGTAGATCTAGGAATTTTTTGATGAATAACCTTGCAATTTATCCTAAATTTTCCGGTGTTCTTAATCAATGAATTACTAATCTATCTCTGAACAAAAATTTGCTACGTCATTTTTGAATTTTCAAAATGCGTATATGATTGTGAACATTGCAGTGTTGTCAAGAATGGCTTCAAGTGACGGTCTTGAATTTCCATTCGACACCAATTCCTTCTTGTTCTTGGAATCGCCGGAAACTTTTAGTGCTCTCACGGTAATTTTTTTTCAACACTGGTTGTTGCTTCTTAGTGTAAATATGTGTATATATGTCATGAACAATACGATAATCTAGTATTTGAGTAAATCTGTTTTCAAAAAAATCTACGGTTCGATTTTTGATTCTACCAAATTTGATTTTACTCCATAAATCTATCATATTATCCTCATTTCATCAGATTTCCTTGGACCAATTAAATGTTGTTTACACAAATATATAGGAGTGTCAGGAGAATTCTTCGTTGCTGATTCCAGAAAAAGAACACAATGAGATTGTTGAATTTGTCCCTGTCTCTGCCGCCAAAAATGATATACATCCCTCATCACTAGAAGAGAATTCACGCATTGATCATCAAGAGACATTATCAAGAACTTCAAGCTTTAATCAAAGCTTCCATCACGAAGACGATCATTCTAATTATCTCATTGCAGCAAGAAATCTTCCTAACATGGTATGTCCACATTTTAATTATGAATTTTTTTCACTGACAATGACATTATTGTAATGATCGGAGGATCCTAGTCCAAAAGATAGACTAATCTCATAACTATGCAGCCATCATGTACACTCCCAAATGGCCCAAGAGAAAGTGTCTACAGTGGAAACTTTTTTCTAGCCTCGACGAATAAGGTGATGACCACTGGACTACAATCAGTTGGTTTACAACATAAACCTGTAAGCCAAAGTTATCAACAACCTTTACTGTCGCCAACGAATCCTGATTTCTCTAGAGAACCATATGTTTCAACAATGGTACAAATCTTCTATAGCTTTTTTATTATTATTATTCACTTAAATGTTATTATGTCTATCTACGCAAGTTATTCAATATTATGATGACTCAGATGGGGACTAATGTACAAGAAATGGAGAGGAGTAATGGACTTACAAATCTCAATCCTATTTATGGCCTACAAGATCAGTGCATTCATTCGCCTATGTATTCAACTTACAACACCTCTTTCTCTTTAAATATTTGCAAAGGTTTATTAATTAAATATTAATACAATTATCAATCGATGCAGGTTTCAGGAGGAACAATATGATTACGATTTACTTCTTGAACAACTCAAGCATATTCATGAAAATGATCAGATGCAACAGCCAGAATCTTCCAACATGCCTACTCCAACATACATGTAAGAAAACTAATAAGAAAAAAAAAAAGATTTTCCATGTTTTTGAAAACTTAATTGTGTGTCATCTTTGTCCAAAATTATTTTAGGGGGGATTTGTTAAGCAATCAACAACAGATTCCTTATGCCTCGTCTTCAAATACTATATCAAATCCAGAGTATCGTACTCCCATGATTTCAAACAGTCATATCCTAAAAACGTAGCTATATTGAGTTTCTTTTACTATTTGATTTTTTTCTATACACTTAAAATTTAATTAGATTACCTTACAATTGTAGAGTTTCTTGATTGTTCGCAGGTCAGGAAACTATTCACCATTTGCGCATACTTCATATCAATCTGACCCATTTGCTATTAATTTTCAAAACTCAAGCTCATTACAAACTACTTGTCGAACCCGTGGAAGGTGACATCATCTTCCATTTGCGAATACATATGTTTTTTTTTTTTTTTTATATGATCTAATGTTTGAAAAGATGATCATCTTTAGGCCAAGGAAAAATCAAATTCCGATGCCTTTGGTACCTACAACTCAAACGCCCTTAACCTCTCCCAGGTACTAAATCTCCATACTAGCACAACATCTTCTTTTATACTTTAGCTTCATGTATTTACGCGTTACTGCATATATCGTAATTTTCTATATATAGACATTATAGCACGCGAGAGAAGGGAAAACAAGCTATTACAGCAATGCCGTCTTTGAACCCAACTCTATACAATCAATATCAAAGATCATACACAAACACAATGGTCCAGCAGGTTAAGTTTTTTCATCTTATCACTGGACTAGATGTAATTTGTTTTCTTTTTGAAAAATGAGCAATACAACCACTTGAAAAATGATATTCTTTTTTCTTTTTTCTTTTCCTAGTATACACTTGTAATATTGCCAACTTTTGGTGTCTAATTTTGCAGAGTGGAGTTTTAAGACAACGTAGTTGTTATGATCAACTCGAAAATGAATGCTCATCGTCTAAAATAAGGGTAGACGACACATGCATTCTCACATACATATTTTATTTTTTCAAAGCATAAGAAGTTACAAGCGTGTGAATTAAGTAAATAGATATTACAGAGGATCATGCTCCCGTTTCAAGAAAACTCTGTGGCGGATTCATCAAGGGTTTCATTTTGGCAAGATGGAAATATGCGTTCAAGTGCAGCCAATCACCATGAAGAGAGGTTTGATTCAAACCGTAAATTCGGTTAAGTTTATTTTTTTTTTGACAAAGTAAATTCGGTTAAGTTTCTCTTTATGATCCTAAATTCTAATCTTAATCAAACAAAACAAAAACTTTAGGAATATAACTTACAGATTTACTTCTTCTTTTAGGTCTATTAAAAATACAATGTACGATCCATTGTATGCAGGTGTTGGATTACCCATTGATCCTCATTTGAGGTTCTTTTGATTAAACTTATCAAAATGGTAACTCTCTCTTATATTTTACCAAGTAATTTAGGATCCTTATATAAAAAACGTATAACCAAATATTACATTAAAATCTTTTGTACTTTGTTTCTCTTTTTGCAGGAAAACATAATTTGCATGTTGGAAGAGTCAATATGTTGGAAAAAGTATTTCAAGACCATCAGCCCAAACCATAAAACCAACTAGAATTATATATACATGGCATAATGATTTATCAATAGTGTTGTCTCCATATCACTATCCAAATTCACATTCGAGCGTATGCGCGATTTGAAGAAGAAAGAAAAACATGCATTTAGTTTTAGAGTATTACCGATGATGATTAGATCTGAACTGTATTCGGCGTTGTGTGCATGTAATACACTAATTTCTGAATACATGAGTAAACAAAAAGAATAAATTATAGCCTTTAAGGTACAAAAGGCCGAAGCAATAATTTTGGGCCGATAAAGAGCCCATTAAATATTAGAATAGACCCTAGCTAAGTATATTGGTTGAAGGCAAAATCCATCCCTCTTCTGTGGTGGCCTTTCCTTAGCGTAGAGAATATCAAAGACTAAATTTAAGGTGATCAATAACTCACAAGAACCTGCGACACTGCCCATCTCCGACGATAAAATTCCAATGGTATATTTTAGGCCTAATTTCAATAATCTCACATGCACTATTGGAAGTAAGCTTGTAGAATGTGTATCGTGTGGCTCAAGTAAAATGGACGTCAAAGCTCTAATGTAATGAAAAATCTTTCAGCCAACATTTCTATATGTGTGTATATGGGACTGGTAAACATTCTCCAAATCATTCGGACAAAAAAAGCATTCTTCAAATCTCCGGCAATATTCTTTAATTTCTAATACGAGAATATTTATAAGCATTATAACTTGATTTCGCTTGATTTCTTCAATGAATATAGGATGAAAACCCAAAAGGAAATCTTTATCCTTTTCATGTATTCCAAAATACTGATGATTATATAATATTATCTGTTTTTTGTGTTCTGGATTTCGTAGTTTTTGACTAATAAGCTGCTTTGGGAATCATCAAACTAAAAATGCTTATTTAATTCACAAAAAATTATATTATCTAACAAGAAAAAATATCTTGAGAGCTCATCTCATCACATTTGACTGCATTCTGAAAAAAATCTTGAAAATGTTTCAGTTGTAGATAATGTTGATCGACTTCTACAGATGATCTGAAATTTATATACTAAGCAACCAAAAAAAAAAAATCTTTTACCACCACACTGTTACATAATGCTGATAATATCAATTTATATCGTTTCATCAGGTGATTCAGACATTGTAATCAATAGGAAGACTCCTGGTGATCAGTAACACTGATTTATTTCTGATTTTCTTAAAACTTTTTCTTGATTTTTGTTCTTTTTTCTTATTGGCGTCTCTAACCCTGAGTTTCAAATTTGGATTTTTTTTTAACAAGAATTCTCTTATTAGCCTAAAGTGTCTGGATTTCTCTCTAAACTCAATCTTTTTCATATATTTCGATTGGCAATTTGGTAAACGAGTATATTGAATTGAAGCTAAGCATTAACCGACATCTGAAATATGAATTTCAATTGAATTGTAAATAACTATATTTTTTTCTTTTGGTCGAAGTAAATAACAATATCTAACATATATATGATATTATTTGAATATAAATGGTTATAAATGGTATTTTTTACGGCAAACAATAATTCTTATATATATGGTATTAAAGGTATAAACCTTAAAGTATTGTAAAATGTAAATAATCAATTGGAGACGCTTTTCTATTCAAGAGGTGAAACCAAGAGTTAAGTATAACTGTTCGTTGTGGTTGTGTATGTTAAGAGTTTAGACGGTTCTATTGAAAGTGCTGCAGTTAGAACTGTAGATTGTAATGTGAGTATATAACTATCCGTTGTAGAATTATCCACAAAAAGGTTGTTTGTCATTGTCAAATATTCTGCATGGAATTAAATTTGCTCGTTTTGATTGAGATCATCATTAAATAATATAACGAATCAGCATTTGTATGTTCTAAATGATATACCACATTAAAATAAATAGGAATTAATTTTAGATATATTTATACAGAATTGCAATTGCTCCTTTGATTTGGTTACTTTTCCATAAATAATTATCTTATCCATTTGGTAAATTTTTTTTTTCAAATTTTTGTCATTGTTGTAGCATTGTCCTGTGGATGCGAAAAAAGTGAAAAATATATTTCTAAAAATTTTAGTTACCATAGACATGCTGTAAAATAGTTAAAGGCGTTATCCATAACCCCATAAATTAGGAAAGGTTAAGGATTTACAGCAGGCGAGAGAGGAACGGCCGACTTGGTTAAACATCCTAATCTTAATCCCTCCGACCTCGCCTAATTTTAAGCATTTTCTGCTTTCCTTTTATTTTAATTGCAATTAATATTTATTGATTATCTTTCCTTAATCCCAAAAGATTAAAGAAATCGACTTAATTGATAGTATATCTTATCGATTCCGTTTCGACGAATTAAATTCTCTTTCTGCTTCGTTGTGAGTGCGTGTATAAGAGAACAAAAGTTCGCGTAACGTTCATCCTTCAACCTCTCAGAGAAGAAACCTCGTTCGCTTATCCATGCATACAGGTAATTAATTAAACTATTCAATTTGATTATCTCTTTTGCATTATTAGAATCTCTTTGATCATTTGAATGTTTACATTTTCAATCTGTTTCATGCTTGATAATTATTCTATTTGATTGATGATTCACGCCGATTCGTTTGAAACATGAGTAGGGTTTGATTTTGATATTGATCTCAATCATTCTTTCTTAGTTTTTTAAACGTTAATTTCTAGCTACAACACATAACAATCTTTGTAATTATTTTAGTTTTATTTTATCTTAGAATTTGGGTTTAAATCGTTGTTTTCAATCCTGGGAAAGAAAGATCTTCGTGGAAGTCGGCTTCGTTTTTTATTTTATTTTAAATTAAGGTACGCGTAGCTTGTTCGATTTGACCAATGCGTTTATTGATTTTTAATAATTAAATTCAAATATTTAATTCTCAAGTTAATCAGTCAACAACTTGTTTATTTCGTGAATCGTAGTTGCTTTCTGCGTTCAAGAATAGACAGATTCTGGTTAAATCATAGAGAAATAATTATTAGAGAAAACAGATTCTTCATGAGGGGAGAACCAGAAAACGTGTTAGCTTTCATGAAATCGAAGTTGCTTTTTTATTTTATTTTAATACTATAACGTTTATAATACTTTGGCAACAGATTTTGGCTGTTTTTAGTCTCCCTTTCATATTTTACGGTTTTTATTAGTTTTAAATATATTCTTTTACTCCCTAGACGTTTTGAAGATCGATCATAGCTCATTGTTACTTGTTAGTGATCATCTACTTGACTTTTTTATCAGTCCATTTTTTTCTCTATTGATCAATTTTTCAATAAAACAAATTGCTTCACAAAGAATATATATCCAATATATATGGACTAACAGTATGCGTTAGCAAATTCTAATTCCTACATCCAACAACTATAAGTTGTTTATTTCTAGGCCATTTTTGGTAGTTGTACTTGTATATTTTGTGTGGTTGGAATGACCTTAATTTCTGCATCATCTTTCTATCTAGTATTAGTTCAAGATTTGTTTTTCTCCTTTAAGTGGAAATTGGTTAGCGTTTAGCTAGCTGTGTAGATTTATGATTAAAGATTTTAAGTTGAGGATTACAAAAAAAAATCTGTGTGGTTTTAACGTTTTAATTTTGTTCTTCAAACATGATTTACTTTATAAATCCCAAAGTATTGTTGTTTTAAAGATATTTTTTGGGTGAATATATATAGGTTTTGTGAGATATACTTGAAAGTTTAATTTCTCTCTTACTTTTGGGCATTTACAGATTGTTAACAGTACTTGATTCATTGGATAAACTAAAGGTGTGAATTGGATATATATATAGAATTTCTATGAAACTTCGAGAGATTTTATCGATTAGATACTTGAGTTTTTATAATTTGGTAATGGTGACATATTCGAATCCGTTCGCAAAAAAAGTTTTGATTTGGGTCTATTTTGGTCTAATTTCTTTTTATTTTTCCCATTCACAGGAAAAAAAACATTAAATGTCACAGATTCTCAATAATATCTCTCAGAGACCATCCCTTCAGTGACGTCACCACCTTCTCTTAGCTGTCTCCCTATTTAAAATCCATCCATGCAACTCTAGCATCCCAAAATAAAATAAAATAAATAAACAAAACTCACACAAAATATATTTTTGGGTTTTGTTTTATTTATTTATATTTAAAATCAAGAATATGGAGAGAGCCTCTTCTTCTTCATCATCCGACTCATCATCCATAACTTCTTCTTTTTTTTCTTCCTCCGATCATTCTCTCTCCACCACTACCGATCAAACCTCAACTTTCTTGACGTCATCCATGCTTTCTCGCACGTCATCATCTTCTTCCTCCGCCGTCGGAGACTACATCGGCACAGAGAGCTGCTTCGACGTCCTCTCCGCCGACGAAGAAAACGACGTCTCCTCCGCCTCCGAGCCTTTGAGCCGGTATCGCTACGGAGGAAGGAGGAGAGAGGAGAGAGAAGCCAGAGCTGCGGCGGCGCGTGAGTTTCCTCCGCCGATACCGTTGCTTGCTCAGACGGAGAATCTCCTGCCTCACATGCCTTGGGTTCTCAAGCGTGTGGTGACTAGCGACGGGAGGCTTATACTCAGGGAAGAGAAGGTTCGTCATCACGAGTATTTCCGTGCCAATAGATCCAACGGTCGTCTCACTCTCCACCTTGTTCCTCTGGACGACGACGTTTTTGAACTTCCCCAAGAGCCCTCTCATTACCAATCTGATGATGATGATGATGATGATGATGAGCATGAGTATGATGAGCATGAGTGTGGTTATGATGATGGTGATGATCATGTGGGAGATGATGATTTGGATGATCTTGCGGATAATGTTCGTAAGAGTGTTATTATCAATGACCATAATGATGATGATGATGGTGATAAGGGCAATGTGCATGGAGATAGTGAAGATGGATATAGGAAGGTTATCTTAGCGGCGGTGGCGGAGGAGACGGTGGCGGAGAGCGGAGGGATGATCGGAGGAGGAGGATCGCCGAGAGGAAAGTGTTTGAAGTCTTGTTTTGTTGGTATCAGAGTTCGAGAGATCAGACCAGTACTTAGTTGATTTATTATTGGTAAAACTAGTCTTTCTTAGCTTTTTTTTTTGTGGAAAACAAAAATATTACTACTATCGCGCAGAGAGTTTAAAGAAAATATCGGCTTAATTGAAAATGAATATCACAAGGGTTCTTTTCCATAAAGAAACTACCGGCTTAATTGTTTTGTAATATTCAGAGTGTAATTTATCTTCTTTGAAGGTTTTTGTAGGATATACAGTATTTTAAACTTTTTTACTGTGTTATTAGTTTTGTCGGTACTTGAGTTATGCTTTTTATTTTAATTTTGAATTTATCTGCCGGGTGAATGCTATCGGAAAGAGAAAATATTTTAAAAATCTAATCGTAATCTCTTTTAGTGGATATTAAGGAAACTTTTGGATATTTTGAATAAAATTTTCGAAAGAGCGAAATGAAAAAAAGAAGGAGAGAAACATAAACAGCTAATATTCGATATACCGTATGGTGCAAACAGCTAATATTTGTTTTCATTTCTAGAGATAGGCAACTGATTTTAGAACTTGACTTATATACCTTAAATCCAGCGAAGTTATCCATATACGCCATGTAAGAGGAACGGCAACATTCCGAGTAAGAAATGTGAATACATGTATGTATATATGTATATAAAAAAAGGAGTATTATAATTTTTATGGGAAAAGAGAAGCCAATAAGGGAGAATAAAAGGTACGGAGAAAAATGAAGTACAGCTAAGATAGAAAGATAGAGTTTCCCGATGAGCAAGAAGACTCTACTGATCTTTATTAAGAGACACTGTCTTCTGTTCTGTCCTTTCTCAGTTCCTCATCATTGGTCTTTCCCACCACCTGATCTCTTGTCTTCTTCCCCCCACCCGGTTTACTCTCTTTAACCGGTCTTCTCTTCTTCAGTCTCTCTAATAACAAGTCTATCAAAATTACAACTAATTCAATTTCCGGGGAACACAATCCTAGCTCTAAAAGACTTTTTGGCATGCATGGCCCCAAAATTACATCAACACTCACCGGAGTTTTGCATATTATAGTCCCTCGTAAATGTATAAAGTTAGATATTGGACGTGCAAACATTCTCTCGATTCTCTCATTTTTACGAAATTTTAAAAACTTATACGTATATGTGGCGACGAGGTTAGTACTTAATTCTAATTTTAACCCCTTTGACTTCGCCTAATTTTAAGCATTTAAAAAACAAGAATATTCTCTTGTTATTTTTTTTTTTAGATTTAGTCATATTGATTGTTTTATGAATCGTAGTTTAAAAAAACTTCCTTACAAAATCTAACTAATTATTATATTGTATCAGTTCCATTTCGAAATATTAATATGTTTCTCTTGATCATATGCTATCAACTTGATCATAGATAAAAAAAAAAAAATAATGTTTTTTTTTCCTTTTCTTCTAAAGGAAGAAAATTTGCAAAAACAAAAATGTTCAGCTTGATCATATGCTCAAGTTGATAGCATCAGTTCTCTTACTGTTAGAGGACAAGTTGATAGCATAGATAATTTCTTGTTCTGTTACTACTGTTAAGGGAGAAGGTTATAATATAATATGATCAAGTTGATAGCATAGATAATTAGGGACGTATGTCACGTATCAGTTCTCTAACTGTTACAAACTTACTTTGATCACCAATTATTCGATTTTTTTTTTTTTTTTTCACATAGGTTATATACCTAACTGATATGTCCCTTATAAACTTCTAATAAACACTTTCAGTCTGTTCTGTTTCATGCTAATACTTGTACTTTTTGAGCGACAAAAGAAATCTGTAGAGTAAAATACGATTTCTTATTAGTATAAGATTTTGACGCTAATCAAGATCACTCCTGATTATATCTTAATCGTTAATTTCTCGCTGCAACACATATAAATAATAATCTTCAGATTTCTCCTTTTTTGGTTTGATCGAATCCTGAGCAAGAAAATTCTTCTTGCGAGTCGGCCAGCTTGTTTTCGATTTGACCATTTCGCTAATCATAAGTATCTGATTTTACGTGTTAAAAAAAAAAAAAACAAAAAGTGTTTCTGTATACCTGTATTGGTGTTTTGATTCAGATGGAGAATTTTCTTGAACCAAAAGATGCAGTTGATTGGTCGTATAGAGGTGAAGGAGCTGTTAATTTGGTTCTCGCTTACACTGGATCTTCTCCCACTTTCGTTAGTCTCTTCGATCTCTCCTCTTTTTTTTCTTATCATTTTTCAAATATTTTCAATCTGATCGTCTTGAAATTGGGAAGAAGAAGATGCTAACATTGATTCTACATTGTTCTCTCTCTTTTTTTTGTGCTGTATACGTGTGAAGCTAGGGAAGATGATGAGGATACAGAAAATTCCAAATGATGGGAAAGAAGAAAACGGAGACACGAGTAGTGGAAATGGTCTTACGACTCATGAAAAGCTTATTTGGGGAGAGGTTAAGGATCTTGTTTCTTGCCAGAACAAAGAGATTGTGGACTATTTGTTTGTCAAACATGTCATGAGACCTTTGTTGGGTCATAAACATGTCAATCCTGGAGTATGTTTCCTCTTCAAATTCCTTCTCTTGTCATCATAATTTGTAATATTTGCAATTGTGATGTTTTAAAGTGTTTTATTGCAAATCTTTGCAGATGCGTCTTCTTGTAGCAAAGGAGTTTCTTGAGTCTGTTGAGAAAATTGTGACATCTCAGCGACCTTCTTGGCGAGCTGATGCAGCCAGTGTCGATACTAACCGCAGCTCTGTGCTTCTGATGGATGATTTGACACTTTTCGCCCATGGTACATCAATTTCTAAGCTATGGCTCATATTGAGGCTCATATGCGTTCACTTGGTTAAGTGGATGATGAATCTAAGCTATGGTTTTTTTGTTTAATCATCTCCTCTGCTTTCAGGTCGTGTTGAGGATAAACCGTGCTTAAGTGTAGAAATAAAGGTGTTCATGATCATAATTATCCTTTGCAGTTTCTTTGTTTGTTCTTGTTAGCATTTGAATGCTCTCTTTTTTCCTAGGCTAATATACATTGCCGTGTTTGCTCTGATGAAGTAGCCCAAATGTGGCTTTCTTCCATCTTCAAGTTTCATAGCAGAGGAAAATGCCATCAAGAAGAGTGTAACTCGATTCCAAATGCACCAAGTTCTGAAGCTTCAAGAAAACGAGGTACACTTCTCAAACATCCCTCTTGAATCTCTTGGGATCCACAATCCAAATCTCGAAACCTAACACGTGAAAATCCGTGTTGCAGATCTCAGAGATCAGTGAATATGATCCCTTGGACCTTTTCTCTGGTTCCAAAGATAGAATACACAGAGCAATAAGAGCTCTCTACGCGACTCCTCAGAACAATTTCCGCGTGTTCTTGAATGGTTCTCTTGTATTTGGAGGATTGGGTGGTGGTATATGCAAAACAACCTCAAAGGTTGAACAAGATTTTGAGCATCTACTAAAAGATATCATCAGGACCGAGGATGGCTTACGTGCAGATCATTTCATAGAGCTTGTTGCAGAAACTGTTTACGCATCTGGAGTTCTTGATCAGCTTCTTGATGTTCAAAAGCTCGACAAGTACAATATCGAGGGAGCGATTCACGTGTACTATGACTTGATAGACCAGCCATGTAAAGTGTGCAGAGAGTTGGAGAAGAGTGAAACGTTATCAGATCAATTTAGTTCCATGCATTCGATTCCTCTGGATGAGAAAGTGAATATTTTGAAGGATTTCTTAGTATCTGCCACTGCAAAGGACTGTAGTGTAATGATAAGCTTTAGATCAACAGATGATGGGATCTCAAGATCCTCTTCCCACAGTAACCTGCATCTTGAATCAGCAAAGCAAGAATTTGATTATAAGGTAAGTTTCTTACCTCCAGATACTTAATCTTTGCTTCTTCTGTTTTTGTTAAATCGGATTTGATACACTGAGCTCTATGTTGACAGGTACATTTGATTGATCTTGATATGAGACCTTTAAAGAAAATGGAAGTCTATTACGAGTTAGACAAGAAGATCATGAAGACATACCTGGAGATGGTGAAGAAGAACTAATGAAGGGAAATAAGGAAGAGTTTGGTCGTCACCACGACAGAGAGGATACTTCAATTTTCATCAATCTGTGTGAGCTTTTTTTGCATCATTTGAAAGGTGTTCTCTATCTGAGACAACCATATGAAGTTGGTGAAAATTTTGAGAGTTCGATTCATAGACTCGCGGCCTGAGTTTTGCATTTTAGTCCTTCATAAATACATAAAATTGGATGTTCAACACAAATACTCACATATACAAATATAAAGAGCCTTATTTATCAGACACATTACATGTTTCCACCCAAATTTACATCTTTTAATTCATTTCTCTGAATAATTCATTTAGCAAAACCAAAAACATTAATGAGGAAGATGATGATGCTCTAATGGAGAATCAATCACTCTACATCTCCAAATACTTTTATCTCGCAGATTAACAAGTCCCTAGCTGACATCATTCGAAGTTGACTCTTCCTTGTGCTTCTGTTCTCTTTGTTTTGCCTCCTAAACTTGTTAAGTGTGTTCTCGTGGACGAGCTGCCCATAGAGAACTAAGAGCACGAAGCCTGTGGAAGTACTCTCCTAAAGCGAGCAAGCCTCGAGCAGCCTGTCTTGTCGTCAAGATCTTACTCATTTGCTGCAGCGTCTGATGTCTCAGATGATCCGCCTGTTCCAATAAAGAGACTCTCTTTTTAAAAAACAGACAGTTTCAATGCTTTTATGGAGACAAAGAAAAGACACAAGCTTTCTTGGTCTTGCCAAGGGTTTTATAAAAAGGAAAAATTGATTATGGATTCAACAAGATCATGGAGAGTGCAGAAGCAAAAACTAATGGGCGTATTACCTGGTTCACAAAACCCTCCAATGCTTGAAGATTCTCCATGGCTGATGCCATATGAGCCCCGTGATTCACAGACTCAACAACTCTTATTTCACCTGCTATGCTTTCGACCAAACCCTGCTGGAGTTTATCCAAGCCCTGAGAGAGAGCTTCCTCTGCTTGCTGAGACGACTGTTGGAGGTTTCGCACTTCCAAGATTTGCTGATCGGTTAAGGGCTCAACGTATGGCATCACAACCTAGAGACAACAAAAAACTTTGAGATTTGGTGTTCTGAAGAGTGAAGACTGTAACGTAGAGGTAAAAACTGGCTTACATTTAACAGCTCGGATGGGCGGAAACCTCCAATCCACTGGAAGAAGCGTTCAGTTGAAGTTCGCCACATTCCAGATATCAAGAAGAACACATCAGCCTTTGCAGCATCAGCTTTCATGCGGAAGAGATTTGCGTAGTGGTTCAAGCAAATATCAACCAGCATTCTGAGCTCAATGTCGCTGATATGAGCTTGGATCGCTGTTCGAATCTCACTAACTCTCCTGTTTTGCTCTTCTAGCCAGTGTGTGTATTCCATCTCAAATGCAGCAATCCCTGACAAAAGGTTACTTCTTTAAGGTACTGTCGACTCAAAGATCAAGCAACATCAACATATATCTAGTGATATAAACACCAACCTGTGTTCATGGTTCCAGCTGGTCCTAGATAACTAGTATCTGATGAATTGCGTACGCATAATCCCTGTTGCCTAGCTCTGACAAGTTCCTGCTCGAGCTGTGATAACTTTAACCGACTTTCTTCTAACTGCTGGACATGGGCCTAAAGTCATATAGATAGCTCTGTATAAGCTCTTTTTTTTGTTTTTTCCATTACCACAAGAAAATTCCACCAAGGGACCTTTCTTACCTTCTTTCTTAACCGGCTTTTGCGAGCAGCCTCTCTGTTCTGAGCTAATCGCCGTTTCATCTGTGCATGTACAGAACGAAGCAACAACAATTCATGTCATCACGCCGTGTCTCTTCCTTTAAAATATTTAAAATGGAGAGAAAATGAACAAAAGGAACCATTCCGCCTTAAAATGCTAAACACTTATTGATTACCTTATCATTGATTTGGTCATCGTCCTGATCATTATTACTAGAAGGTTCTGCCTCAACAGAGTTGTACAAAGAAGTATAATTTGCCTGCGCGTATTTTGTCCACTATTAACAAACAGGTAAACCAGAGTCTTAAGACATGAATCTGGGAGAAAATTAATATAATCTGACCTTATTGTTATTATCTGCTTCAGCTCTAGCATCCACTTCAAGAACTGTGGAAGAGCTCTCGTTGTTGTTCTGATTACTAGTAATAGTGCTGAAAGCATTTTCCCAACCAGATAACTGTTGGAATGGTTCATACATCCCCATGTCTCTAAATAATACGACTTGTGTAGAAGAAGAAGAGCTCATCATCTGTAAACCAATAATTACAAAAGCCATGCTTAAAGAGTTTCTCTCCACAAGCAGAAGAGAGAAGATCCAATCAATATCCCTAAAATTACACTGCTTACTAACACTGTTCTTCATCAGTTTCTCGACTAGTTTTAGGCGTTAAGCTATAAAGGTTGAAACTTTTTAATTAAGAATAAAACCAAACTCCTCAAAATCGAGCCTTTGAAGAGAAATTGCCAAATAGAGCAATACCCACGAAATTAGAAATTTACAAATTTGACCAAGACAAACGCGGGTAAGGAAATTGTAAGCGATCAAAACATCGGAAACAAACCAACCACCATTAGAAATTCATCACGAAGCCGAGAAATGAGCAGTGAATCTCAAGTTGAAACGCATTCTGTGTATATTCCGTTCTCGAGAGAAGATAAATGATGAAACTTTGGTCAAAACTTAGAGGTGAAGCGTACACATCATTGAAAGAGATGAAAAAAGCAGAGATATTTTGTTTTTCTTTACTTTTATTATATAAAGTTTTTTTTTTTACTCTTTGCTTT